CACACCGAATGCTTGGAATTGGGTCACGGCGCCGCCTGAACATAAACTGGGGTGGTGTGCGTCTCTCCCTTTTTTTTTTTTTCGTTTTGCTTTTTACCTTTGTAAATCTTTGTGTTTTCTCACAAGACCGCGTCACTTTTGTTGTCGACCCTCTGCTCAAGCAGCGCCGGGAGGGGAGGTTGTGTACGCTGCCTAATGCACCATAAACAACAGTTTTATTTTCATTTGGACTGGATTCTGGCCCCGTTGTTTTCTTGCCTTTGGGCCGTATCGGTGACGGGGGGGTGAGATGAGGTCACTCGCCCTCTTTCCCTGCACCCTCTGGTCTTTTGCGGCTCTCGTCGGGGCTGTAAACAGGTTCGCGGTGCGGAGAGAGGTAATTACTCACAGACGTTCTACATCGGGCTTAATGGCCGCGGGCCGTGACTAATTCACCGGGTCGCAGAGAGGTTTCCTCTCCTCCGTGGGCCCAGCGACTCGGAGAACCCCAGCGCATCTGTGGTTTCACCGGTGCCGCTCTGAGTCAGATCACGATGAGCTCACAGATCCAGGCGTAGTTTTCGGGGAAAGATGGTTCTCGCCGAGAGTTGAGGTGAGAGGAGAAGTTTGGTGTTTGGCGCCTACCTAAGAATAAAAACAAAAAAACAGTCTGTGCTCATGTAAAAAAAAAAACACACACCCACTGACACCTGGTGATCTCAGGCCTCGTTGTCCCGTCAGTGAAGTCGTGTCACTCCATCTGTTCTTTTATTCTGTATTAATCAGAGAGCGTTTGACGTTGTGGTTGGCGGATTTTATCAGGATGTTTGACCCGGTTTCCAGTCTCTATGCTAAGCTAACCAAATTGCTTTTGGCTGAAGTTTCTGGTTTTCAAAACCAAACAATAAAAAACAGCCAATATGTTTATTTCTCAAATACTTATAATTATACCAAATTAGTCCGGCTATTTAGTCGGATATCTAAGCATGCCAATGACACACTTGTAAACACCCGTTAGTGGACAATAGCATTATATCAATATTGCAGTAAAACCAAAAGCCAATATCTATCAGCAGCTCTGTAGAGTCGGATTAATGGCTCTGTTTACTTCGCATCTCTTCTGCCTGGTTTTATCTTTTAGTTTTACAATCCTACATTCCATTACAATCAAGTAGAATTACCTCCAGTCGTGAGCTACATACACCGTTTACTGCAAACACAATTATCAGCACTCAGGGGTCCAATTGACCGTCTCCTCACAGCAGTGTACCGCGACGCTTATGGAGTTTGGGAAGATGAAAATAAAGAATTTTCCAGCTGAATAAATGTGGTAAAAAGGTTCATCAACAAAAGTTGAATTCATCCAAATATGAATGCAGTTGAAGGCCGTGGAGGCAGAACTGTTCCACCCCTTTGTAGCACTTACAGAGGGAGCTTTGGGGTGGATTTTTTTTTCTTTCTTTTAAATATTATTAATAAGCTGCCATCTGTGTGTTAACAGATAATTGTATGAAGGAAACTGTACAGTGCACAGTTTTACAGCTGACATTTTCAGGCTCGGTCAGGTTTTTAAGTAAGCTTATTCAAAAAAGATTCTTGTTAAATTTGTTGTTAGATACAAGAGTATTTTTTTTAAGAGAATAATCAAAAGCGAAACAGCTGCTAAATTCAAAAATACCTGTGAGGTGTTTTGGACTTATTCTCTTTACAGTCGGATGAAAGGTTTTCCTCTAAACCTCTCAGTGGTCACGCGTTTGATCTCACTGTGACGCCGGATCTGATCCACAGCAGCTTTGGACTGAAGCCAAAGTCACAGCTCTGTTAGTACATCGTACAGTTACCAGTTCAATAAGTAGAGCAAACCCCCCCCTCTCCTCCCACACTAACTTCACCCTCAGACATTTCTAATTTGCATGTGGCTACTCAATTAGCATATGTAAGAGCCACTAGCATAGCGGCCAGACACACTCTGTAATATGTTTGATAATGGAAGTCTGTGTCATCGACGCCCTGCGTGTTTGCGTGCGCGTGTGACAGATGGTTTGCAGAGTCTCTTCTGGGCGATACTGGAAGCTGCAGACGAAAGTACAGCAGAGCCTCACACTGGTGCTGTTTCCACGGCCTCTTAAAAGGCCTCTTTTACTGCAGCAGCTGCGGACGCTTTAGTTTTACCTCGACATTTTAGCACCTGAGGATGCAGAGCAAGGTCCTTGTGTATAACGTCTGTCAAATCTGGTTTTATTTTAACAAATACATCAGTGAAAAAAGTCCCAAAACACCACGTTCCAAAATGGTTTTACCCGAGCTCGTCCATATTTTAAACAATGTACCTTAATAAAGCAAACAAGAACAATTATTTGTATTTGAACCCCATCAAGAAAAAGAAGTGTTAACCGAGTATAATGAAAGCAGTGCTACTCCTTCATTTGACATTAGACAGCGTAGAGGTGAAGGGCGGGGGGCGTCAGTCCCTAACGCTAGACGCCACAGCTCATTGAGCCTCATCTCAATCGTGAGTGGAAAAATCTGGGGTTGGTTGCAGCTCTCTCGCATTTACACCCACAATCAATAGTCTTATTTCATGCAGAAAACCATTATAATTGATGAAAACACATCAATTTCACCACTGGCCCTGGAATCAAGGCTCCACAGCGTTTTGCATTATAGATTTTTCTGTCCAACATTTGTCCTCAGCGATTCTGCATCAAGAACAATAAAATTCCTTTTACGCTATTTAATTAATCGTAATATAATTTCAGGTATAGGGGATCCAAATATACAACTTAAAGGGCATTTATTATTAGTTTCCCAATGACTTACCTTCAAGCGTACCCATGCATACTACCCACTGTGGCGTTTGTAAGGCTGAGCGTTGGCTGATGTCAGAGCCGGAGACGGCGACGCTCAAACCCAGTTCGCCGTGCGTCTGCAGCCGCAACCTCATTTAATCTGTGGGTTGAACGCGTCGTCTCCGTGCTGCAGCCCACCGGGATCAAAGACCGATCTCTACTACTTTATACAGCTCTGGAAAAATGTGGAGCACAGAGGGGGGAGAGAAAGAGCCCGAGTGGTGGGAGTGTTGCTTTAACTCATCTCTCTGCTTTCATACCTTTCATGTCTTACCTCCTTTTTACCTATTTCTTTTTTTTTTGTTGCTCTCAATCTATTCCAATCCAGCCCCCAGTGAGTCTCACACTTCACTTCGTCCTCTTGGTTTTGGCTTTCTGGCCTCCTGCCTTGTAACGCTCCACTCTCATCATTTCATCTGTCTAACCCTCGCACATTCCTCCCAAAAGCTCTCCCTACATCTTTGAGGTCTATCCGTCAATCATATTCTGCTATTCATTGACTGGCTGCCTTTGCCCCTGGCGTGCGTCACCTTTTTCCATTAACTGAGGTCAGGGATATCTGCTCCTCGACGCCAAAGTAAGCCAACGTGTCTGAAGCTGCTCTTTTTACACATTTGGATGGCGAGTTATAAAAGATTGCTTGGAGCCGACGTGTGGTAGAGGCAGGCCGCTGAGATCATATTCAAATCTTGTTACATTACAGTAAATGTGATGTATGCGTTTGTGACGGCTGATTCAAATAATTTTTTCTCTTTTTTTAGAGGAAAAAAAATGCCAAATAAATACAAATAAAAAAAATGGCCATACTCTTATTTTGTAAATGCTTTGAATTATGCTGAGTTTAGTTCTCGGGGTTGAGTTACGGATTCTGTGCCCTCCTTATCTATTCAGAGTCATTCTGTCTTGAAAAACTACACCTGTTTTGTGTGATTGGCTCTATTAACATTTTAAGTGTGCGTTCAGTCCGATAGATGGATTATGTTGCTCTTTTTCAATCCATTACATTGCTTTGCAAGTAATTGTATTCCACAAGAGTAAAGCCGAAACAGAGAGAATGAGATGCTTCTGCTATAAAAGGGAAATCGGTGTGATGAGTAAACTGTAGGTTTGAATCAGGTGTGAAACAGTTTTGTCCATCAGTAATAAAGCATTCCAATACTTTCAGCCATATGCACTTTCAGCGTGACACTCGAATGCAAAAAGTTTTTTTGAAAAGAATATAAGGAAGGGGCCACATAGTGCAGAGCAGACGTTTCCCTGTTCAGGATTTCATCACTGAAATCCAATTCCAAGTGACTGAGAGAGAAGCCCGTCTGAATGAAATGAAGCAGGATGAAGTACAATGTCAATGGACTTGGAGCAAAAAAAAAAAAAATCATGAGTGAAATTCCGATACAGTGAGAAAGAGATGCATTTTAATATGTATTTTAATAGGACACACAAAGACAAATACCCACACTCGCAGACAGATTTTTACTAAGTGGAACACCAAAGAATCAACAGGCAGTCGATGTTCTTTATTCGGCGCGTGCCTGCCGCGGAGAGAAAGGGGAGTGAGAATACGTGCTGAGGAGAGGACCGTTACACAGGGAATGCAAAGGGGAGGATGACAGAGGGATTGAGAGGAGGACAAGGTGGAGGGAATGAGGGAGTAGTGGGAGGAAAAGCTGCAGTAACCACGAGGTTGTGTGTGTGTGTGTGTGTGTGTGTGTGTGTGTGTGTGTGTGTGTGGCACATAGAACCGAAAAGGTGTGCTGTGTCATAATGAAGTAGAACGCTTCAAATCTTTGAAATGAAAAGTACACAAACCAGAGCTCCTACTACAGACACACACGCACACACACACACATCTAGCATAAAACGCACGTTTCATGGAGAGATTGTAATTGCGGTGAAACAGCATTGTGCCGGTTTCTGACTCTGAATGTCGCGCGTATTAATATTTCTCCTGTTTCTATTCCCTTTGTCTTTCTTTCTATTCCACCTTCTGCTCCCTTTTCCTCTCTTTGGCACAACACAATCCTGCCACGTCTCCTGTCTCTCCATTCAACGTCCCAATGTCTCTCCGTAACTCATTCCTTCTTTACTCATTGTTTCCTTCACCACCCTCCTTTCTTTATCATTGCTTCCTGCTCTCAATTCATCACCTCCCTCGTGCTTACCGGGACCCAGAGAAAGGTAACTGCCCCTTTTCGACTCTGATCATGTCTCTCTTCCCTTTTTGCCTCCCTTCCTTGTATATGAGGCTTTGCTTTGTCCGGAGACACTGTTGCTCTTTACAAGAAGACAGCGGCTAAAGGTCCAAATCACTGGTGTTAAACCATCAGTGAGTATTACATTTGTAATATGTGGGCCAAGGCCACTCCTGCTGCATCGGTGACCCGCTGTGTAAATGTCCCTGAATGAAGTGCATTGGATGCACACACTCACACACACACACACACACACACACACACACACACACCACAATGCACTTTCCTTCCTGCTGCAGGCGCAGATCATTATCGACCCAAAGTGTGTGAGCGCACAATTAAGCTGAAGAGACAGTCGGCATAATGGAGCCATAAACAGCTCACTGTGATGAATGCCATATTTCTGATTCCGCCCATGGTTATTTTAGTGTGTGCGTGTGCATCATGATGTTTCTCTGGCCACGCTGCCACCAAGTTGGCTGTCCTGCATGTCCGCCCCCACCCCTCCCCCCCCCCCTCTGTCACTCTGCTTGTGATTACTCCATCATTCAAGTCCTGAGTAGAAACACATCCCTCTTCCCTTTAGTTCTGCAGCTTGTTGCACCTGTTCATTTGGAAGAAATGTGTCACTCTTTCATCTTGTGTGTTTGTGTATTTTCCACCCATCCCCCTTCCTGCAGAAAATCCCTCTCCCTGTGGAGCTTCCTCTCTCTGTCTCCGCCTCATACTCTCATTTTTCATCCATGCGGCTCCACTGTGCAGAGCTTTACATCAGCTTCCCGTGTAGCTGCATGCCGGTGTGTGTGTGTGTGTGTTTGTGTGCATGTCTGTGTCCTCGATGTCCAGAAAGTTTAAATCAGAGAAACCTGTTGTTTACTAAGCAGCAACACACAACATAAAGCATGTCATTATTTAAACATGACTTAATTGTCAGAGCCAAAAGAGATAAGAATAACAAAGCAACATTTTCACACGAAATGAGGGCGCTAATTAGATCAGTGCTCCACCAAAAAGGTAAATACAATACACCATGATGCAAAATGGGGTAATGATAATTATGTGTTTTAATTCTTTTGATTTCTTGCAACTGCTGGGTCTTTATTCTACTGTCGGTGGTTGGCAAATCTAACAAATGCTCGAACTGGAAAATTCCAGTTTCCAGATAGAAGACATATCAGAGGACGCAGAGTGTCCTCTGGCCAACACACAATAGAGAACATATGTCAAACCCGCTCCAATAGAACTCTTCTCATGAAGGGAATGAAAATAAAATGTGGGCTCAAAACCTGGGAGGAATTTCAATGAACAGTCATATATTAAGATATTGGTTTCAATATGATGATTTGGCCAAAATTGAACCAAACAAGAAAAAAGTTTAAAGGAATGTTAAATACAAATTGCCCTCATAACTGAACAGATTGGGCCTAATTAAATGTTTAATGCTAAACGCAATGGCATCCAAAGATGGCTCTCCAAGGAGTCATTTCAATGAATCGGTGGCTGCTGACAAACAAAACCAGCTAGTAGCGATTCAGTGTAGTAATATCATCTGCATAAAACCATCTAGGTAGAATATCGCCCCGTCTATTTGGGTTTGTTCTTTTACGTTTCCTTCCGCATATAAACATTCTTACTCGCTGCCCCACAAGGAGGCCGATTGTTTAGTCAATCTGCTGCAGACGTCCACAAGCTCCCTCTGTTTCTCAAGCGTCTTCTGTCCGTGTTTCAGGGACTTTGCTTACGTGGCGAGAGACAAGAACACGCGAGTGCTGAAGTGCCACGTGTTTCGATGTGATACTCCTGCCGCAGCCATCGCGACAAGTCTCCACGAAATCTGCTCCAAGGTGGGTGTCATGACCAATCGCCCGGCTCTGCACGTATGAGCGCGGACGCAGGAAAACGATGTCTGCGAACTCGGAGGCGAGGAGGCAGAAGTCATTTGGGCCTGTTGTGGATCAGGCCGATGTATTAGCGGATCTGCAGACCCAGTTTCTCCCACCGGGCTCCATCAGCTTTCTCAGACAAGGTCACTTGGGAACTGCGGATCGGTCATTGGAATAAGTGGTGCTTCAGTATTAGTGTCTCAATCCTCACGACTGGAATTAGCAGCAGAGCCTGAGACTCTATCCTGTGAGTCATTGACATGACCGAATAAATACATTTTAGAATGGAAGGTACCCAGAAGAGCTTTGTCTGTAAATGTTGATCCTTAGAGGAGAGATTGTGACACTATCATGTTCAGTCGTGAAGAATGGTAAATTCTGTCTTTCATATTGTATAACTTGAATGGACCAACGTGTGCGGCCTTTCATGAGTTAATTTGGTCAATTTTACAGAAATGTATATATTAGATTTTTTGTTGCTATAGTAAAAATCACCATCTTAAATTGGCTGTGGAAGCTTTAACTCGCTCAGCTCTGCAGTAACACAACAGGACGACTTTCTTTTGGTTTCCGTTTGTGGAAGAGAAGCTGAGACGTTGGATAATGTATTGATATTTCCTTAGCCAACATGTAGAAGAGGATTCAGATTGTTCATCATTGACATTAACTTTCCACTGCACTTGCGTGATGCTTTTGTTTGATTTGGCTCACAAACCCTAAAGAGAAACCGTTGTGTCATCAGTAAAGGAAGAATCCACCTGCAGTGACACATCTGTTACCTTAGAGGCTATTGACCCATTTAAAAAGGAATGTTTTTCTCCCCTTTTATTTGATCTCCTGCCCTGAACAGAGGGGCGACTGTGAAGTGGGTCCTTCACATTGTGTATTTCTATGTGTGTATTTGACAATGACTCTACACACAACCTATTTTAAACACAGTAGTAGTTTTCTCTCCACTGCAGCGGAGAAACTTGGTGACCTGAGTCGTGCAGCTGCAACGTGCCGAGCGGGTTTCCTGTGTGTGTGTGTGTGTGTGTGTGTGTGTGTGTGTGTGTGTGTGTGTGTGTGTGTGTGTGTGTGTGTGTGTGTGTGTGTGTGTGTGTGTGTGTGTGTGTGTGTGTGTGTGTGTGTGTGTGTGGGAGAGTGTGTGTGTGTGTGGGAGAGTGTGTACATGTCCATGTGTCTTCTTCTTGCATGTTCTCCCCTGTGAGCAGAATTGCAGACTCACCATTGACTTTGATTCATGGCACCTACAATTAATCAAGTATCTGTAGCAAGAATTGTGCAGCAGCTCATGCAGACTATTCAACACCTTTAAAAAAGTGTCTGCACTGCAGCAGAAGAGCAGAAAGAAATGAAAAGAGAGAAAGAAAGATTTTGGTTAGGACGTTGGACTTAGATATACCATTTGAAAGGGAGGCTTTTAAAAGATAAGGCTGGTAATATTTTTGATTTCTTTCATCACCAAATCCATGAAAACAAGTACAGCGTTTACTTCTGCTGACATTTTCTTATTGGCTTTTTCGACTACGAAAATGTAGAATATCACGAGCCTTATCTTCTCAAATTGCGTGTAACTGTTTGATGCTTATTCAATAACAACCGTGTCTTCCTTTTTGTTTTTCCCAATTCCCATTCTGATTGCAATTTCCTCTTCTCTCTTTATTTTTCACCCTCTTGTCTTCGCTTCTTTTCTCTCTAGATTATGGCTGAAAGGAAAAGCGCCAAAGCTGCAGCTGGCAGCTCCTCCCAGAACGGCTCCGATGTGCCCCTACAAGGTACACACTCACACACACTCACACACACTCATGCACGCACACGAGTCTTGTTCTGTTTTACTTCCCTGGTGAGAGAATTGAATCAGTAAGCCATGTGCTATCTTCCCTTCCGTGGTTTCTTGCCCCACGTTACAGAATTCCTCCACATCTATAACCATTTATGGGCTTTCTTAGAAACGACCTTATCGCCGCAGTAGAGACTCAACATTTGCTGACAAAAAAAAAGAAGAAAGGTAGCGGTGTTTGGGTTCAGCTACGCACAGATAATGCTGACTTGATCCTCCCTGCACAATCACTGATTTATTCGCCATTCCCTCGTTCCCGGTTGTTCCCTTCAGTCCCAAGTTATTGAGAATTCACACAATTCATCCTCTGCGTGGTGTATCTGCTGAGCGAGGCGGGAAAGGAGCTCCGGCATCAGAATGTAAAAGAACAGCTCTTCACTTACAGAAAGAAAGAAAATAAGAAAAGTCGACCTCATTAAAATCCAATTAGTGTTTCTTTCAGAAGAGGCCCGGTGCTGCACGCCGCCCATCCCAACCACAGCATCAAAGACACTTATTAGGGAGGGGGGGGGGGGGGGTCTCTGACATCTTTTCAAGTTATTAGTTGCTTTAACTATTAGTCTTTTAAGTAAAAAAACACAATTTCTTGCCCAGTGAGAGAGGTTGTCCTCACCGTGGAAAGAGCTTCCATTGAGCTGTGGAGCTCTATTCCCTGCGAAGCCGCTGGATGGAAAGCGGTTATGTTCCCGCCTGGATCGCATCTCTTTGAGCACAAACCCGCGTCAGGACACATTTTAGTGTCCTCATCACATCTGGCCCGTCTGAGCCCGAGCCCTTGTTCATGACTCATCTATAAGGCCTGTTTCCAGAGCTTCGGTAGTTCATGGAATGTGTGAGGTGTCGGGGTTCTTACTGTTCACGCTGTACACTGATGAGGTGAATCCAGGTGAAGCCATTTTCCCTGATTGATTTCCCCCACTCAGTCCTTAATGATCTCCTGATGAATTACTGATCTCTGTAGTCAATAATGCAGATGAGGATTGTGCAAAATGAGGGAAATATGTTGGCTGCATCTCTTTTTCTACAACTTAACTGACCTTCGGGGGTTTAACTTCTCCCCTTGCTAAGGTGGTGCAGATGTCCTCCAGAGGGGTCATCCACGCGCTGCCTCTCCTCCGGCTCTATGAAGCCATTATCTGGCATTTTTAATATTATTATATCATCTTTCAAATGATTTAAACATTTTTCTGAGCTTTCATCGCACACCTGAACTTGAAACAAATGACACATGGGGTTGTCAAGTCAGAACATTTGCTAATTACACATACTGCCGTTAATAGTAAGGTTATAAACATTTCACCACATGGTCATCAAACTTTTCATATAAAAAGAGACATATGTAATTACAGATACCGTAGATATACATTAGATATGTTACATTTTTAAATAAATCCTTTTTTTACCCGTCGAAATAAATGTGTCATTTAATAATAATTATGACTCGATCATGATTGATTGCATGTGGCTTAGGGGCTACTTTTTCAAATCCATGTTGATTACAGCAATTCAGCAAATAGTTAATAATTAATTGTAACCATTGAGGGTAATGCTTGTGCCCATTTTAGTATTCTGCAGAATTTCTTATAATTATGTTTAATAGCACATTGAAGAATTAACAATCTTCAAACTGTGCAGTTAAACATTTTAGCACTTTTAGTGCTTGATATCTACTTTGACGCCGTCTCCGGCGTACACAGCTAACTGCATGGTGTGTTAATAGGAGCACGACCTAACAATCCTCATGCAGGTGGTGATGCTCCTCATTCCCCTCCGTTCTGCCCGCAGGCCAGTGTGAACAGGCACAGCTGGGATTCCATGCAGAAAAATCATAAATTGGTTGAGCTTGTGTGAAAATATTTTTCATGTTCTAATCATGTGAGCAGCAGCATCTAATATTAAAATATTCAGTGTTTGTTTATATCCTAAGACTGAGCCAATTACCACGCGTGGACTTAACTTTTGGATCTTTGTGTTAGATGTTGATAAAATTCCCTGCGGGTGGTCTATGCGTGTGCGTTATAACGTGTGTGTCTCTGTGTGTGCGTTTTTCTTTTCTCTGTTTGCAGAGTTTCCCATGCCAAAGACTGAGCTGGTGCAGAAGTTTCATGTGCTGTACCTGGGTATGACATCCGTGTCTCGCCCCATAGGTAAATCCCTACCAATGCTGCACAGCGCACGCCACAAACGCACCCTGCACCTGTCTCACTGCTCGGCCTCTGCTGTGTTCGCTCCTCAGGTATGGACATCATCAACGGGGCCATAGAAAGTCTGGTGTCCTCCACGGGCAAAGAGGACTGGACTCCTGTCACACTGAGCATCGCTGACACCACTCTGGCCGTCATCAAGGAAAAGGCAAGAGTCCCTTTGCTGCTGTCTGCAACGAGCGACTCGTCGAACAGCAGGAAAGGTCTGACAGAGCGCGGTCTGACGCCGTTTTCATTTTCCTCTTGGTCGCGTGCGCAGGAGGAGGAAGAGGAGGTGTTGGTGGAGTGTCGAGTTCGTTTCTTGTCCTTCATGGGCGTGGGGCGGGATGTGCACTCGTTTGCCTTCGTCATGGACACCGGCAGCCAGCATTTCCACTGCCATGCGTTCTGGTGCGACCCCAACGCAGGCAACGTGTCCGAGGCCGTGCAGGCAGCATGCGTGGTGAGCAAGGATGATGACGTGACGCGGTGCTGTTAATATTCGGAAAGGAATATTATGAGGTTTTGTTTTGTATTCCAGAGAATAGCTCTAACCTTGTGTCGAACAAAAAGGTTATGGCATAGTGCGCCGCAGAAAATCATTATAATGTCATAGTATATCCAACGAGAATAGAATATCATAAATAGCATAAAAAGTATGTATTAATATTCCCGTTTAACTTCAGCTAATATCCTATATTTATTATCAAACTTATCAAATTGCAGGTCAAATGTATTGGCTAATGACAGCAGCTAATGTGAGCTGGTCCTCGTCTTTCTCAGCTGCGGTACCAGAAGTGTCTGGTGGCACGCCCCCCCTCCCAACGGGCCGGCTCCTCCTCCTCGCCGTCCGCGGACACGGTGACCCGGCGGGTGACCACCAGCGTGAAGCGGGGAGTCCAGTCTCTCATAGACACTCTGAAAACCAAGAAACAGCCGTCTGAACTCCCCCAGCAATGACCGCCGCGAGCGACCACAGCACCCTCCCCATCCGCCGCCGGACGCCACTCACACGCTATCGCCAGAGCAAACACCTAGTCGTGGTGCCCAACGATGTACATACATGTTAACAAACACCAACCCAGATCACGGGAAGAAGAGCAATTCTCCAGTAAGCCTGATGATTTATTTTAAACAGATGAAAAGAAAACTCGTGTAATTCATGTGGCGGGATGCAAAATCTGGTAGCGCCGGTTGATCTTTGACCTTATGAACGCCGCTTTGATCCCGGCGGGAACCAGCAGCATTGGCCTTCACTGCGTGTGGATTTCTGGGTCGGATGGATTAACTTGATCAAGCACACTACAGACAGAATTCAGGAAAACCCAGAAAGATATGATTTCCGTTAACATTCTGGTTGATGGAACCACTTCTCATTCACTCTCCGTCCGTGTGTGTGTGTGTGTGTGTGTGTGTGTAACAACCATCCTTGGCACAGTAAGAGCACATTCACTAGCTTCCTGACAGAACAAGCAACAGGAGCCTCACAGGACAGAGAAAGTGTTGTTTGGGGATTTTAGAGGGTGAATACGAAAAGAAGACGGCCCCTCCCACCGAGCGCCATACCTTATGTGTGTGTGTGTGTGTGTGTGTGTGTGTGTGTGTGTGTCTCTTAAAACAAGCTAAAAACATAACATCTCCATTCAGGATGAATGAAGTGATTATAATGATGAATTGTATGTAAATGATTTTATGTAGGAAGAGAGAATGTCGAGCACAAAACCTGTACAGTAGATATGAGGGGAAGGTGAAGTGATGACAGATGTGGGATTAGTTTTGCATGTTTTCTTGATGAGATACATTTATGTTGGTGTTGATGGGTCCCAGTAAGACGAGTGGGAAACACACAAAGAATAGTTCTCAACATTACCATGGCACAAACGAATCTGGCCTATTTCTGACCCATAACACAGTAAAATGTTACTCAAATTTACAGAATCACAATTCATGATTGTCTGTCAGAGTTTTACATTCTGTGTCTTGATGGATGAGTAGATCTGCAAAAGAAAGGTAACAGTTTCATGTATTTTGAAACTTTTCATTTATTAAGATTGTACTTTTTTTCCTTGCATACCGTATGTGAAAACTGAGTTTAAAAGCTCAAGAATGTTACATGACCTATGTTTAAACGCTAACATTTCCTCAGGAATCTTTATAAATACACCCTACAGTTTATATGTTGCTAGGAAATACCGATCCCCAGCTTCAACTGGACGGTGACAGGCACCCGAGGCTAAATGAACAGTGGTACACAATAGTGTTTGCCCTTCTTGGTAAACCTGGAAAAGGTCCATTTGGTGCATTACGGTTTAACTATTGTTTCTCTTGTTGAAATACACCCACACAAATATGCACATAGAAGTCTGCTGTCACTGCTATTAAAACCTTTACACTGCTCATGCAGCTCATGTCCACTAACCTGCACGAACGCTGTGAAGGCAGTCTGATTAAAAACACACACACACACACACACACACACACAAAGTCACATCAGTTCTGTTCTTCACTCATCTCTCCACCATGTAAATGTAATCTGTTGTGACAATAAACGCATTACCAAAAGGAAAAAAAAAAAAAGACTGGCTTCTTGACTTTCATTTTACAGCTCGGGGGAATGTAATGCAGCAGATATTAATAATGTACCGTTGAAAGGACGTTGGCTCAGCACCAATGCGGTTGATTAGATTCTGACTGAGGCCAGTCGTCTCTTTATGACACGTGAAGACATAATATGACACATAAAAATGGCTCCAGAAGCATCTGAGGTGACTTTTTGTGACTTGGCAGTTGAAAAGCAATGCCTCGACTTGGCTGATTTAGAACGCTTTTATTTTTTCAAACATTTCAAACTTGTTTTTTGCGACGGCGTTCTTGAGCTCAACGCCAGGCTTTGAGCAAAGCATCTCTGGAGAGACCCCCCCCCCTGTAGCGGGAGAGGGGTTCACCTTGAGCCGGTAACCTCCAGTCCTGCTTTCTGCTTTGGCTGAACAACGGTTGGCTCCGCTGAGGTGGGCAGAAGTTGGAGAAGTTGACGGCAGAAAGCGTGAGCACCGGCAGCTTCATCACCTCGCTGTCAGATCTGCGGGGACGAGCCGGCCGGGTTAACAGGAGGAGGCCGTAAACGCAGGGGCGCTGCCTTCTGGTTTGGAGGAAGAGAGGGGCCAGGACACCCTGTTCTTTAAGGCCTGCATGCACATTGTTGAGGCTTTTCCAGAAGGATGAAACAATGAGATGCAGGTCGAAGGGAAACTAAATTGCAGAACACATTGAGAAAAGAGGATTAGGATTTACAGCACAAGACATTCTCAACTACTTCTGTTCAAACTCTTTCTTGCCACCCATCCAAAAAGCAAATTCTACCTGAATGTTTTTATGTTCATTTTACTACATTTAAGAGGTGGGCGTACTTTGGGTTGACTGCCACCTGTTAGTAAATTCTTGATGTTACAGGTCATTTAGCTGACGCTTTCATCCAAAGAGACTTACATTACATTTAACCCATGGCTTTTTTTTACATTCATGCAAAAAGGGTTCGGTGTCTTGCTCAGGGACACTTCGACATGGAGCAGCCAGGGCTCAAACCACCAACCTTGCGGTTCCCAGAGCGCCCTCTCTGCCCCTGCACCACAACAACCCTGATGTCCACACAAAGCGCAGCGGCGGCTGCCCATGGGTTCTCTGCCTGTGGTTGGCAGGTTGGAGCGGATCCCGTCCGGTGTGTCTTTGGCATTCGCCCTAGCGATCACGACACACGGTCCTCTTTGACCACCGGCTTAGGGTGTGGAGAAGTGATTTGTAAGGTATGACCCAATCGTCATTTTAAAGGGTGAAAACATTGTATGCATTTAAAAAAAAAAACATCTGTTTATCAAACTGTTGGTAAAAGGAATAGAAGTGTCCTTTCCACTGACTGGAGGGTCACCTGCTGTCTCAGCACCGGCCCTCACAGCAGCCCACTGCTCTCCTCAACGCCTGAATTATTCACCAGCCCAGTGTTCACTACGGGGACATGCTGCCTGTGTGGGTTCATGTGTGCATTCTGCTTTTAAGTGCTTGCTTGTACGCTAATGCAAATAGGCACGTTTGTGCAAATTGTTCATAATTCTATGTGTACAGGCTTGTGGTCGTACTGTAATTTTGCACGCGTGCAGGATTTGGGTTGATTCTCTTTGCATGCTTTAGAAGCACCAGGGTGATGCAGTCTTTGGTGGACCTCATTGATGCTAACCCATACAGACAGGGGGCGCTGAATTATTCAACGGACACTCTCCCTTTGTACATTTTCTTCCCACTCACCCCTGTAAATCCCACTTCTTTTCCATCAGCGTTAACCAGCTATGCCAGACTCTGTAGATCTCTCATTCCCTTCTTCTCTTTGTCAAATTTAGCTGCCAAGGCTACGCTGCCAAGAATCCTGTGTGAGGCACCATGCCAAACCGGTTGTCTTTTAATGCTTACGTCGAAAATCATGACGTCCAATACATCTACAACTACACACAAATGTATGAAACTCACACCTAAACAGTCCCCAAAACAAGGGAAAAGTACCGGTTTCAGTCTCATTTAGATTTGTCCAATTCTTCCTTCAGCGGACGAAACTTAAAAGGAAAAGGTCTACTTGTGACGTTCTCTGCTTCCCCTGGAAACGAGGCCCCAAACACATTGCTTGACTGTCTTTATTGTTCCCAGCTGTTTCTGTATTGTGGTCACATAAAGAACTACTTGGGGCCAATATGAATGCCAGACAGCATTCAAAGCCTTTTATAATTGCTATTTTTATGGTGCTTTTTAGAGTGCCACAATAACTTTTGATTAGCTGAGTACATTGGAGGTGGGGAGAAAAGAAAATCCCTGCACGAGGCACCATTACAGCACTTTGATTATCTTTTCATTCCTATCTGTGGAGGTATAAACATGATGGATGGCCGGGAAGGAACAGACACCAGAGCACCCGTGTGGGTAAAATGGCTTAATAACCCTGCACTGGAATCATAAGCATAAGAAGCAGATTTCATAAAGTCGGGGAGTACGTCGTAAACTCCGCTGTGTTCTGGATTATGAGAGTGTGGGGAAGCCCGGTCACACAGACTTGATGAGACTTGCTGATGATTTGGGCTTCCCTTCTGTAACGGGCTTACTGCATCACTTAACCACCACCAAAAAAAACAACACAAACGTTCTTTAAACACTTAAAAAGCGGATTGTTGTTTTTTTTTCTCTAGCGGCTCAATGTGCAGCTAGAGCAATGTGGATCCTCTCATCCTCTCATCTCATCCTGATAACTATCTTTTTTCCCCCCATTTCAGCATTCATTCCAAATCATCCGTCGGTTGTAGATTAGACTCGGACCGGACCCCTGCGTCCGTGACCCGACGTTCACATTTCTGGCTGACCTTAATTCTGCTCTTCTTTTTTTTCTGTCTCACAGGAGCCGCCTGCCGCAGCCTGCGATGCTCGTTTTCCCTTTTTTCTCCCCCCCAAACCACACACACACACACACACGATGAACTAAACTGGACCTAACTGCCTACCAACAGACCTTCCAAGTCTTGAATTGAACTGTGTTCTTTTGTTCTTATAACCCTTCCTTTCCCAACACCCTCATACACTGATGCACAATTACACCTTCCCTTCTGATCCAAAACGATTGATTTTGTGTATTTTGTGTCTCTTAGTAGCAGGGTTAGCATTCGGGCTAATCCTCCAACTGTATCGGAATATTGGTAACATGGTTTCTTTGTCACTGCTTTGAGGTGTCTGTTGAAGCGACGCTCTCCTCGCTGCTGAGAGCAGCCAGGAAGAAGCCGTTGCCCTGTTTTGAGGGCTCAAACATGAAAAAGGGTTGCGTTTGCTCGGCATGGTCAGAGACGCTGAACGGGGTTGGAACAAGCCTAGATGAAACACACATTTTCAGTAAATTAATGCCGAAAGTCATGTAATTAAAGCCAGCGTGATCCATAGCATAACAGTACATGTGCTTTATTTATGACGGCCTTAAAGCATCAGCAGCACACCAGGTACATTCATGCACATAAATGGTTAACTTCAACAAGTCTCAACTTCTTTGCACCAAAACACACACAGACTTCAAAACTATTCCGGAAAAAAATGTCTTTGAGGAGGGAAGCTGTGTGGAAAAGGTGCTTTTTCCCTCCTTTTTTCACAATGTTTAGAGACATAAATGGAGAGCTTTGATGATGTTTTCTCTTTCAGTCCCACCCTGAGGTGTGCTGAGAAGTTGAGAGAATCCTGTCTGAGGAGAAACAGACAAACAACCGAGCAGGCTGACAGACAGCGAGGCAAACAGACAGAGAAAGAAAGAAAGATGCAGATGCACAGAGAGCGACGAGGCACTGAGACCCGAGGCTGACCCGAAGTTGCCTTGTTTTGGTTTCCCCTGCCGCTTCAAGCGGGCATTGGCTTGCTCCAGGGCGCTTCTCACCACCTCCTCCTTCTCCTCTTTGTATGAGGAACAGGTGGAGTACACCATCGCCACAACCTTAGAGACTAACCACAGAAATCTGTGCACTTTATAAACAGTTAACTTAAATATAATTTAGTAACACATCACCTTGTGTGTTGAAACTGTTATATTATCCCTTTAGATGTACACATTGGAAAGATTGCATGGCACATAGTAAAGATATTATTTTGAAGATGATTCAGTGACCATTGCAGCAAGTCGGAGACGCACAGACACACACACACATTCAGTCAAAAGTTTCTTCCCCTTTCATTTCCTGACAATTAAATTGGATTGTTCAAACTGAATCGGCCTGCTCATCAACCGTTCCCCTTGAAGAAAAGAGTTCTTGGATATTCATCCCTTGGTTCCGTTTGTGTATATTCGTAGCTCATTTCATTCATAGTGCTGCTGGCTCCAAGATTTGTGAAGCATTTTGATTTCCTTCATTTGAGCTTTGATTTTTTTTTTTATTTCCCACTAATTACAGACAGCAGGGAACAATTAACGCCAAGCTCATAACAAAAATGTGAAATATCGCTCGAAGGAAGCGGAACTGAAGAAGAAGGGGACTGAGGCAGAAACATTTGTTATACACACCCAACCCACATCAAGAGTGAGGTGTGTGTCTGTCCGTGTGTGTGTGTGTCTGTCCGTGTGTGTGTGTGTGTGTGTGTGTGTGTGTGTGTGTGTGTGTGTGTGTGCCCGCATGCGTATGTAGAGTGAGTGAAATGAGACTATCGACTCAGCCGAGGCAAAATACTCAATACACGCCCACCATTAATTAACAGCCCTATAAGTAAGTATCTACCCTGGGCAAAAATGTAAAAAGGGGGCTGATGGATGGCAGGGTGATTAGAGGAGCTGGTTTATCACCCCTAACCGCTAATTTATCACCCCTAACGTAAAGACTCAGACCCAGACCGACATAGCGAGGGAAGCACTGAACAATACAAGACAGACTGAGCCAAACAATACCAATGGGCAGGAAAGCTTTGACTGCGGAACAGAACCACGACACCTGCATAATACAGAATATAATTCAACTTCACCAGGTAAGTCCCTCATATAGATTGACCATGGACCGGGTGTCATATTCAGCTCTATAGAATGTATGCAATACAAATGAGAGTTGCTAATTACTTGTTTAAATTATGCAAAGAATACTGCAGGAGACTGTGGATGACCGACGCAAAGGAACATTTCTAATTAAAGCTCAGACAATCTCCCCGGGATTGCCACAGGCTTCCCCCAAATGGAATACAACATTAGATATGTAGGAAGTTTTACGGGACATTGTGTCAGAGAGGTGGGGGAGGCTGCGCGTGCCCGAGTGCGCCTGTGTGTGTGCGTGCCTGAGTGTGTGTGTGTGTGTGTGTGTGTGTGTGTGTGTGTGTGTGTGTGTGTGTGTGTGTGCGTGTGTGTGTGTGTGCGTGTGTGCGTGTGTGCGTGTGTGTGTGCGTGTGTGCGTGCTTGTCAGCATGAGAGCAGGTGGTTCAATGCTCACACTTCAAGGAATGTTCAATATCCTCCCTCCGCCGGGCGACCAGAGCTTCCAGTTGACTCTGGGCTGTGGAGCTCTGGGATAAGCCCTGCAGCAGTTCTGGGTCTGAGGGAAAAAAAGCAGAACCTGTGTTGTATTAGCTGATCTGTTTCAGAAAAGCCACTAATACAATTGACGTCAACAAAAGTATATGGAGCGGATCGCTTTGGTGTGTTTCCAGCGTTCATATGCAGCCTATGAGACGGACGTCAGTCTCTAAAAATTGGTCAAATATAGCAATACTAAGGTATCATTATTAACAACAGAGTACACAGAGATAGGAATTTGTACTGTGTACATTCAACAGAATGTGTGTGTCCAGTGTTATTCTGTATGACAACGGCTGCTGAGTGCACTTTACAACCATGTAAAGGGGTCGTCGTGGCGCAGGGGTTAGAGAAGGTGTGCTGGGAAGCACAAGGTTGGTGGTTCGATTCCAGGCTGCCCCATGTTCCATGTCGAAGTGTCCCTGAGCAAGACACCTAACCCCTAATTGCTCCCCAGGCAAAGGGTTTATGTAATGTGTAATGTAAGTCGCTTTGGATAAAAGCGTCTGCTAAATGACCTGTAATGTAAGCATTTGTAAACATGTAGTATATTCCTGTGCCAACATGCACACAAGCCGGTCTAAAAGTGATTCATGGTTGCTGCATCTGTGAGGATTGACAGTGTCCTCACTGCAGGAGTGACACCAGAGTGACACCAGGAGACAACCCTTTGCACCGGTTCTTTGCGGAAGGCTTTCGCCTGTTTGTGCACATCCAATACTTCCTAACTACACGGATTAGCAGAGAAAATTGAGAACAAACTGTTTGTGCTAAACCTTTTCCGGAGGTTTAATGTACAATAGATCACAACGTGTATTTCTGGATTCCTAATAGGTAGATAGACGGTTTACCTCCGTTCTCTTGCACTAAAAACTCGACCGGATTGCCGACTGCCGACACGGAGCACTTGGGCATCAGCAGGATGACGCGTAACTTTTGGAGTCGCTTGTCAGTGCTGTTCAAAGACTGGAAGACCTCCTCTATCAGCTTCACGTCTGAGTGGAATGCACATAGAGCTCAATACCCTGCTTGATCACGAATGAACATTTGCTGAACAATAAATAGGACGGTCAGTTTGAAAGAATAGTGGATCGGTGTGGCAACACCAACGGGCAACACTAAGCTTCTCTTTCATCTCCATCGCCTCGCATACAAGGACACAAACAGATACTGCACTCGTGGACACATTCGTTTGATGCCTACTCTTGGAGCCCATGGCCGTTACAACCTGCCGCAACTCCTCCCTCTGAGCGTTTGTACGATCACCGACACAAACGTAGACTGTCGGCTGAACCTTGCTGGCGGCTTTGAGGCTGTGTGGGACACGGTGAGGCCGGAGAAGCAGCCCAGCATTATTTTGATGAGGATACAAACATGTGAAAAAGGAACTAAGGTAGGAGAAATTCAGATAGGAAAAGATGAGAGCGGAGGAGGAGTCTGGAGCAGCAGTTGCACGCGGGTACTGAGGGGAGGCAGGAGGGGGAGAATAACTGGGCAGTCAGATTACAACAAAGATGTCCTTCAATCAAGGGTGTCCCCCCCCTGGAAATAGTGCAGAACTTATCGCTCCGGAACCACCGGGCTGGCCTGAGTTTCTCCTGTTGACATACAGATTACAGGGTTTGTCGGGAAAAACAAAGCAGGTTGGAGGAGAACAAGGACATTTGAAAAAAGAGAGAAACTAGGAGAGCGAAACTGATGGAGATTCATAAAATGGAGAGAGAGAGAGAGAGAGAGAGAGAGAGAGAGAGAGAGAGAGAGAGAGAGAGAGAGAGGTGATTAATTGGCAGTGATGTCAAATGTTTAATTGAATTTGGCTGCAAAATCCAATTTGCTTTTGTTGTGGTACTGTTCTGCTTTCAGTCTGTTTGGCAGCTTGACTTTAATGGAGTAGAAAGGAAATGATTAAACCGCTCGGCCCCTCCCAGACTGATGGATTCTTTGTGGCTCAACGTGAAGTATGGCAAGATGAGAAGAACTGGTGTGAAATATCTGTATCTACGAAAACCAATCTTGGTTGGCATAAGGGAACCCTGTCTTATAATGAATCCCAAATACTGAAGGCTGTTGTGGGGGTAGGGGAGGGCAGGGGAGGTGGCTCTTGTCAGAAACCTCCTCCCTCTGTGAAGCAACTACCTGCATGATGAGTGCGTGGTCGCTGACCAGCTCGGTAGTGCTGCAGGGAATACCAGTACATCCCCACAGTGGGGATCCTGGCAGAACGTCCGTCCCTCCAGCTGCTCAATCGTTGTCACCTCTCTTCAACTCTTCAGGACGGCTTAGACCTCATGGACGCGAGACGCGAGGAGAGAGGGGAGCATAATAGGCAACGCCCAGGACGAGGTAAGAACGACGGGAGGAGTCAAGAGGTGGGAGAAGGAGGGAGACCGTCATTACAGATAATAATAGTGTGTTCAATTCTGTCTGGCCTTTAAAAAGACTTTAGTAGTAAAAAAAAAAAGTGCTGTAAAAGCCGTTAAGATACATACAGTCGTAGTTGCACACACATACACAGACCCGCAGTGCCAACAGGTGACCTTTAAAGTCCTACAGCTTGCTGAGGGTTGTGGCTGATTGAATCTGTCCACAGCAGCAGGATTTACACCAAACTGAATCAGCCTGTCAGGGCCTCGGCAAGAACACGCATTAGCACACACACACACACACACACACACACACACACACACACACAGTCGAGTGATTTAATTGGATGTCAGCAAAGCACCTACCCTATAAAACATTGGGCCGCACCCCAAGTTAAAGGTCTCCCTGTGTGTATGTGTGTGTGTACATCTCTCTACATTTGCTTACTGTGCATTCCTTGGTTTGTGTGCAGGTGTGCATGTACAGGTGGGCGCCCGGCGTTAGTTTTTGTGTGCTCAGCTCACCTGCTCTTCAGTGTGTTGACCCAGGTGTAAAGTGGAAGGCTGCTGGATCTCTCCTGCTTCACCTTCACACTCTGCGGCAGGATACAGTCGATGGACGGGAGGTTGTGTTTGACTCAGTAGCGGGCCAGAGAGGCCGCCAACTTGGTCTTAAACCTGCGTACAACGAAAGACGATTGGGTTTTCTCTTCCCTTTTTCATGAATCCACTCTTTTTGTTCCTTTTTCTTCTCGTTGTTCTTCCAGTCCTTACTTAAGGAGGTAGCTCTCCACATCTTTAACCCCCTGTACGATCTCGTCCTCCCCCTGGCATTTGCGGGGGAGGAACTTTCTGTCCTGGAAGTCATAGAGCGTGACGGCAATGAGGCTCATCTGATCATCTGGCTACAGCGTGAGAAGAAAAAGTCCAGTTAAATGGGGACAACAGGACAACAAACAAAGAGGCTGAAAGAGGAGACACATGCTTAATGGACTCATTTTCATTTGGATTAACACGACCGAGATACACGCTTTTAATCAGTGGATGATTATGCGTCCACGATCAGCTACTACACAGACGATTGCTCTGTTTTGATAACCTAGTGAGGGGTGCAGTGGAGGGACACAATTTAACAGTATGCAATACAACGTTATCCACACACACACACACACACACATGCAGCAGCTCAAGGATGTCCTGTCATGACCCCACCGCTGCCACTTCGTTAAACATAGGCGGCAGAGTTATGTCTCTATTTCTACAAGTATCTCTATCCATTCAGTTCTGCGTCCCCTCTCTCCCCCTTTTTTCCCTCTCCACCTTTCCGTCCCTGAGGGTGGGAGGGCACCCGCCGCATTAGTGACAGATGGTGTTCCACCACAGCAACTGCTTGCAACATCCTTGTTACCGGGCTAATGGGCCAAAAAGCTAGAAAGTTAAAAGGTTTTTTTTCTGCAGCTATATAGGTAATTAGCCGGTGCTTGTTATTCACTCTGTGGGCTTTTCATTTTGTTTTGTTTTTAAAAGGTCAATCTGGGAAACAGGTTGTGGAACCTCCACTTGTCCTCTCGTGACTCTCTACCAAGGTCAAACCCTTGGTTGTGGGGAAATTCCCGGTCACTAAGTTCCTTGGCAACAGCCTCCCGTGGTGGGAAATAGACCTTCAGCACACAAGCCTGCTGTGTAGTCACATGCTAGTTTATGACATAAGAACTTAGCTCGGCCTCACTTTGTCACAATGAACTTGATTTGAGATAATGCTTGTTTTAATGCTAAAAGCATTAAACACAGAGCAAAATGCAATTTTCAAGAAGATTCTAGATGCAGCGGAAGATTCACATGGCTCCTTCTTCATGGGGCTTGGGCCTATTTCATTTTAAATGTGGCGGTGTGCCTAATATTCCTGCCTCACATCTTTAGTGTCGTTCATTTTCATGCTCTGCCGGATTTGGGCACAATTTTCTCTCTTTAGTTCGGTCAAATCCGCCTGAGACTCTTCCATCATGCAAGTCCATAAGTTCGTTGCCATTTTTTCCCCAATACCCACGTGTACCCATCGTTTGTAGGCCGCCTGTTCTCTCTGCCAAGGTTGAACTTTATAGATGCCAGCGGTGTAAAACGAGGTAAGACGGCGCTCTAAAGACTGTCTCTTTGCGACTGGGCTTTATTGTCTGGTCGCAGAATAACGACCTGCCACCGACATATAGGGACACCCATTCATTTCAGCCAGGGCCATGTTTCACAAGGTGTTACTATTATGTCTGTATGTCTGACATTGGTTGTCTGTACATTCCATGACACTCAGTTTTCTGACGTTCACCCCTGTTGCTCTCGCAACGTTCAATCATTTTCATTGTCGATTAGCCACGTGCACACAGTGCTGTGCGTGTTTTATCACCATCCACTGTTAAGAGAAGCAACTAGAACAGCTTCCTCTTTCCGTAGCTCCTTTTATGCGGAGTAATAAAAGTAGGGCAAAAGTACACGCCAATCTCCCGAGGATACGTCTTCGTTTAAGTAGCAGAGCGTTCATCTCCAGCCGCAGGTACACAGCTGTGCGGAAAGCGTTTCTTTTACGACCACGTAGCCCATCCTTAGTCATCTTACTTATCACTGAATTTCAGCACAGCGGTTCAAGGGCAGATCGACACTCCTGACACAATCATCCAAACACACTGGGGTTGTTTATTTCATTACTAATTAATGGGGGGGTTTAGCTTGATGAAAGTAATAACGGAAAATACCTCGTAGTGCCTTTTAGATGTGAGCCACTGTCATTCATACGGGTAGAGAATACGTGAAAGACACAAGGGGCTTTGTGAGTTGAGTATTAATGTAGCACATATAACGGTTACTGAGAACAGAAGAAAGAGAGGCCTACGTGGAGAACGAACAGCAGGACATGGATGTAGGAGTGGCGCACCGTCAAAAGACTGTGAGCCAAAGAAGAGCACGAGATAAACAAAGCTATAAACAAAGTGCTAACTCCAGAGCTCATGTCAAGGTATTCTCAGGATCAAAAAGGTTTTTGATTTTCAGCAGAAAGTTGACAGTAACAGATGTGCCTCTCTGTCGTATAATGCCGGAACACACCAAGGGATAAAATATATCTACTTCTCTTAAACTACTGCTGTCTTAATGAATACTGCTCCCGTGTAACTCACTTACCATTGGCTGAGTGAGGTAAACGCTACCCATCATAATCTCCTGAAGAAGAAACGTAGAGAGGTTAATCAAGGTTAGCCAGGTGGATGGGAATTTGGTTGTGAGGATTTCCATTAGCAATTATGTGTCTGAGTAGTTCCACATTAGTGACATCTTTTGTATGAAGGGCTAATTATCCATTAGCTGGTAAAATATATGATACCGTCGACACATTCATATCTAATGACGATGGGAAAAGAAATAAAGACAAAGAGCAAGAGAAGCTCCTAGAGGCACCCCAAATGATCATGATTAAATTTGAAAAGAAAATTCAATTCAACAGAGGGTTTAATTTCCTGTGATTGAATGCTTATTTGCTGCTTAATTAGAGTTAATCTGATTCTTCATTTGCCTCATTTCTTTTATTTATTGTGTCTGTGGTGTGGGTGTGTGTAATAGGAGGACTAATAAACAGGCTACATTTAAACAATGAAACCAAATAGCAGCCACGCATGTATTATATACCAGACACTGTTTGTATGAATATATTTGATCAACTGTTAAGAAATGTCTTTTTTTTTACCTTCAGTTGTACACTTAAACTTTTACTTTTTACAATTTTACAATTACATATTACCTTTTTAGTAGTTATGGTACTATCAAGGTAGCTCTAACTATAGAGTTAGTTTTAACTTAACTCTATCCATCCAATATCCATGTGGCCTAAATATGGAGTGTTTTCCTCCCCATGGAGGGGATGAAAATAAGGCGGCAACTGTTTTGCTGGCCTACAGGATGCCTTCTCTCAATAACACACATAAAAGCACAAGCAGACTTACATTTCAACCTGGGACCAGCGCGCTCTCCTTCCTAATATGTGAGAGACAGAGAGCGGGCAACCCAAGCCGGTTGTGGTCAGGATTAAAGAAACTGCTTCAAAATACACTCAGTGCTGCAGCGTTTGCTCATTGCACACTTGAAATGGGCAAAAATACATTTTTTTACTAGTAAGTTTGTGAGACAGGTCCATTGTTTGGTTGCGGATAAGCAATTACAAGGTTGGAATGAGGTGCTTGTGTAGGTGTGAGAAGCCACTGTTTTAAGTGCTTGTGCAGTACGCGTGTACAACACACATTGTTGCCTTCTCTGGTACTTCTTATTCCTGACAGGCACACGTCCTAAGCTGCAAATAGGAGGTAAGCCCGGCCCGTCTGAGACACTATGGAAACCGCACACACTGCCGTTACCTTTTCCTACCGTCTCATAGCATGCCAATCCGCACTCTGGATCACAGCCAAACACACTTTGGGTAGATTGCAAGAAACACACACACACACACACCTTTGCATGCAGTTACATCCTGGCCCACATACACACAAACAGCAAGATACACGTGTAAATGTTTGCATGTCATAGGGCGTATCTTTAATTGAAGAAACAAAGCACATCATCAGTGTCGGTCATCGCAGGTGCAGGTCAAACGGGTTTAGCATACCGGTCGTTACTGCAGAAGGCCCGATAAGCCCCGAGGAGATAACCATGCAGTGCACAGAGTAGCAGAGACCCCAGAGGGAGCCATGGACGCCGAGTCTGTAGAGGTCATAGCGCATGATACAAATCACACGCAGCGGGTGGAGTAAAACAGCGAGGAAATTCTGCTATAAATCACCTACAATAGACGTCTTTACACAGCAGACAGTGCCAGGTTTTTTACTGGTGGGACCAGAGCGAATTTATTAAATCAGAAATCTTGACTTTGGAGGTGGAAAACGAAAAGGAAATTCTTCAAATCAGTCTTAAGGGAAATAAATCCTACATCAGCGGGAGCAAGTAGTCACTGCGGGACCAGTGTTGTAGTTGTGTGTTTATTGGCTTTCATCCAGGGGTTAAACAATGAGCAGTGACTGATGGTGACTGCAGTCAAACAAATCCTTCTTCAAAGAGCCAGACCTGAATGCAGGCTCCACTAATCATCAGCCAGTTCTTTGTCTCACAAGGTTTGGCATCGTCGCTCCCCATCGCACATCAGTATAACAGCTAAAATAAAAGGTACATGCCATAAGTTATGCCTTCGGACTAAATGCAATATCTATCTTTCATGTCGAACACCGGTCCAATTGTGTATTTGCTGAAGCATACGGCTGGTGGACAAAAAAAAGTATTTCCCTCTTTCACGCTCTAAGTCCTAAAACACAAAGTGCTCCAAAGAACCTTTCTGGAGCGTTTGGCAGCCCAGCTGAGCATGGACAATAAGGACGAAATAGTAGCCAACAGAAAGAGCGAGAGAAAGGGGGGAGGGTGGGGTTGGGTGGGGTTGGTCGGCGGGTTCTCATGGCCAGCAACAAGGTCAACTACTTTTTTACCCATTTACAAATTCACACGCAAAGACATTTACATAACTTCATAACCTCCGCACTGCATTTCGAGCACTGACAAGAAAACGTAAGACCGTTCAGCGAGGAATTAAACCGTGACAACATGAAATGTCTCTGGGTTCAGGGATCAACAGAAGTCAAAGAAATCAGATGAGCAATGCAAATAAAGAGACGAGGATGCAGAAAAAGGGCAGGCTTCGCTTCTGATGTTTGTCATTGGGCCGACTCCAGCTTCGCCTTTGTCTATGAAATGTTGAATCCCCACGAGAGTCAACGTCACCAACTCCCAGTGCATATTGACAAACGACTTATAGATAAGTCGGCGCTCTCGGTAACCGATGCAGAACTGACTGAGCATCTTTTTTTAAGAAGATAAGAGTTATAATCACAAGATCAATACCAGAGCTCATTGGTATTTTGTTCTGCGTATCTTTTGCTGCTGAAGCACTTCTTCTTTAGGTTAGCAACTGACCTAAGCTCATTTCCGGTGCACAAATATGTCTTGTGTGTGCATGTCTGCGTGCGACTGCAAGCAGTGGGTGTGTGTTCCACTTGCAAATCAATTTCTGCACCACGAGTCAGGCTGTTGGTGGGAAGAGGACCTGGAGATTAACATTGGCTTCCAGGCTGTGTCATTTCATCTACACCCAATTTCCCTCACACAGGCAGTCCGAGGGAATCTATCATGTGACCAAAACACGCACTCGATCGAGGCAAGTTGGCAATCAGTCGTCTGAAATTGTCACCAAGCCACTCTTCTTGGGAGACAATGATGTTCTGTCTATTTGCTGTGCAATTATAAAAGCTGTAATTAAGGACTCTGATATAACATATTTATTTTTATCTGCTTAACCCTCTGAAGATCAGGAATCATGTGACCGGTCCAGATATCTGCCAATATTCCTGTAAACTGGCCAACGATTGTATTTGCAACTCATGTTTTTTTTTCTGTTTGTAACTTACCACTGCAGCTGAAACCTTGAAGATGATTATTGTACAAAAAAGGAAGATATTTGGCTTTTCTAATAAACTTAGAACCACATTTTAAGTTAATTTAATGATCATTTTCTGTAAACAGGGCTGAGGTTCAAGTTCTTGATAAAACTAACAATAGTAGTGACAGTGAAGTCAATAAGGCATCCTGTGGAAGTGAAGACAAAATAATGTTGGGGAAGTATAATCTCTAAATTACATTACATTACATTACATGTCATTTAGCTGACGCTTTTATCGGAAGCGACTTACAATAAGTGCATTTCAACCATAAGGATACAAACTCAGAAGAACAAGAAACAAGAAAGTGCATTTTCCTCAAATAAGCCAATTTACAATTTGCATGTGCATGTGACTTATTTTGAGTAGATGTTTCTTATCCCTTTAGCAATGGTGGCTGGTGGAACACTTCCTAGGTAGGGCCATCCAATCAAATTCAGCAAACATTCAAGTATTAGTTAATAAAAACAATTAAGGAATCAAAAGCATTAGTACCTTGCAGTTGAGTATAATTTATTCCAGCACTAAAAAAGCAGTAAATAACACTGACATCTTATTTCTGTCAATAAGTAACACATTACTGATGGACAGCTACACACACAGCAGTTGCAGATTGCCTGCAGCTGCTGTTTCATGAAAACTAGGGTGCATGAAGGAAATTCCAAAGACAAGGGCAGAGGTAGCCCCGTCTACAAATTTAAAGTTATAGTGCAGGCATGTTTTTTGTCCCCCAAAATCCAGCTCTGACCACTACCAGCATTGTTGTGCAATGAGGGTAAATGATCATTCTGTCAAAATGCTTTCAAAGCCCAAAACAAGAGTCCAAAATAACAATTGGAATGTGATTTAAGAGCAGTGTTACAATTGTGGGCAAATTATCACAAGTGAAATGTAGCCCACTTAAGGAATGACAAGTGAAAGCAGTATTTATGCAAAATGGCCCCTCTGGGCATTTAGATATGCTCTTAGAGGGGCCATTGTAGATATATATATATAGTAATGTATGGTGTTATATAATTCCACAAGTGCTTCAGTAATGGTGGTGATAACGGTAATTGAGTAAAAGGACCCCCGCTGCTGAATACACCGTCATCGCACTCATTTTCCTGCTCTGTTTGTACATCTAAGTGGTGGTAGATGAAGCTTCTAACAATAATCATTTTGTAAAGCATCATTTCCTCAGCAGTCTTCTTCCTCAGTGCCTGAGCTGCTGTACGCCTGCTCCCGTGACACGGTTCACACTTCTCCTGATCTCCGATGGCGATTACAGCCTGCTGTGCCCCTTGGGGCTCACATGGCACTAATGGAGACCGATGCAGTCGGCTTCCCTCACACAGATCATTTAAGACATTCTGACTTAGGCGTTGTTCTAAAGCATAAACATTTTTTATTTTAGAAAAGAGGATAAAAACAATGATCCGTATGCTGGCATGACTTCTGCACAACAGAGCAATTCAAAGATGTTGTATGTTATACTCAGTTCACTCTCAAATCTTTCCCTCAGTTTAAATAACGGTAGTCCAGTGAGCAAGATGTATAATCCTCTGCTATCCAATAACACGGAGGACAAATGAACAGCATATTCATCTTTTTTCACTTTGCAGCAGAGATAATCTGTGAGTAGAAGATGAAACGACAGCGGGAATAATTGGGAGGCTCAGATGTTGTACACTGACTTTGCCACATGCAGTTTCAATCAGTGAACTCAGAGGCATCCACCTCCGGAATGTTATGCGGGAGAAGAGCGCCCTCTATGGAGAAAATAAGGTATCACGGTCAACAGTCAGTGAAAGATAATTACCTAAAAATCTTGTTTTCTTTCTTTCTTCTTTCTTCATCTTTAGTATTCAGACACTATTGTGCATCTTCTGTTTATTGCATTTGCTAACGTCTTTAGTTTATGTGTAGTAGTATGCACGGAAAAGAGAAAATCTTTAGCAATGCATCATAATTATTAATGCAAAACATGTTTTAAATTAAAGTACAATTTTCCTGGCTGAGAAGTAGAAGTGTAAATATGCACAGATAAATAAATATACTAATACTTGAATCTGGGTAATATCTTTTTTTATATGTTTTTATCTTAATAACATTCCACTTCCTGTTAGCCACAATGGTCAGTTTCCTTTTCTTCTTTTTTTCTTCCTTTTTCCTTCCTTTTCACCCCACATACCTTCCAAATTCCAGGCATAGAGTTTTTTGGTAACAGGGGGGTGTCTGACTGTCCTCGCTGTGTTACATAATTGATGAGAGATATTACTTTACGCCCTCGCTGCCCCGGCGCTGCCTCACGCAGAGCTCGCCCATTAACAATTCACTGGATGATTTTGAACAGAGAAATGATTCTGCGTGTGCGCGCGAACGCTGCCTCTCTCAACCTCAGGAGTCTGATTTCAAAGCTGTGAATAAGACATGTGCTGTCTCCACTGGCCATATTTGAACCTTATAGAAGATCCCCTTACATGTTGTCGATGGTCAGATGATGAAGTAACTGTACATAACAGCCAGGATTGATGGGGATCGCATCAAGCTGTACATTTACAGCGTGCTTTCAGTAGAGTTGGTCGTTGTATGGGGAGAGATATAGCCACAATGTTACTTGCAAGAAATCCTTTTTAGTTTTAGTTTTCAACAATAGGGCCGGTGATGCATGAACATGGCCAATACAGTGAAGGTAAATGTGTTTATTTTCACATCACTATACTGTTATTATCAATAAAGTAAAAGGCTCAAAGTCCATATACTTTTCAAAATAACTGTTTATAAAAAAAGATTCCCTTTTGACTTTTGTATTTGACCAAATACCTTTCAAAAAGCCTCAAGGTGCTTTGCCGATGATGAGGATGCTCATGAGGAAGACCATGATGAAGAAGATCCACATGAAGAATCTGTCCATCACCTTAGCAATCTTCTTCCACTCCGCCCCTTTGGCGCACGTGGCCCTCTGCTCCCGGAAACAGTTGGCAATATATTCCACGTTGCGCACCAGCTTGGTGTCCCCACCGGAGAAGCCGCTGCAGAATACACAGGGGCCGAAGGTTACCGTGGGGCCTTCCGGCGGTGGAGGCTTTTTGTCTTCATGGCAGCAGGGAGGCTTTTTGTCTTCATGGCAGCAGGGAGGCTTTTGGTGTTCACGGTAGCCGGGGACCTTCTGGTCTTCTTTACAGCAGTCGCCCGCTGGGGTTTTCCCATTAGAGCCTTCGTATTTCCCCGGAGCGGCGCCGGAGAAATGGCTCCTCTCTTCTCGGGTGATGTGGTGCTGGGCTTTCACTCTGGGATGGTGCTGCAGCTTGGGCGTCTGCGGTCTGGGGTGTCTGTGACCCTGCCAGTCCTGTCGGCTAGCGTGGCTCCCTGGTTTACCATTAGCGTGAATATGGGAGTTAAGGTGCTGGTTACACAAGTCGTCCAAGTGAGAAGAGGAGGAGGAGGAGGAGGCAGAGGCGCAGTTCTCGCCCACCTCATAAACAAAGAAAATTTTGGACATGTAGTCAATGATGAGGACTTTGGCCCAGTGGGGGACAGGTTTGGCCTCCGCGCCACAGAAGTGGATGTTCATGATGAAGATGGTGAGCGATGTGGAGGCTGTGACCATGGTCATAGTGGCAATATAGTACTTCCCTGTGTAACAGAGAGGGACAGAAACAAACAGGAGCTAAGTTTGCTCCTAGAACTTTATTGTCCGTGTGGATTTCACTCCGATATAAAGCCATGCTAGCAGCTCCATGAGGCTGTGTCATAGAACGTGCATCTTTACACAGCATGTAGGCGGCACCTACATACCTGCTTCAACACAATCCTAAACAGACACTCACCTATAAGGGGGACGCTCTCGGAGGGAGGCATGCTCTCCGCCACCATCAGCTGGAACACGGTGAGAGCCAGAAGAACGGTCACCCCGAGGGACACCTTCTCCCCGGAGTCCGCGGGCAGGTAGAAGCCCAGCGGAGCCAAGAAGGATATGAGGAAGCAGGGGAGGAGGAGGTTGAAGATGTAAAAGGAGGAGCGGCGCTGCAGGAGCACGGTGTAGGTGATGTCTGGGTACGGGTCGGAGCAGCAGCCGTACATGATGACGTTCTTGGTGGCCGGCATCCCGTGGCACTCCCACTCCACATTTTCCACAAAGTCGGACAGGTCCCCGCTGTCCATGCCCATTATGATGTCCACCTGGAATCAAGGTGACGGATGGGTAGATTTCACAGCGCAATCCAGAAAATTCAGCAAATGTATCCACACACTTTTGCATGGCCGCAGAAAGAGGAAATCTGTGTTTTATCTGTTTTTCAAACTGGCCGATCACAAGGGTGCAACGGTTATTCTACGGACCTGGTTGCCGTTGTAGGTCCATGACCCAAAAGTCAGGTTACATTCCTGGCTGTCAAAGGGGAAGTAGGAGACGTCCACCACACAGGAGCTCTTGGTGATGGCAGGAGCATCCCAGGTTATCTCTCCATTGTAGCGCAGCCTCACGTTGGTGTCCATCGGCCCTGAAAAGTCATCGTCGGCTCTGGAGGAGGAGAGTTGATACAAATTGACAAGTCATGCGTTATTTGGTTAAATGGTGTCTACCGTGTGTTGTATTAGTTTGAGTTTTTTGTACTGGACTCTATTAGCTCGATAAACTGGTAACTTAGTGCGTATGGATATGGACAGTTTGTGCATTTGTGATCTTATTCCTACATTAAATATATATTTTGTGCGGAAAAGGGGAAAATCGATTTCAATTTGTGTGCCGTACGGCATACTTGTTATAGAGGACCAGGTCGGGCCTCCACACAAGGCTGCTGGGGATGTGGATCACCTCCAGTCCGTCATAGTCCTCTTTATCCCACTTCAGGTAAGCATCATGCCACGTCTGTCTGATCCACAGATAGGCAATCAGCACCTGGTTCCTCTCATCCTTTCTCACACACACACACACACACACACACACACACACACACACAAACAGTCATCAAGGAGGAAAGACACACACACATGTATACCTAAAAATGCATGTTGGATACAGAAGCTTAAAGAGTCTCCTTCTCATTTCTCTGTGGCTCTGCCTATGAGCGTTACGAGGGGTTTAAATGATCCCAACAGCTGAAATCCAGACCCGTCTGCCTGTATCAGGTGGAGGACCTGGCGGGGGGGGCAACAATGAACCTGAACAGAAACCGGAGCCAGCTGAGTAACTGGTTGACATTATTGTGATAATTGGATGGATGAGCCTTCTGAAAGTAGTCCTCAGTTAGCCATCAAAACAATGTTGAAATATGCACAATGGATTCTTCTGCATAGGTAGTATTTTTAGCTCAATTAAGTTGTTGTCGAAAGTCATCTTTGGAGACATATTAATCATTATGCAACATTATAATAAACAAGGGTTAAATAAAAAATAAGAACTTTACAGAAGATTAGCACTTGGTAATACGATTTGAGAATGGAGCCACCCACCATGTCTTTGATCTGAGAGAGGGTGATCTGTAAGGTGACGTTGAGGGCTCGGTCCGTGTCCTCGACCGGCCGCAGAGCGCTGGAATAATTCTCCATCAAATCATTCAGAAGCTTGTGGGCATATTGACCTTGAGCCGATTGAGTCACTGCAGGGGGAACATGTGATCGTCTTTTTTAATAAAGCCTCCCTACCACCTTGTAATAATAATTTATGTTTTTCAATTAATCTGTAAAACTGTTATGATTGTTTATTATTTCTCTTTTCCCAAATCTTTTTTCAATGTCAAACTAATACTATATATCATATGACCACTAAATGTTCTAACTATGATAAAGTGTTGTACAAGGAAATGTTGTTTTTTTGTGCAATTCCAATCCCCCTTAATGAATTCTTGAGAGAACGCTCCACAAGCAATGTGGAAACTGGGTTAAATGGGGTTTAGGGCTTTATAACAAAAACATACATCTCACTTTAATTAAATTTCTTGGACGGAAGTTTGAAAACAACATTAAAAAAATTGGCATAACTGCTCTCAATTTGAAAGGCATAGCGATTTCTACGGAATTACGCGCACTGCAACGCATTTAACATCGATAAACATTGTGTATCGATGATATACATCTTTCATAAGCAAACACGTCAAAAACATCACATTCCCTCTACCTAATTAACAACAGCATTAAGATATTTATTTCTGCAAGCATGTGTGTTGGACTTACCCTCAGGAAGCAGCAACACCAGATACATTATTGGAATCATGTTCCTTACACCTGCGAGACGAATAAAAAGGTAAATGCGACCACCGATCCGGCAGCCCTTTGGCTTCATTCCCTCCTCAGGCCTACATGGTTCCCCTTTCGATCCAACTCCAGCTCATCTGACCGCCTTGGCGGTCACGCATGCTTGTCACCTGCTTGGCGGGAGAGGCCGCGCGTCTCTCTGCACACCGAGACAAGGAATAAAACTCTGGCGTATCGTATAGCAGCGGCGGCACACCGAGAGAAACACGATGCCCACGAGTCATCGCCTCGCCACACACACACACACCGGCCTATTCAGATGGCCGTCAAACCGGTGCCGCTGAGTGAGCCGCCGACCTGCTCCTTCAACGTACAGCCAAGCAACCACGCTGGTGTTATGGAGTTGAAGTGAAGGTAAGTTCTAGAATACATTTAAAAAGGCTGCCAACAAGAACTTGTCTACAGCTCCCTGGACGAAAGGTACCCAAGGTATGCAGGGCATGAGAGAAATCAGTCCCGTGAAACCTTCAACCCGCATAAGGCTACAAGTTCATTCATTTGGTCTGCGTTTTACCAGATCATCCCATCAGAGGAGCCAGTTAGCATGATCTTTAACGGAGGGGAACTGAAGATGGTTGGAGAGATACGCGAGGGGAGGGACATAACATGAGCTTTTGTCAATTGGGATACCTGTACTGGGAAACCACGGGCTTGTCTGGCGTGAAGCAGGTGATATTCAGTTAAATCCATATCGATACTCTCTGAAGCCCTTTAATAGATCTTCACTACTTCAATGCAGCAATGGCAGCTTTTCACCGGTTTGGTGGGAGCATTCAGGCAGTGATCTGAACATTGGCAGATATTGTATTCTTGGCAGGGTTCAGCATGGAACAACATGCCACCAGGCAGCCATCTGTTATTGTGCTCATTCTCAGCATGAGCAAGGTGGTCTGAACATAAGAGCCTTCATCACTTCCCTGTCATCGCTCTAAACGCACAACACAACAAAAAAATGTTGTTCGCTAAAGCAGGAATAATACATAACTGCGAGTCAAAAGTACTAATGTAGGTGCTGGAAAGGCCGATAATTCATTCCCGAGTGCACATTCGTCCCATCAATGGGTTTGCTTGCTCCCTTTTCACCGGCAACGTGATTTCCCACAGGATCGACTTCTGCCGGTCTTACCAATTTTGTGCTTCACCGTAGTTTGTTTTAGATATTTATCAATGTTGTGACCGAGGTTACACTTAAAAAGGAACCGCCGGAGAAGTATTGATCGAACATTATATCGGTGACAGGTAGTTTGTGGTTGTTCCTATTAAGAGGAAAATATCCCAGTGGAGAAAAGCCCCAGAGAAGACAGACGGCTGTTTAATTTACACAGACTTCAATATCTTTATTTACAGATTAATCATTTTGACATATTTATCTGTTGCCGTAGTTATGATGCAATATCTATTTTTCCCATCCAGACCTGTCACGGCTTGTACAACTGGCGAACATGTTTTTCTTTGTTTGTTTAAAAACAAGAATCTAAATGTATTCCTGCAGGAGACCAGAAGCAAATAAAAGTAATGTTAAAATGCAGGGAAACGGACGGAAATGAGCCATGTGAAGAGCAGGTGTGGGGATTGAAGCTGGGGTTCGGCGCGAGTGCTTTGGGTCGGTCAGACAGTTGAAGAGGGGAAATATGTCATGAAAATGGAGTGTGGCTACAACGTGAACGCCTCGGGGACACCTGGTTCCTGTACAGAGAACAAGCCTCTTCCTGCACTGTGTCTGTATAACACGGTAACGGATTGCTACCCGGTGCACTTTATTTACCTTACAACATATAGATTTGAATATCCACATTCTTTCTATCTGAAAGAAAAAGAAGAAGAAAAAAAGAAACACTGTAGTGCCCCAAAAAACCCAGGTGATGGCACAAGATAAAGATTCTGAAAGGGACCCAGAGTGAGAGTTTAGAGTTCCCTCAAAATATTGATTGTGAATGTCATGGGTGATCGAGGGATATTGAACACTGAACCATGAAGCGATACGCATCAATCACTCTTTAGAAAACAGGCGGTAAATAATGATCAGGTCCAAAAGACCCTCCTCGAAATGCTTGAGTCGCTCCGACAAATGGTTCTCTCGAATGAAAGTAAATGCACTGCATAGGCAAGGATAAGCCGCTGACAGCCGAAAAGCTGGGAGAGTGGGGGGAGGGGTCTGAAATTGGCTTCAAAAAGGGGTGAAGGTGTGGCAGAAGTTCTGATTGTATCAATGAGTTGAATGAACTTGAGGAAACCAGAGATAAGAGCTCACAGAGCGACTGATTGGGAGTTTTGTACAGCATAGGTCATCATCAGGGAGGGAGACGCCACACAGAGGAGATGGATGAGGGGGGGGGCTCCAGGAACTCAGAAGAGGGGGGGGGGCGTGTGAGGAGGGCGTGGGGCAGGCATCAGGAGGAAGATGGCACCACGATTCAGTTACTGAGCAGTAGCTCTGTCGCGGTTTCCACGTCCCAGGACTTCGACGACAACGCCACTATAACTGCATTCTGGGTAGAGAAACATTCAGAAGCACGGTTTTATTCTCCAGCAGAGTTCAGCAATGCACAGTACAGTGGGGTAGTGGGGGGGGGGGGGGACTTTAGAGGTACCTACTTTTTCAAAGCCCATGGCACAGAGTTTGTCTATTTTGCGCGTGTACTCCGGACTTGAGACGGGGGCGCCTGCGTAGACGTGAGACCAGAGCCTCGCTGTCTGTTTGAACATCTCGGGGTTCTGCTTGTACTGCGCCAGGAACCAAGGGGAACAACAGTCCGTTGGTTAGCGAGGGATCTGTCAATACCATTGTGCGTGTGTGGCTCTCCAATGAGAAGAAATATCTGCAGGACTTTAAGGCCACTGAAACGTTCAGAGCCAGATGAAGTTGGTTCATCTTTTCAATGAAGGAAAGCAGGCAAGCAGTGAACTGCCTTCACATACAACTTTCCCTTTGCTAGCACTGCCCTGGATATTACTCAACATGGACCAACTAACGTATGTGCAGCTTAAAAATAAGCACAATGCAGTCATACACAGAAACAGATTAACCTGATCGAAATTAAAGGCTTTACGAGCATAACACATTTCCCAGAACCACATTACTGTAATATCCAAATTTGTAGAAGACATGCTTGAAAAATGAGAAAGAACTATCAAACAGGAAAAACACAAAGAAACACGCGGACCCACCTGATTGGCTACCACTGCGTCTTGTGGATCATCTGGTTCTGCAGCAGCCAGTAAGGCTTGTAGCGAGAGGAGGACTGTCCTCAGTGTCATCGCTGCTGCCCTGAAACAACATGCAGGAAGCTGTTCAGTGACACAAAAGAAGTTCAACTGTCTTCATTGACGTAAATAAGTGTGTACTTGAAGTTTCAATTACTGCACCCGAGCGGCTGTGGAATATTTGCAATGTGCAACGTGATAATGGGCCTAAAGTTTAAATAAATCGTATCAAAGTGAGCAGGGATTGGGATAAATAATACCCCCCCTCACACAACTAGAGGAGCTTGTCATGATGGATGTGTAATGTTATTTGAGGGATGCTGGCGCCCATTCACTCACCACTGGTCTTTAAGAATGTCCAGACATATTGCACCTGTGACTGAGCTGATGTTAGGATGCCAGATCTTTGTGATAAACCGCACCTGAGAGATTCAACAAATGGAAGGAAATCATTTGCGGATTAAGTGGAGTAAATGAAAACTTTCTGAGGACACGGTCCTCAAAGAAACGGATGGTTAAGTGTAACAATGAGAGTAAAGCATCCCGTACCTTTGGTGGATTGAATGGATACGTCTCTGGAATTTTAATTTCTAGTTGATATCTGCCTCCTGGAAGAAATCAATCGTGACGTAAAAGTGTAAAAGCCTCTTGAAATAGTTGGTATGTAACGCAAATGAAGAAGTTGTTGTGAATGTTTGTCACATAAACAAATTGGTGATTGTGTGTTTGAATGAGACCCCTCACCTTCATATGGTGTGTCGGGTGGTCCTGCTATCTCCCCTTTAAGTTCTGTGAAGTTCTCATCCACCAGATCCACCTTTATCTGGTTTTTGCTTGTCTGAAAGAAGGAAAAAGGCCACACAAAAAAGCATAACTTCAGCAGACAAGCAGACAGCAGAGTGTTAAGCTAGCTCGCTGTCAAACGCAAAGCTGCTGATGCAGCAGAAGTTGACACCCCGGCAGCATTACCCGGAGTTGACCTCAACTTGTGGCACTCGCATCTGCATATAATAGTCCCTTTAACGTACTCTGGGATGGGGGGGTGAGGGGGGGATCCGCATGAACTATCTTTAGTAGTTCATGCGGATCCCACCAATGTATCCTCGCTGACACAGACAGCCTGGTTACCAACGGTAGAGGCATGATGAGCTAGCCGAGCTGCGTTAGCAACATGAATTCGAGCTATTAATGCCTCCACAAACTTGCCAAGAACCGGGACGCCTTTATATTTGACTACCCACCCCCCTCCACCCCCAGGGGAATATTAATAGCTAGCGTAAGTATCCGTTTGTGAAGGCGGTGCTCTGCCCAGTCGGATGCAGCTAGCCGCAGTTAGCCGTTAGCCGCTGATCAGAAAGCCAACAGCCAGCGACGCGACAGTAACGTTCAGCCTCTTAGTCAAATAAACGAGGAAAGCAGCGACATTAACCCCTTTAAACGGGACAACCGACCTCTTCACTTTTGAGCACCTCCTTGAATTCCCGTTTTATCCTCTGAACTGCGATGTTGGCCATGGTTCCCCCGTGTTCTCGTCCGGTTGGGCCCTCGCCGCCGTAGCTCGTCCTGCCTACAGTAGCTCTTCTTTCTTTTTAGGATTCAACCTCCAAAATTCTCAGCTTCCACGCTGTTCACCGCGAGCGCCCTCGGTCCTGGTTATCGATCTGATGTTATAATTGTTAAAATAGCAGAACGTGTATCGATCATCTCAAATGTGTCACAACACAACGGTTGGTCGTACTGGAAACATTTTAATACTAAACTGCATGCAGTCTAGAGGAGAGGTGGTCACGTGACCTGTATTGCCATCCCAGACGCCTTCTCCCATTGGCTGGTCTGGGGATGAGTAATTTATCATTATTGTTGTTGTTGTTATGGTTGTTTTTTTTAACGTTAGATCTTTGAAACCATATGTTCACGTGTGTGGTGCATTTTGGCAAAAACGGGGTTTGTGTGACATTTTAGACTTTTAATGCAGTGATCTCAGAACAGGTAAACAGGTTTTCATACAACGGCTATCGGTTTACATATAGTCATTCACAGATTGTCCAAAATCCCACAGAATTAAGTTAGACAACTCCGTTCTGATTCGCAGCTTTCAAGTCCAAAGTATGTATCAATTGAAGAATCAGTCACAGGAACTTTTGGTATTTTCTCAAAAGAAAATGAACAAAAGACAGATCCTTGTTTCTACAGTGTGACGCTAGGGGGCGTCATTGTCTCGCGGAGGTTCACACTCATTTCCGGTAAGAACACATTTAGAAGTAGTATCCAAATTATTCAAACCTCACTGACTCCAGAATACCAATACCAGAATCACGGCATCGACATATTTCTGACATAAGTAAGGTAAGCAATTAGTTAAAGGAGGAATAACACATTTTTACAATGAAAGAGAAGAAGATAGTGATAGATAGATTTTTACAGTAATTGTTGGTAAACTGATCACACATTTGTTACAAGCACAGATACATACATCATTGGACCAGACAATGTCAATGAGCCACATACAGTATGTGTGCTATACGTTATGGATCAATGTCTCTACAGTTAGCACTTAACAGGTGGACATAAGCATACAGCGACTCCTTCCCTTTTTCTCCACCTCTTCACCCTCCTCCCTCTGCCTCTTGTCTGGTTTCTCTTGGTGATGATGACAAAGACGACAAGTGCTGCCAACGTCAGGGCTGTAATTATGATGAGACCTGCAAAGACCAACATTGCCTTGTGCCTGAACATCCATGCACACACAGAACAACGTACATGCAGCTCACTAGACCGGCAGGTTTGCGTGGTTCTATCTTCAGGGAAACCACCATGAGTGATGATCTCTCTGTAGATTGCGATAGAGGCTTTGGCCTTAGATTGATGGTGGGTTGAAGTGAAGAGGCCAAACTGGGGGGCATGTCGATCTTGCAGTTTCCACACGTAGAAGCCCTGCAGGTTGACTCTATCTAATTGGCGAGCTAGAGACAAATAGAATACAGGAGTTAAGTGAGTAACCATTCATCCAGTCTCAACTTCTTCTTCCTCCTTAAGAGATATGAGATTTACTTTGAATAACTAATAATTAAAAAAAACAAATGTTTACATGCCGAATGTTATGTTAGAAAACAACATGTACTAAACTGCTGAGCTAAGTGACACAACTCTCTCCCTCTCTCCTCTCTCTGTTTTTTATGATCCTCCTAGTTTCTCATTACATCTGGGTTTTTATAGTAGGAGTCAATATGGTCATAAAACCTGCAGTGCCCTTTGGGTCTCAACATCATGACTACTGAACAACGGCTACGCTAAACACTCTGGTTCAATGAGGGCCACTATTGATGTGAGGTGAGTTGTAGAATCTGAAAAGCACATCACCTTTTAAGGCCTCCTGCAGATAACTCTTGAGAAAGTGTTGCCTGAGTTTGTCCTCCACAGGAGCCTGATCATCCACCCCACTGGCTGTGACAATGATAGGCAGAGCGCCTCCATATCTCTGGCTCACCCAGTTCAGCATCTTCCGCAGGCCCCGGGGTACTAGAGCCTGCCCCAGGCTGGAGGAGGGCCAGGTGGGATCCGAAAGGATCAGACAGCCATGATCAGGAGGTTGTTTCCGCTGAAAATTGTCTGGTGTGTGGAGATATGGAGCGACCAAGCGGGTGGTAAAATGATTCAGAGCGATAAAACTCAATGTCCCTCTGAGCTCCTTCATCTCAGCCTCAGTAAAGGTAGGAAGAGGGGATCCGGGGAGGCCCATTACTCCAGCTCTCTCCTCCAGGTATGCCTTCATCTCTTCGGGATAGTCCACGTTGCTGTGCTTCTCCTTATATCTGGTCCCAAGCAACGGGTCTAAGAACCGACCAAGCTCAAACAAAAGGAACCTCTGTGCTGCTGCTGTATGGGAGTCAAGGAAGGGGTTCGCGGGTTCAACCCAGTCGGCGTGTAAAGCAAGTGATACCAGTGCTCCCTGGCGAGCCGAGTGTTCCCTCTCGTACAGCCTCCAGGCTTTAGCGTGAGCCAGAAGAAGGTTATGAGCCGCCTGATGCTTCTCTTTCCAACTGGAATAAATGTCTATCAGTCTGTTGGGCTCATTAACGGTGATCCAGTATGGAACCCAGGACCCCAGCTGCTGGTAGCAGAGTGCTGCATACTCCTGAAAGGCCTCCACGGTGCTGTAGTTCAGCCAACCGCCAGAGGCCTGCAGTGGCCCGGGCAAACCTAGATGAGGAGATCTGTGGGTGGGGTGGTAGAGAATAACCACAGCCTCCAGGTTCAACCTCTTGAGCTCGTACAGAACGCAGCGGTAGTACCTTTTTAAAATTTGAAACAAGAAAATGGAATCCGCAGTTAATGAGGGTAGACAAGAGAGAGGTAATTAAACATCATGTTAAAATGTGTTGCGTAAAATAGGCTGAATGTGGGAAAACCGTCCATGTTTGGGTGTTTTTTGTTGTTGTTTCTACCTCAGAGCTTCAGTGTTCACATTAGAGAGGTCTCCCTGGGGTAAAATCAGAGACCAGTTGAGAGCAAAGCGGTAATGAGAGGCCCCGGTGGACTCAAACAGGCGGAGATGACCACGGATGGCCAAGTAGTCGGTGCACTGGGCTCGTCTGGTTTGCATCTTCACCCCAGGGACCCGACGCAACAATCCGTCTCCTGTCACGTTCCAGCTGTACAAATGGGGGTCAGTAAACTGTGGTGAGAAAGGGTAGAACTGGACCTACAAAGGAAAAAGAAAAAAATATCAAATGATATTATGGTAAATACAGGTAAATGATTTAGCTTACTTTGTCTCGCTTCTTACCTGTATAGTGGAGTCAGCAATCCCCCAGTGAAAGTCACAGGGGAAGCGGCCGGTGATCCGGCTGGAGGTTTCGTCGCTGGGGAAACCGTTGTCACTCACAACGCGCCGGTAGTACTGAGCACTGGTCTTAGGGGTCCTGGTTCGGTTCGGTTCGTTGAAATTAATGTAGAATAGGCCTCGCCTAACAGTGTAGCCATAATTCCACTCAAATCCATCCACAAGGGACCAGGCAGAATACCCAAACACCTGCACCCCATCAAACCTGATGGCTTTGAAAGAAAAGACAGTAGTGAAAGTGAAAAAAATAATAATTTAATGTCTTAATTGTTCATTTTTTGTCAGTTGCACTTATTGTCTTACCTTGCAGGACCTGGTTGATGAACTTCTTCATCAGGTAAATGGCCACTGTGTCCTCCTTTCCTACACTGGCTTCAGAAAACCAGCCCCCCTCTGTCACAAGCACTTTTGGGTCCCCATACGCCAGCTTTATCCAGCCCAGTATGCGCCTCAGGTCGGGGGTCACGGTCTGCCCGTACTGGATCAGGCCCCGGTCCAAACGGAGGTTGTTAGGCCCAAAGGACAGGGCAAAGAAATCAGCTGTTGTCTTCACCCAGAGTTTTTCCTCAGGAGAGAATGTGGGCAAGAGGCCCCCGTACTTCGTTTTTAAAGAGACTGGGTAGTCCCCATCACCAAAAATGGGGTTGGCAAACCAGCCGAGGGAAGCCTCCATTGACTGCTGGCAGAGCTCAATGTTTGTGACTGTGGCTCGGCCCCTTTGAGGCTCGACCCAGTGGGACCCCAAAACAATAGAGACTTTTCCATTCTGAGCCGGACGGAAGTGGGTGTTATAGGTGTGCCATGCTTTGGCGTGCGCCTGAAAATCAAAGAAGACACAATTATTGTGAGGCACTCTGCTGCAGTTTATAACCCAATTATAGAACATACATTTTTCACGGAGGACATTTAATATGCTATAACAGGAGAAATACATTTGTAAATAATAGAATGCATGACGGCTAAGATAACATTTAGCTTCAGTTAAATAGATAACCGGCACTTGAACAGAATAAAATACTCAATAATGGTGTTATTTTCCTGATATGATAACAACATCTCTGTTGGAAAAAATTATCTATCATACTTTTAAAAAAGCACACAGAGAGTGCAAATCTCCCCCAAAGCTGCACTGACATCTGGATTTATTTTATATATATATGTATATACATATATATATGAAGCTATACTTCTTGATCCAGATTTGCCTTAAATAAAGTGACAATCACACGTCTGCCTTGATTTGACACAACATTTTCAAAGTTGTTCATGCTTTTCATATTCACAAATAAATAAGCACTAAATATATGGGGCCTAATACATAACTTCCTTAGGGGAAGTTATAGCATAATTATGAAAAGAATCTCTAGGGTACCAGAGAATCAGTATTTTCTCAAACGATGTTCATGCTGCTAACTGTCCTAGACTACAACAGTTTGAGTGAATATTAATAAGGCATATCTCCATTACTTCCTGTTACAGTGTTACGCTCCAGCACAGAAGTGCTGATGTGGTGGACCTTGACCGTAATGTCTCTTGAAGTGTTCTATTTACTGAGCACATACCGGTCGAAATGAAATATGACTACGGTCATATAAAAGATCAAATAAAAAGATCAGCATCAAGGCTTTGGACGTCACTACATGACTTATGTCAATGTGATAAATTAATGATTTGGATCTATAGCATTGAAATATCTGATCACTGGTGCAGTCTGTACTTGCGTCACTTTCTGTTGTCTTGTGGATGCAAACATGCACAACCATCATTAACTGATACAACTGCAGGAGAGGTTCAAAGTTTACAGACAGTCAATATGATTAGAGAAATTCTTTATTTCTGTTCTGCCGCCCACGGTCAAGGCAGATGAAGCACAGTATGAAGATAAGAGAAGACATTCCTTTATTAGTCCCACAGTGGGGAAATTCACAGGATCGCGTCAGCAAAGTGGACAGTGCACATTACGATGTATCTTGATACATGGTAAAAAATAAATAAATAAATAAAATAAAAATAGGTAGTAACACATAAGTACCAAATAAATATATGTATATGTACACATACCACAGTGGTTATTGAACATATGTTTTAGTGTTCTTTGGCGGTGTTTCCAGAGAAATTAAATCTAGACTCGTTTTACTTACCCTGATTAGGTTGTGAGCCACAGTGAGAAAGCCAGCGGGACCCCCCTTCTCTCCAGGAGCGTGCACACCTGTCCCATAGCCCTGCACAGCCACCAGATACGGATTATGCAATGTGAGCCAGTACCTGACGCGGCTCCCAAATGTGTCGAAACAAAAGGCAGCGTAGTCCTCAAACAGTTCCACTATGGACTCATTCTTCCAGCCTCCATAGTGCTCCTGCAGGACTTGTGGCAGGTCCCAGTGATAGAGGGTGACAATGGGCTCAACTCTCTTCTCCAGGAGCCTCTCTATGAGACGGCTGTAATGCTCCACGGCAGCTTTGTTTGGCCGACTTTTAGCGTTTCCATCGGGGAAGAGTCTGGGCCAGGAGAGAGAGAAATAGTACGATCTTACGCCTAAATACTCCAGTGCCTCCACATCTTTGTCCCAGTGAGGGTAGCTGTCACTAGCCACATGGGCCGTCTCAGGTGCCAATTTATCACTGATATTGGAGTGGGTGAAATGGTCCCATATGGACGGGCCTTTCCCCTCCTGATCCCAGGCCCCTTCTGTCTGGAGGGCAGACGTCCCTGACCCCCAAAGGAACCCCGAAGGGAAAGTATCATGAAGGAAAGACCGGTCTTTGATGATAGAGTCCGGCTTGGGCTGCTGCCAAATCTTCCTGCCGTCTCCAAGAGTGCAGGCTGCCTTTTCCCAACCAAGGGACAACAACAGGAGGCAGAGTAAGAGGTACTTTGCAGTGGGAGTGAAAGGGTGGTTCAGCATACTGAAGGAGTCGATCTTGATTCAGAAATCCACTTAAAGGCAGGAGCTGGTGTCAGTCAGAGCAACGGCTCTGTTCGATATTGTAAATCCTCTTGAGGAAATAAAAAACCCCATTATGGTGAAGAGTAATCACATCCAGGAGAGAGTCTGAAGCTTCAAGGCGCTGCAGAATCCATCTGACAACCTGGTCAGGCTTCCCTATCTCTCCCTCGGGTTACTTGTGCTCCCGCTCAGCTCCTCCCTACCGCATAATGTCCACACAAAGCTTGACTCATATCCTCATGCCACGCTTTAAGACGCTTCTTTTCCTTCCAGAATTGCTTCAATTGTATTGCCATGTTATGAAAAAGAAGAAAGAAGAAAAAAAAAACAATTTAAAAGAGCGGGTCAACGCTTAAAGAGGATATTCCTGAGCTGTTTCTGAGGACAAAGCTCAAAACATGCTGTTGATTGCAGTAAAAAGCGTTGTGTCAATAATTAGCTTGTACTCTGAACTGAGCTCCATAACTAAGAAGTAGTTCACATCGTGGTCCTCATTTACAACAAACACTTACCGATTTTTATCTCTTAAAGTTTTCAGTGATGAAAAATAATACATTTCACATTTCACTTAAATGGATTTTTTTTACCTTGTGTAGCCGAAAACAGGCGCTTTTTGGTTGTCTCGTGGCCAGAAGCTGCTTCCCAGATTTGATCAGAACCAAGGCAGGTGAGAACAGTGACACCAGCTCATATCACCTTATTCAATTTGTAACAGTGAGTAACAGTGACTGACCAGTGTAAACAGCAGAGCTGCTCGATTAAAAACATTCTGGGAAGTGTGTGTGATTGTCCATCTGTCTGTCTGCACACACGCTTGCCCTTAATAAAGCCTCACGATCAAGTAAAAACAAAGAGCCCCTTCCTCATCCTTCTTCATTAAAGACAGTGTCTATAGCTGTCGAGAGTAAACAGTGCAGTTGCCCAGGATACCCCTTGCTTCAGGGCATTAGCAGGATAAGTTAATTGAGTTGAAATGGTCATCTTACCACCCACACTGACCTCAGTGTGGTCGCTATGATACTGGAGAAAAAGACTACTGATAACCGTGAGGGGCTTTATAAATGTGCAACACCTTTACACGGAAGGACAAATAACATAAATACGCTTGACACAGCGAAACACAGTCCACAGTATCTAAAGGACCAAATATTATACAAATCTGAATAGGAGAAACTGAGTAGACTATAAAAACGTTGCTTCGCTTCAGTTCCCTTTACAGTTAATGAGAGAAAAGAGGAAGTACGAGAGAAAGACTTATTGGTCTGGCAGTGCTTTCAGTTCCATTACCCTGTCCTCTCACGGATTATATCTACTGCAACCTCAGCACATGTCGTGTCAGGAAAAAGACACAAGACGATAACTATTGATTACGGTCTTGGACTGCTTTTTTCTTTTTTGCACATTTTAGTCACCAAAAACTGTGCATCTGAGCTTGGTAAGTACGCTCATCTTTCTGTCTACGTCCTGATCATGGTGGAATTTGCTTCATATATATGTTTTTATCACTTTACCATCACTTCACTTAAATGCGCCATTCCATATTCAAAATCTAAATATGGACTACAAAGACGATTTTATTTTTTGGGAGGGACAACTTATAAAAGATTATAGGCGATCTGACAAAAACCTGACTAACTGTAATGAGGAAGCTGAGGAAAAATCAAACTACATCCTACCGTCTTGAAGGTTTATCATACGGTGTGGATGAAACAGTTTGAGAGGTTTGCACCCACTATTTTATCAAATTGTACTGTTATTGTTCAACCCGTTATACATTTGTTGCCGATTAAATAGACACAACCTCTGTGCGTCATGCAATACAGTTGGACAGCACCACAACCTACATTTTTCATGATGTCCATAAAGTTGATCCAACACCTAAAAAACTGAGCTATATCAACTTCCTGTTTTGTGAGGCTGCATTACTTCTAACAAAGTAATAAACTGGCAACTTGACTTTTGGTTTTGATTTGATGATTTGGTTTGCTTCCATCAGCCCAACGATGAGGCCTCTGATCGCTGCCCTGTGGGCGGCGGCCGCGTTGATGGGACTCCAGCCGGGCGCCTTATCCCTTCTGATCGTCATAGACCGCTCATCCACAAACCTCTCCTCTGTCCCGAGGGACCTGCCACCAACGACCCAGCTTTTGGACCTTTCGCGCAACCACATACAGCAACTGCGCCAAGGAGACTTCAAAAACACCTCCCTCCTGAGGCTCCTCAACGTCTCGTGGAATGGTCTGGCCGCCATCGACCCAGCGACGTTCCTCGACACGCCTCTTCTGGAGGATCTGGACCTGTCGCACAACAGACTGAGGAACCTGTCGGGTCAGCTATACCTGCTCCACACGGATAACCTTCGGGTGTTGAATTTAGCCTTCAACGACTTTGTCACCATGACGCTCGGCAGTGAATTCAGTTCCCTGCTGAAACTGGAGAGCTTAGCTATTGGAGCACAAAACATCAGCAATGGTGATTTTATGAATATTGCTGAAACTAAACTGCGCACGCTCACCCTTTCCCTGGAGAACGAGCAGGGTTATACAGTAGGTAGTCTGCACGATGTTCAGGCTCAAAGGCTTCAGATTGCCTTCACTGGCTATCAGAGAACTAACAATGACCTGGTTTCCGATGCACTGTCACAGTTTGTTGCAGTGGAGTTGATGGATCTGACTGTCGGTTACAAAGACCTGAGTACGGTGTTGAGTGAGAGAGTGGAAATCCTCACATCTGATCTTTATATCACCAACATTTCGATCGGCTGGGATGACTTGACTCAATTACTGGATGTGGTTCTGCGCACATCAGTCCGCCATCTGGTGGCCACCGATGTGGTCTTGTACAGGTTGCCTAAGAACGACACTGAAGTGGCCAAGACATCTAAAATGAAGTCCTTCACAGCCAGAAGGGCGACAGTAACGTCTTTCATATTTTCACAGGAAGCGGTTTATAACTTTTTCATAAACATGCCGGTAGAGTGTTTAGCATTCCTGGAGACTTCAATCATCCACATGACATGTCCAAAGTCGCATAGTCCTATTGTCCAGCTGGACTTCTCCGATTGCGCCTTATCGGACTCCATCTTCTCCAGGGTGGAAGTTCAAGACGTTCTTGAATGTGAGAATCTGGATAATGTGAGAAAATTGATTCTGGTAGGCAACAATTTAAGGAGCCTTCAGACCCTCAGCAAACGGGTGCAATTCATGAAGTCCTTGCAACACCTGGACCTCAGCCTCAACTCTCTGGTTTACGATGGTCTCGGAAAATGCGTCTGGCCACAAAGCATCATCAATATGAGTCTGTCTTCTAATGACCTGACAGCTTCTGTTTTTAAATGTCTACCAAGAGGAACAAAGACACTCAACCTCCAGAACAACCAAGTTTCTGCAATACCGTCGTCCATCTTGACACTTGAAAATCTTTCCTCTCTGAATCTAAATAACAACAGGCTGCGGGACCTCCCAGTATGTCACGGTTTCCCCATTCTGATCCAGCTTCTGCTCCAATCCAATTCCCTCCATGCACCATCTGTGAAAAAGCTGGAAAGCTGCCGCCATCTGAAAACCCTGGATGTCCGTTACAACCCCTTCACCTGCACCTGCGGTCTGAGGAGTTTCATAAGTCTCGCCATCAAGTCGGAAGAGAAGAAAGGTCAAAGGGGCGTTGAATTGCTGAGCTGGCCTTTGGGCTATTACTGCACCTACCCGGAAGCCGTTAGGGACCTTCCCTTAAAAAACATTTCCATACCAGAGGTCTACTGTAACATCGGCCTCTTAGCTGCCGCTATCCTGTGCCCTGCCGTGGCAGTGATTATCGCGGTTGTGACCATGTGCCATTGTTTGGATGTCCCCTGGTACATGGGCATGATCTGGCAGTGGACCAGGGCCAAACATCGCGCCAGAATGTCTCAAGTTCGACCCGAAGATCTGGTGGGTGTCGAGTTTCACGCTTTTGTGTCGTACAGCCAGCGCGACGCAGAGTGGGTGGAGAATTCCCTCCTCCCGAACCTGGAAGGCGCCGCCGGAGGGCTCCGAATCTGCCACCACGAGAAAAACTTTGTGGCGGGAAAGACAATCGTCGAGAACATCATCGCCTGTGTGGAGAAGAGCCGACGCTCCGTGTTTGTGCTCTCCGCTCACTTCGTCAAAAGCGAGTGGTGCCATTACGAGCTGTACTTCGCCAGCCACCAGCGCCTGGCTTGGGGCACGGACAGCGTCGTGCTGGTACTGCTGGAGCCTCTGCCTCAATACCTGATCCCATCCAAGTACTACCAGCTGAAGTCCATGATGGGCCGGCACACCTACTTGGAGTGGCCGCAGGACCGGGCCAAGCACAGGCTGTTCTGGGCTAATCTCAGGGCCGCGCTACAAGCAGAACTGCCCAATGCACAAGTGACAGAACTGGAGGAGTGAGAGGAAGTGTGAAAAGGATGTGTGAATTGGTTCACTGGTGCATTAGGAAAGAAAACTGTTGGTGCTTTGGAGTGAACAAGAAGTGGGACTGTTGTCCAGTAGGGAATTTTCAATCTTGCACGGCTGAAGATGAAGTGACTTCCTTTAAGCTTGTGAGACATAAATCATTTTCCATTTTTTTAAACCATGTTGAGGACATTTAATGGAAACATTTATATGAACTAACATCAAGTTTGTAACAAAAACAATAAACTTTACTCAGGAATATCAAAAATACACTCAATTCTTTTGTGAATGTTGACTCCCACAAATATCACAATTTGATTATAAACACTTCAAATTTGGTTTTGCACACGTTGAGAAGAAAACCACACACATACTATGTTAATGGCATGAGTACTGTATATTCAGAAAACCAGTATTCTCACCTACTCCCTGAAAAGAGAGGTTCCCTTACAAGGCAAGCAATGTTTTTCGTTAGAAATGTGTCCTGTGTTGGAGGCATAACGTCGGTCCAGCTGCCACAAAAAGGTGTCAAGGGAGCGACTGGATGATGATGATTTTCTCGTTGATGCAGAAACGATGGAGCACACTGAACAGGTTCTCCCCACAACGCGACACCTGCCTCTCCATGGCCAGACGGAAATCTTCCTTCACTCCCTTGGTGATCCCACGAGTCACAGTGTGGTGTCTGAAAAAAATGCAAGGAGAAGGAAACTAAATGATACATAATGCCAGAGATGTGTTATGATATGAATTGAGACTGAGATCTAAGGAGCAAAGATTAAATTAAAAAAAACACATTTTACTTTCATAAATCAGGTTTCATCAAAAATAATACATAAAACAATATTACAAATATTTACAAATGAAATGAGCTCAAAGTGGTATGAAAAGGAAAAAATTCTAATTGACAGAACAACAAGACCGTCATCCTCAAAGAACGACAACAACAACGACGATGACCACAAAGAGCAATGGCTCAAATAAACAAATGCCGACAGGATATCAAACTCATTCTGGGTGTAAAAGGACAGGCCCAAATCAAAACTGGAGGGATGGCAAAGCTTGACACTGAGAATGAAGGGAGGGGAGTGACTGTGGGGAGGAGGGCTATGGGTGGAGGGGGGCCTGGGGTACCTGTCCATTGTCTGCACCCCTTGCAGCAGAAGGGTATTTAACTCCGCCCCCAGGGCGGGGCTGGGGTTCCTGAGAGACAGCAACATTCAACAACTCTCAGTCAGTGGGGGTGCATTTCAGTGTCCTAACTTCTAAAGCAATCAATGAAGGAGTTTGATTAGATGCTAAACGTCTTTCTAATGTCCCACCGTCAACAGAGTACATTTTCACCCACAGGCCACGTCTACTTACATCGCCAAATCAATATCACTGTTCCATTTAAAAGACGCAGAACACAACGGGAGGAGTCAGTGGTCACAAGGCCACTGACATGTTTCTGAACGGCTTACTTTATCAGCATTCCCTGATTGGGAAGGAGCTCCAGTTGAATCCTGCCGCCCTCTGGAGTACGCAGGTATGCAAACTCCTCCAACATGTCAATGTCTGACAAAAGTCATGAGCTCATGGAAACCAACACCCAAGATAAGAGAACGCAGACAGGGCAACTACACAAAGCCACTTGTCTGCACGTTTGGCCAGTAGCTTCTTGACCGGCTGGAGCGAGTTAAGAAAAAAAAAAAAAGGATACTGGTGACATAGTTGAAGAAATTCTCATACTGGAAACTGCCCTGATGGCAGATCTTTTCCAGCGTCTTCAAGAACAGCCTCTCGCCCTGTGGCCAGTCGTGCTGCAGCAGCACCACCACGTGGCCGAGGGACAGGTCGTCGCGAAGGTCTGTGAAGGCGCGGAGCTGGTCGCACAAAATGGGGAAGAGAGAAAGTGGGTCATACCACGTTTAATAACTTAATAGTCTCGTAGAATAGATCGACACCAATATTGACAACTCAGGCAGCACCACAGGCTTGACTTGTTTAGGTACCTTGAAGCAGGCCAACATCAGCTGCAGACAGAAAGGTAACATAGCTTTGGTGGTGCAGGGAAGCAGTCTCAGGTCGCTACCTAGATATGACAAAAATAAGTCACTGAGCTCCTTATCAGACAACATTAGGTGCGGTTTATATGATTTTTTTATCCAGGGGCAATGGTAGATTTAACAAAGTGAGTTTCTTGTTAATATGTACTTTTAATCAAAAGTAAACAGGTTTACTTGTAGTGATATTGAGGTATAACTCATACCAACATATTTTTGTCAAAGAAAACATTTTGTACTACAACAGCTGTATGAAATGAAAAGCTGTTCACTTGTAAGAATCAGGAGGTTTTTACCTTTCCTCATCCGGGTCTTGACTCTGCCTTGATCTTCTGAAGTCTTAGTCGGTTCCTGGCTCGGGGGCATCAGAGCCCCGACAACCTCAAGCAGCTTCTCACAGGCCATCTGATTTACACACAACAAAAACACAATGAAATATCACGTCTAGATGTATTGTCACTTTGACACTAAATCCTTTTGTAAACCTGCAGTGAAAATGATTGATGACCACACGCACGTTTTTACTCCTGGGGAATTTGATACATCCGGGTGTCCATGTCAAATAATGCTACATGATGAAGCTTCGCAAGTCATAAATATAGGAACTCTGCCGGAGCTGTGTGCTTCTAAAATGGAATTAACTACGATGCCACCTGCAGGCCATTTGGAGTTCTAGATGTATTCTTGGAGAGCATGATGTTATTTACTAAACACAGACTTTAGCAGACTTTAGAATTACGAAAATATAATTACTTCTCTGTACATTACAATATATATTTATTTATTTATTTATTAAAACAACAGTTATTTACAGCAGTGACATTAAAAGAGCAGGCTATAAATCCATTGCAATAGTAAACACAATATATTTGGGCCAGGCGTACATTCACAATATGGAAAAAGGCGTGTTGTTTTTGTGTGTGTGTGTGTGTGTGTGTGTGTGTGTGTGTGTGTGTGTGTGTGTACCCGGTACTCTCCCAGTGCGTAATGGCAGGACGCCTGCTGTATGAGGGCCCTGTGGTGCTCCAGGCTGCCCTGACCTGAGGGGCTCTGCTGTCCAGGCAGAGGCTGCTGCCCTGCAGCCATCTGGTGCAGGCTAGAGAGGGCCTTACGGTACTGTCCCTGGGGACAGACACACAAACAAAACCATGAGGCACATGGGAAGAGATTCATTTTAACCTAATATCTCCCAGTCCGCAAATCTAAATACTGAGTTCATTCCACTTGTTGTCACTAGTTGTTCCGTGACCCCAGTTCTTTAAATATTGTATAAATTAATATATATGTATTGATATATCTTGTGTTTTCTGCTCATCAAATGACCACATTTCCTAACAGATCAATAACGTTCATTTAAATCCTCAACAAACCGTTAAAATACTGTACAATATTATGAACGACATTAAAAGTATAGCAGGTGTCTTGTCACAAACAAATAAAAAATAAAAAAATAACTTCGAAGATCTGCTGCTTGCCTGGTAAATGATTGTGTCGGTGAGGAATATTCTGAACCACAGCCAGCTGTCTGTCTTCCAAGAGGCACAGATCTTCTTGAACTCTGTTCAAATTTGACCCAAAACAAATTATTTTGATGAGGTTTCATTTCCTCCTCTTTTAAAAGACTGACGTTCAGGAAAGCATTAATAAGCCATAAAAACACGTGTGCAGCTGTTGTGCTCCTCAACTTCAGGGTGGCTGGACCGTGTCTGGGAAGGGAAACCTCAATCATGTGAACAGAAGAGGTCTTTACCGCTTTCCAGGCCATCGTGGGAGTGAAGAAGGTCCCAGCTCTCCCTCGCCGTGCGAAAGCTCTCCAGGGTCTCCGACCAGCCGGGCATCTCCGTCTTGTTCACCGAAATGTGTCGACCGCGACCTTTTCCCGAACCTTCCTCGTCATCAGAGCTCTATAATGACAAACGCACAGGGTAATAACAGAAGCACGACCTCGACGTTTTTTTCCAGGCTAGACACGTGAAAACGTTCCCCGGTCTGTCCTCACCATTGTCTTCTCTCGCCCATCGGCCAGTTTGCGTTTCTTATGTGCATGTTTCACCGCTCCCCTTTCCATCTCCACATCATTATACACCGAGCTCAAGTCCTCCACAAGGATCCACGGCCCCGAGCTCAATGCATTCACACCTGCGAAACAGAAACCCCTCAATTGATGGTTTTAACCTTCCATCGAAAAAACAGGAGATACAGATCCCGACGAAGTGGATGGGAATGAACAGGATGGAGGCTGACCCTGGAACAGCGCCGGCTGCACAGCCGAGACGTACAGGAAGGCGCTGCGGAAGAGGACGAGCGCAGCACAAATGACCACTTGACTGCAGCAGCGGGACCGCGTGTCTCCTTCCAGGCCGGGCAGGTAGCGACACAGCTCCTTCACTCTCTGCAGCATGTCCACGTAGCTTCATGAGCATGCAGAGGTACAGAAAACGCAATAAAAACAGTTATTCTCATTTCAAATGAGAAATGTTATATAAATGCATATAAGAAATATTGCGTTGGATGAAAAGAATCATTTTCCTATGTTTCTGATTTTGACAGAGCCTTTGATGATAAAAGAACAATCACCTGAACATATTTTTGCTCAATTTATCTTTAAATCTATTAAACATTATTCACAACTACAGCTGTTTGGGCCTCTTTTTTTAAATTTTTTTCATGTGGTCTGACCCAAAATCTCTTCATCCATTTACATCGCTGGTTACATCTGAATGGAGGCGACGGACTACTACCTCTGTCCCTTGTCTCCCTGCCACTCGCAGCGCGCTCCGACCACGGCGAGGATGTCCAACAGCCTCTCCCACGGTTCTGCTACCACGGACGATTTTTCCGACAGACCGTCAATCACATGACGCTGAGAGCCACGGGACGCAGCGGGTGACTTCAGAGACGCACCTTCCTGGGAGCCTGAAGCAAAACAAAAAAAACAAGAGGAACAGAGGAACATATCAGACAGGCAGATTATACTGTAGCTGGAGAGACCCTGAGGTTAAAATGATCACTCCACCACTGGAAGCATCGCGGTACCGCTTCACCTTGTATCTGTACATCCGGCGAGGGCCCCCGGGTGACGTAGCCGATGTAGAATTCAGCTGCTTTCAGCATGTACTTCTGCATCAGGCTGGCCGGCAGGCGCATGTCCATGTTGTTTACGACCAAAGGAAGGACATCGCACACTGTAATAAAAAAGGGAGAATTAGTTTGAAATCAATTGCATACAGCAGGGCTTGTTTTGTACAAAAAGCAAGTGATTAGTTTTCACTCACCAAAAAGCTTTCTGAAGCAGTTGACGGGCGTCTCCACATTGTCCGATGCCTCCGCCTCTAACAGTTTTTCTCCTAGATTGATCTAAACATACAGCGGAAAGTTAGAAGTGACATTCAGGCTCAAGCACCAACACGCGAGGGCTGTGTCATTTCTACGTACTCCGTGTTGAACCACAGACTCGGGGAAGCGCTTGAGAAAGAGGAGCAACATCTCCGCCTTCTCCAAAGTGTTGAAACACTGCTCCGTGGCTTTCAGCAGCATCTCACACTGCACGCGGCCAGGCAACGTCTCAAAAAAGCCCTGGGTGAGACAGACAAACACACATAAGAAAAAGACACAACCATCACTGTTCCCTTCCCTCCATCGTCCCGCTGCTGATGGGGAATCAGGACTCCTCTCACCTCGTAGAAACTGTGCATGTTTGTCCTGCGAGTCACTACGCAGTGCCGCCGTGATGACGCTGATCTCTCGCCACACGATGGGCTGATCTGGGAAGTTAATGAACCTAAAGAACGTGCGAATCAATCATTTGCATCAGTTGGGTCAGAGTCAGCGAGGGGGGAACCTGGCATCATTGAACGGCACACTGTAACTCACATGTCGTACAGCAGTCTGCCCGCTGAGGCCGTCCTCTCCGCGTTGCGTTCAATGATGTACATTTCATACTGTGAAACGATGAATGAATTACAACCATCGACTCATATTAGGGGATCCACACACTTCACACACGTGAAATGCAACCGGTGGTTATGCTATTAGCAGATGGTACAAATGCTTAGTTTTACCTGTATGTTGAAGTCTGCAGGGTAAAGGGTTCTGGCCGTTATCAGCCAGGCTTTGGCCGCACAGGGATCGTCAGAGACCAACTCCCGGGCTCTCTTCACCAAAAACTCGCAATCCTTTTGCGCTGACATCTCGCATGGATCTAACGTAGCTTTTGACACGCGCAGTTCGGAAAACAGTTTAATGCATATAGTTGTGCCACAGGAACATGCCTTGGTGGATAGATTTGAAGTGCAAGCTGTAACGTTAACAGTGAACGCTAGCCGACGTTAGCGTTAAGCTAAAAGACAGCTGCTCTGTGCAATATGTAGGAACACAGCTAGCAATGTGAAACTGTTAGCTGACTATCACCGGACATGTTTGGTACGATTGTTCAACATACGATATCCTGTTGTTCAATTAACTCACGTACATTAAACAATCCTGAATATTAAGAAAAAAAGGACATCAACAATAAAAAGCTAAACCTTTATTTACCGACAACGTCTTTAGCTTTACGATAATGACGTCACACCACAGTCGTAAAAATGTCGCTACATTCTGCTTTACGACGGATAAAATAACAAGATAAAAGGACCATTTAAGCGTTAAATTGCTGAAATGTTCTATGTAGCTACCAACCTGGATAGTTTAACAGTTCAAACGGTATATTATTATTCACTACATCTAACAAACATTAGTGGTGTTCGGGTGAAATGAGCCCGAAGGAGTCTGTTGTCGACCCATAGCCTTAGATCTGCTGGTGCGCATGCGCTAACGATGCATTTTGCTGCGGTCAACGGCTGCAGCTGGTAGGGCGCAGACACGACCTACAACTGCTGTACATTTACCTCGCAAACAACCACAGCACTCCACCTGTCCAGGGACAGGACACCACCTGGCGTTGACGGCAGGTAAAAAAAACGATTAATGAGCCGCTCTTTTGCCTGTTGACGGCCAGTTACTGTCAACAAAGCCTCCAACCAGACATTAACCCAATGCTTGCCCGTTTACTCTCCGAATATGCTACACATTTAGCGGTTAGCATGCAAGACTTCCGCGTATTTATCTGTAACAAACTGTGACCGTGTTCTCTCTTAAACCTCAAAGAGAGGTTTATCCCTCAGTCAGATCCACTGTTTCTAACACAGCCGACCGGGCCCAGTCACCACCAGTGTTGAGCTCACGTTAACTAAGTTAAGTTGATTTAAAAACAACCTGTCACTTTAACGTTAGCCTCGGGGCTAAGCATGCTAGCTCCTCGCTTGTTTGTGTCAGTTTGTTGAGCACACTATTCATTCAGTAAGAAATATCGCTTCGTGTCCTTGTGGGCCTTTTATATCCGTCTCAGCCCGCCGACACGGAACGTGCTGGGACAACTGGCACGACGGGTCAGTCAGCAGGGCGCGTTACCGCGAGGGCGTGTCCGCCCAAACAAGGACCCCCGCCGTGATAAACGAGCTGATATTGCATAAGGGACAACGTTGCGTGTTTAAACCAAGCAATCATCGTCATCGAGTCATTCACTCATCAAATAAAAATGGTTACATTATAAGTAGCACCCATCCGGTAAAACGGTGTTAGTTCAATATTCCCAGTGAAATGTCATGGAGGTAATTCTCTAAGTATTACAATATGGAACCGAAACGTCAAAGGCATGTACTGTACTTTAAACCAATGGAACTTCTAAATTGCATAACAGGCTGTAAGGGGTCAGTGGCCATGTGGCAGCTTTTCCTGCTGACCTGAAAGCGTGTCAGTATTTCTGGAGTCGTATTTTGGTTGACTTGTTGTGACATCCAGCAACCTTGTCACCACTATCTCTTCTCTCTTGGTCTACATTTAGAAAAACTCCTAGACAAGTTCACGTCATGTGTTACAGGTATTCAGAGGGCATTCATTTGAGCAGATGTGTTTTTGTATGTGAAAGGTTGTGCCAATAGCTTTTAATTCCAAAATAATAGAACATAATAAAATATTGTAAGATAAAGAATATGGTGCATTGTAGTTGAATCAAATGAATGAACCCAGTGTCTTTGCGGTTCTGCCCCGTGATTATGTCGACACTTTTGTAGTACTCATTTTTTATACTTTTGTAATACTTATTTCTCAAATATTTGTATGTTTGCCAAGAAATTGTTACATTCAATTTCGAGAGAGAGATATCGATCCTGATTTTCATTGTGTATGGTGGTGTGGTCGCACTCCAGCCATAAAAATACTTTTTTTTTTTTAAAGGATTCATATGCATATCTGACATGGCCTCTCTCTTTCACAGCGTCTTATCATTTCAAAAAGCGGCTGTTGCTGATGTAATGTTGGAGGACCAGGCTGTGGCACTCTGAGCCTCCCATGGCTGTTAGCGCCATGGACTCCGAGTCAGCCCGGACCCCTCAGCCTACGGCTGCCCTGACTAACGGAGGCCGTTCCCTGCTGCCCTCTGGAGCTCTGAGCCCCGTGCTGGGTGCCCGAAGGAAGCACTATGTCTGCGGCTCCGTCGCGGCGTTTACCAACATCATGTTGACTTTCCCCCTCCAGAAGTTGCTGTTCCGCCAGCAGCTGCACGGCGTGCTGGCCACTGAGGCGGTGCGGCAGCTCCAGAGGGATGGGCTGAGGAATCTCTACCGGGGCCTGCTGCCCCCGCTGGTCCAGAAGAGCACCACGGTGGCCATCATGTTCGGCCTGTACGAGGACTTCTCGAGGGTCCTACTGGACCGCGCCGATGGCAGCGGTGTGCCGGAGCTGGTCACGCGAAGCTTCGCGGCAGCGCTGGCGGGAACAGCGGAGGCCTTCCTGGCGCCGTTTGAGCGTGTGCAGACTCTCCTACAAGACCATCGGCACCACGGGCGCTTCAACAACACGGTCCACACCTTCCGGACACTTCTGACTGAGCACGGTGTCAGAGAGTGCTACCGCGGCCTGGTGCCTATACTTTCTACGCAATGGCCCGAGCAATGTGCTCTTCTTCGGACTACGCGGGCCCATCAAGGAGCAGCTCCCAGAAGCCTCTAGCCGGGCAGGTCACATGGTTAATGATTTTGTGTGCGGGGGGTTGCTGGGGGCAGCCCTCGGCATCATGTTCTATCCACTCAATGTGGTTAAGTCCCGGGCTCAGTCTCAAGTGGGCGGAGCCTTCCAGCCTTGCAGGGAGGTACTGCTAACAGTTTGGAGGGAGAGGGGGGGCAGCGTGGCCATGCTCTTCAGAGGGGCCCACCTTAACTACCACCGTTCCCTCCTCTCCTGGGGAATCATCAATGCCACCTATGAACTGCTGCTGAAGTTCATGAAAGAGGGCGATTAGAGATAATATAATAGAGCGGTAGAGCGGACGAAGCACCTGGAGGGGAAAACCTGCTTGGAGTGACGGAGACACGTTGTTGAGGAGAAAGGGAAAATTGTCCGGGAATAAGTTTCCTTGACTTAAAGACAGCCATGAAATTGCACTTCTGACAGGGGCCAACAGTCCGTGTGAGATGACCCACATGCCATGACCATTTGCTGTTCAAAATATGATAAGGACACACGCTTTACCCCATAAAGAACTTCTGCCAGGGTCCAATTGAAATCCCCTTGTTTGCTCTCTGTACAAAAATGTTTTTCAGCAAACTGAACTCCAGTTTCAAGAAGAGGTTACTTGACTGTATTTACTTGTGTGTGCTGTGGTGTTTTGTAGAGAACATCTGTTTGTTTGACCAATAGCATTTCCTCTGTGAGGCTGTAATCTGCCACTTAACCTTGTACGTATTTGTGACAGTGTAAATGGTCAAGGAGACTATTATAAATGGAGTGTGAGCCGGTTTGTTACTCTTTATTACCCATCACCACCAATTTGGCCTGACGGTTTGTAGAATCAGAAGGCTGATACTTAAGAAATTGTAGAATTTAGTATCAGTAATGACACACGTCTTTGCCAGTTGGAGCTGACATTTCTTGTGGAGCAGCATCTATCGTGGTTTGTTTTGTGGCATGCTACTGGCATATGTGCTTTGATTAGAACGTTTTTGGAGAAGTGCCCATTGATTTCACTAAAACACCTTTATTGGAAAAGATCAAATACGTCTTTAATGTTAACTTCTGTTGCAGATCTTTGTCTACGATTACCTTTAAGAAACCCATTGCCATTTAAGAACATTTTTCTTATATTAATTGAATGCACTGTTGCTGCATTTGTTTGTCTCTGGGCTATTGTTCATTCATTTGCTGTACAAATAACTTTCTCAATGTTATTTTCCTTTTAATTCGCTGTAATACCACTTCCTTCCTACGTGTATTTCCTCCCTCTGCTCACATTCTATCGGTCCTTCTCTCACGCTTGCTCTCCTGTCTGTCTGTAACATCTGTTGACATAATGGGCTCGGATTTCAAGCTTGAGTAGCTGCTGTCACCACGCAGCAGCTCTTGCCGAGTACGACAGCCCGAAGAGGAAAGGCATGCTGCCGGGACACTGAGAGGGAGAGAGAGACGCCCCGCTAATGGTGCTGAGAGGATGAAGGAGGGCACAGGGTGATGTTTTGTGGCACAAAAAGCTCAAGCTGCCATGTAAATGCATCACTTGGCCTACTTCTTCAAATCTTTTCATTCTGATTGTTCACCGCGTGTCGTTTCCTGAGCATCTTTTCAGGATCTTCTTGGGTTTCCTTTTTAAAAGCCAGAATCAAATTAGGTTTTGAAAGTGGGACAAAAAAAATTACATAATGCTGTTGACAATTTCCACTTTTCCTTAAGTACAGATCTCTAAATCTCTAAGATGTCAAATGAGCTTTTACAACCAAATCAAATGCTTCGAAATGACTATTAAACATGTTGACAGTGAATACTTCTGTTATTTGTGTGTTACTACGAATGTAGTAAAGGCACGTGTACATTATGGATGTCAGACAGGGCTGATGGGAGCCACTGCCATCAGGGTATGAATGGGTGATTAGTGTGAAAGCGCTACGCAAGTAGAATTCCATTTACCGTTTTAGGTAATACTCACATACCCTGTTAAAGTGATTCATTGGGTTTTGATGGTGATCAAACCCAACACTTGGTCACAATGTGTAGTTTAACACCACTATCTGCTGCTGACGGTAATGTCGACGCTCCGAATACGGGTTGTTTTTTTCACGACTAGACTAGATTACAGTGTCAAGAAGTCAGACTGCAGATAACGATGAGATTAAGGACAGTCTAATGGGGACTTTGGATCAGGGAGGGTTGAACTACTGTGGCTACAAAGCCTCTCAACTCTTTCGCTGTTACCTGTTCAACCTACCGCACGTCCTGATTCCTCTCAGACAATTCATCGTAAAATTCATTATTCATTTAGCAATATTTCATAACGGGAGAGTGCTGTGCTCAGCTGGAAATCTGAATAATTCGGATACATTCTCAGTACCCCCCCCCCAAAAAAAGTAGGCTCCATTGCTACATGCATAGTTAAACACTGCATCCGTGAAGTATAACAACTCAATACTGGGAAATGAATCCCACAGTACTCATTACCAGTATCTGTAGTGCAGTGGTGGTGTAGAGGGGAAGCTGTTTATACTGCCAGGGTACGACTTCACTCTGTCTGTTGTTCAATGGTAAATGTAATGTCTTCTTACCCGATTTGTAGACTGTGCGGACTGTCAGGGCCTGCAAGCCCTAAGCATCATCTGAAATGTATTTTTATATATATTATTTGCACAAATGTGTATTAAATTATTCCCCATAGTCTATTCTCTTAATTTCATTCCCTTTCCTCTTTGTTGCGTTGGTCCTAGCTTACGGTTGCGTATTTGGACTGCTGGCCTTCATGTTGGAGTTTTCATTCAATCATATTTCAGCCATTGTGTGTCGCCAGGGTCCCAAACGTCTGCCTGTAGGCCTCCAACGTCAACAGTGCGGGCACGGGTAGCTTAAAGTAGACAAAAACAAAATGGTAGCGTTAACCAACCAGATTTGGGGTCAGCGGGACCAACTAGCTGAACCTGATGACCCCATCGTGACCTGAATGAGCTCATTTGTGTAGCGCTACAAGCGTTTTTTTTCCAACACACAACGGCTGATGGAGAAGGGATTCATTTGGTCGTTGATATACTTACAATGGCATTTTCAAAATAGGAGTTTTTGAGAAAAATGATCAGCTGGAAGTTGTTCCATAAAACTTGTCGTTAACTGGACAATGCATTTCTTGGTACATCGACTTTATTGTACGTGTGTACGGAAAAGTGACTGCTCACGTAGAAACACAATGTCCTCTTTGAAAATTAAATGCGGTTGATACAGTTTTACCATACAGAAATGAAACACAAATTTGACACGCCGTTTGAGCCTACTTGATGAACAACTAGAGATGCTCCTAGGACATACAGTATGCCTTGATGTTAGTGCTGTGATGGACCCTGCTGCTGGACCTCCATAGAAATTAGAAGCTCTGAAAACTCACAACAGAGACCTGTTTCTTTTTTTTTTAGCACAGCCACCTTGACAAAGTTCTCCGTTATCTAGTTGTGAGATCAATAGACTGGTTACCTCCTCACTGGCTGTCTTTGAGCAGTCTTGATTTTGGCAAATCCCCTTATCATTAATGGCCCTCTGCTTGTCATAGGTGGCTAAATAAAATCCTCCAAAGTGGATGGCTCATCAGATGACTTGGCCTCATGTGACATGGAGGAGCTGTTGAGCTCAGCAAATTGATGAGCAATGCAACTCTTTTACTGACAATTCACAGACATCAGTAAAGACGGGAATCTTTATATTGACTAATGCCATGCAACTTTGCACAATGCTGCAATCCATAATGCAGTAAGATTTCCAGAAACAAGAGTAAAGCCAACATTCCAGACAGAGGAACCCCCCATTATATCCAGACAAACATAATGCAGCTATTGTTGTACTTAATGTTAGTAAAAAAACAAGGATGCAGTATGCGGCGAATGAGGAGTTTATGTTTGCATAGCCATAAACTAAAAGGACACAATGAAATGAATGTATATCTACTGTTCTAAACCACTACACAGCCGTTAGTTTGATTTTAATAAGGTTTTGTGCCAAAGAGAAAAAACATAGTGGGGAAAAGTTGTGGCTCAGTGTTTCATACTTTGGATCTCTGCTACATGTGGACATAGTTTAACAGTCAGCCCTGTGCCTGGTTGAAAAAAACATTTCTCAACTACATGAATAAGGTCCCCTGTTTTGCTTCCTGGGCATCTTCCACCCTTTCCCATTAAATATATATGTAATGTACGCTGGATGAAAACTAGATTAACGCTAGGTTACTGCATTCGTTTGTGGGTAATGGGAGTATTTTCGAGAGGCATTCACTTAGAGTCCGTCAGGAAGGGTAGAAAAAACACTTTACACGAGGGTATGTGTCTCATAAAAAGGTGCAATCTGTAACAGTCAAAAGTGCTCTCCCTGCTTTGTAATGGCATTAGTTTGTTCCCCATTTATGTGATTGTAATTTGAAAAACTAAATCCTTAAAAAGGTGCACATATAAAACAAATCAGTTAATAACTGTACTTTGTAAGTGTGATAAGAGTATAGTTTCTGTACTTTGTCAGTAAAACGTACTGTGATACTAAACTTGAAAAATGACAATTTACAGATTACACCTTATGGAGTTGAGGATTTTTTAAAGCAGCAATAGATAACATAATACTGTCTCAAAGAGAAGGAAAAATAAAAATTCCAGTGACATCCATAGTTTTTTTTCCCACCAGAGACTTGCACATCAAGACCATGGTGCAAATATTGTAAAAATAAATACATAAATACATAGACGGGTAATCAATTCTGACAAACATACACATATTGTATCATAAAATAAGAGAATTATAAAATTCATATGTACAAATGCATAGTCCATATGCGTCGACATCGAGGCCAAGCAATGAAGTTCCTCCCTTCATTTGGGGTTTTGTTTAGTGGGGGGTTTTCCCTGTGGGTATATGTTATGTGGGTTAAAGTTTGTGTGCAGTGGTGTGTATGGCACTACAAGAACACAGGGGTTACACACCACATCACTCCGTGCGGTTTCCTCTCGTCTCACCTCCAGAGTCAGTGGGTTATTAGTGGGGCAAAGTTCACATGTCAAAAGTGGAGGGGCACGTGGCCGGGCGTGTCTGCTGTGTCTGGTGTGCGTGTCCGAAAGAGCTGTGTGAGTGCGAAAACGGACGAAATGAGCACAGTGCAGCGTTTGGCCAGAAGCCTGACCCCTTCACTCTCCCCCTGACCTTGTCCAGACCCACTGAGGCCTACACTTTTCACCACAGCCCCGGCACCAGTTCCAGCTGTCTCGACAGCCCCGACAAACTCTCGGTACAGACCCACAATTTCCTTCAGCTTGTCCATGGCCTCCTGGCTGTCGTCGTCCTCGTGCCCGTGGACCACACTTGCATTGTGGCAGATTTCACAACCAGGGCATGGGTTTGTTCGCAGGCAGGCTGCGGACAACTGAACCAGGGCACTGAAGCTGTTGGATAAAGAGCGTAGTGCCTCATCAGGAGCCCAGCCGACACGTGTGGCCCGCTGACACCCAGTTGCCAATCGTCGAGCCTCTGCCTGGAGGAGACTTCTTTCGGCCTCTGTCATGGCGGCAGTGCTTGTTCCAGTACAATTTGGCTCCAGTGCTGGGGCAGAATTGCCTTCAGATCCATTGTGATTGAGGTCAGGCCCCGCTTTTATACTTGTGATATCCTGCTTTGAGTCTTGACAGGATTCTTGTTGAGTTTGCTCAAGACACCCCCTTTTTAAGACCAACAAAAGCTGGTCTATGTCTTGACGAAGGGAGGCAAAACCTCCCTTAAGCGCACCGTAATTCTTGTTGCTAAGTGTACGAAGAGGACCACCAAAGGAGTTTGTGGGGGAAACCGGACGTGAAACTACAGGACTGAGTTCAGAGGATGCAGTGGAGAAAGTAGAGAGGGGACGGGGGTTGTCCCTCAGCAGTGACAGAATGTTGGGCTTTGGAGAAGGTGTTGTAGGGGAAGAGACAGGTACAGGTTTAGGGCGTGTGCGGCGAGAGAACTCATAGATGGTGAGCTCCTCGTCAAAGCTTATGCCATCCTCAGTGTCTCCACTGAAACAGTTGGCATAAACGGTGCGGCAGCCACAAGCCTCCCGATGCTGTTGTGGCGGAGTAGTGTCCGAGGTTGGTGAGTCACCTTCGATTTGCATGCTGGACACACCTCCCAACCCCACTGCTGAATGAGGCCGTGACTGCGGCTGCTCCGATGAAACACTGTGTGCACTATTCTCTCTAAAAGTCAGATTAGAGTGGGAGCCATTTGTCCCATTGTTCCTTTTCATGTGTGAGGTCACTTCCTGGGCTTCTTTGATGGTGGCTATGACAACCTCTGCTCCATCCTCTAAAATGTTCTCTTTCCCTCCGGATTTTGAGGTCACGGTCTCTTTTTCCTTAACAGGCGTTCTGTTAAAATCTGATAGACCGCTGGCTACGGACAAGCCAGAGCCAAATCCAGATGTGTCGCCATTGATGGAGCTGGTGGAGGGATAGTCCAAAGTTCCCAAAATCTCCTGGGAGCGGGTCATGTACCAAGGCAAAGCCTGGATCTTCCCTCTCAGGGCAGACGCCGGCAGTCTACCTCCCAGGCTGGAGGAGCTGGTCCTCAGGTCTGATCCTGATCCTGATCTCCCAGGCTCTCTGCTTTCAAGGCCTCCAACACCTTTGGAGTTGGTTGAAGTGAGGGAGGTGGTAAGGGTGAGAGCAGCTTCGGCATTTTTGGGCGACAGGTTTTCATGACTGAGAGAGACCCTCCTGGATCCGGACTGGACTGAGCCATTTCGGCTGCTCCAAGGATGGACTCCATTTGGCTTGCTGACGCTATCCTTGAAGATCCCTTTGCTTGGATCAGTTGGGGTGACAGGAGAGCTGGCAGGTAATGACAGAGGGTGGAAAGTGGTGGGAGAAGTGGGTTTGGGTGATACTGGAGGGGGGATAGCTAACTTTGTACCTGAATTAGAGCGAGGGATAGGGAGTGGGTTTGGTGGCTTTCTTGTGGGTTGAGCAGTCCCATTGGTTTTTTCTTCATCTCTAGGAGTTTCCCTTTCACACGGCGAGTATGCTTTATCATTGGAAACAACACCTGCTCCATTGTCATGCCTCAGATCTTTAGTATTTTTTGCGCTGTTTTCATGCTTCTTTGTCTTTTCCTCAGTTAGTGGGCTTGTGGTGGGTAGTGGTTGCTTGCTGCACCGCACTGCTCTGATCAGAGGTGATGAGACAGGCAGTCCACCTGCCCCAGATGTCACAGACTTGAACTCCATGGTTTCTGGCTCCATTTCCAGAAGTTCAGAGGGAAGACGTCCAGTGGCATCCCCATTGCAGTGGACATATGATCTTCCATGCTGCGGGGATTTGGGAGGAATGATTTTAGGTTTGGGAGGCAGTTGGGGCTTAGGTGGCAATAGGGGTTTGGCCTTAACTTTAGGTTTCTGAGATGGATCTGGTAAACTGGCTTGTTGGTTGATAAGTGTATTTGTTGGGTCTTTAACAGTCTCCACTTCTCTTCTGATTTTTGAAGAGTTGGCTTTATTGGAAAGGGGGGAGGGGGGCTCTTTTCCCAGGACAGCTGAAGGACAATTCCAGCCTCCACTTAGGCGATTAGCATTCCGTCGGTCAGCTAGTTCAGCGTCTGTGATAAAGAAACACATCAAAAGTTAAAAGAAAAAGGCATCAGTGGATTTACACAGACCTACACATACCACCATAGTCAAGGAACTTTACAAAATTGTGGTAAGGACCATATTCATCTGCAAAGCCATACCAAATGTGCTGTACACAAACCTGATAGATCCGGAACTGGAGGAGTAAATCTCTCCTGTGCATCAAAAAACTCATCTTCAGATTCTGAGGCAGTTTCTTTGACCAAAAGAGATGGTTTGGGATTGGGTGAAGGTGTCAGAAATAAACCATCTTCATCCATGGAGAGGCGCTGCTCAACCTGTCCTGCTTTGTCCATAGGAATTGAACTAGTCCTCACTGGGACTTTAGGAGGGACTTTTTTCTTTCTTTTAATGGGGGATCTTTGAAAGGGTATGCTGTCAATCATTCTCAAATCTCTTGAACTGGGTATCTTAGAAATACGTCTAAGTCCCCCCATTTCAGGCTCTTCTTCCTCATCATCTTCATCGTCACTCGTAGCCTCAGGTGGGCTAGGGAGGAAATCAGCCTTGGAAAGGTCAGCAAAGCAAAGGCAAGAGTTGTCATTGCCACGGTAATTGAGATTGGTGGGTCGTACAGGCCCTTGGTGGCGTTTGGGTTCTAGAAGGTAGGGTTGGTGAACTTCCAAGTCTGGTAGATCTTCGCTTGCGCGCGGTCCGCGGAGTTCATCCAATCGAGATGTGGCTTTGGCTGCCGCATTGCTCTCGTCCAGGGCAGCACTCAGAGAGCCACTGGACAAGCTGGAGAAGCTGCTGGTGACCCGTGGGTCTGTGTGGTACCAGCTGCTCTCCTGGTTCATTTCTTCATCCATAATACTACATTTACGTAGACCACTTCCTGTTGCTCCTCCTTCCTCTTCACCCTCATTTTCCAAACCTTCTGTTGTGACTACTATCTTCACTTCCTGTTTGCCTTTGTGCTCTTCTTTCTCTCTCCTCTCCTCCTCTCTCCTTTTCTCTTCCTCCTCTCTTCTCCTTTCTTCCCAGTCTTGGCTTGCTGGGTCTGGACGTTTGTAATTCTGATGATCCATAGGGTCATCCTCATCTGTTGAGTCATCCGAGTCACTACAGCAACGTGACACGTAACCTAATAACATCAGAAAAATACAGGAACAAGGAGGTTCATAAATTAGTAGAGCAGGATATGATTAATGTATGGTAATGATTGATTGCCTGGCTTGTCTAACAGTACCCGTACTGGCTGGTTAGATACATCAGTATGTGACGTAAAAGAAGATCTATCAAATGGCCAAAGCCAGACAGTGATTATTTTAAGTGAAACAGTTTTGCTCACTTGATAGGGATTCATAGCACACGCCCTTTATTACGGCGAACCTTCCACACACACCTTCTTCAGCAGGAATCCGGTGCACCCTCACTTTTGGGCGCCCCAGACGGAAGACATTGACACTCGGATCCACAAGGAGTTTGCAGTAGCCTCCCAGCAGACACCCTAAGTCTTTGGCGGCCGGAGAGTCCATCAGTAAGGCAAATGGCTGTGGGGGGGTGGGGATTAAGGTAAAGTGATTAAGGCCACAGGGGAAAGGAGATAGGCAATAGAGAGGGACAAAGAACTTCATATGGTTACACGTCTGCTTAGGCCGAATACTATTTGTATGTTGGAGGAGGAATGCTTGACCTATATTTACTCGGCCATGAGTGTTGGTGTGAATTCAGTGTGGTGAATGAATAGCAGTTATTTTCAGTCAGCGTATAGGGCCGATGTGTTTATGTATATTAAAGTACCCTTCCTTACCTTCATGTCGTGCAGTGAGATGCGCAGTACGCTGACTTTTTCCGACTCAGAGAGAAGCTCCACTCGGCTGATGCTGCTGAACTCAACCAGTGTCGAGATCATATTGAGCTTGTGGTTGATGATCTGACTCATCCCATATTTAGCTCCCACCAGCAGGCTGACCAACACCTCCCTATCCTGAAGCTGAGTGTGAACGAGAGCGACCACAGTTACATAATGAGACAAAATTAGCAGAGTGAAAGGAGGTAGAATAATGAGAAAACAGGGACTTTATGTGGAAGATAAAATAAAGGGCATGCTACGACGGATTTGTCAAACCATTTGAACAGGGACAGTATTATAGTTAAAAAACAGATTTCTGCAGATATTACATAGTTAATTTCTTCACTAAACAGATACACCAGGGGATGTCAAAATCTTAACCTTTACCATCATCGTAGCTGTGTAGGAACGTCCCCCATATGAGATAAGTTCTCCCAGTTGAGTGAGGTAAGCCACTCGAGCCTGACTTGAAGAAATGACCTGAAACAGAACAATAGACACAGAAGAGAGAGGGATATCAGTGAGGCTGGGCAGCAAGGAGACAGAATGAAAGAAAGAAATGGGGTTGTTACAGGTGACTAAATGACCACAACAATCTTCCCCTGAGAAATGTTCTCCATGTAGTTTTTTTTCAGAAACATTAATTTAGCCCAAGACCTACTTTAATTATTCCCTAATCCAAAATATATCTTCCCCCCGACCTGCTTCCAACACAATTTAAACCTCAGCAAGAACATTGTAGATGTCAACTAAACGTAGCCTGAAGCCACTAATAAACTGTCCCCATCTATCCCTTTACGTCTCCCAATGTGTTACTCCACTCGCGCATGAGTCCATATCGACCTTCTGGCGTGGCTCTAGCAGGGACTGGATCTTTTTGAGGTGGTAGCTGATGGCTTTCCTCAGGTCTTTTTCCCTCATGTTGCTCAGCAGTGTGGGAGAGATGAAGCTGTCCATGCCAAACTCCCTCCTGTCATCACAACACACAAAGGAAAAATCACACCGATAATGAAGAACTCTGCAGTCTCCTAAAATTAAAAGTGAAACCAAACTATACTGCTGTACAACATAGCTGGATTAAAACAAAATAATAACCAGCACGATGTGATTTGTGTCATTTTGTACAGTAGAAATATTTGCCGCGGGGGTTTTTTCTACCTCACGGCTGCCGCTAGATGTTACTGATGAAAAAAGCATCCGTGAAACACAGACTATTTACGACTGCAATGACGTACATGGTCATATGAATCTATGAGTCGGTGAGGTGGTGTTTTGGGAAATACTTCTATGCTAAGATGTGTCCATTTACAGCTTTCAGGTGTGAAAGAGAGAGAGAAAGAGTAAAAATTGAAGAAAAAAAAAGACAAGACCCACAGGCTTGAAATAGGACAAATATGCAAACTGTTAGTTTAAAGCATTTATCACAGTATTAGATGAGACATTTCCAGTACACTCTCATCCCAAACTAATTACAATGATTGCAGTTACAAAATATGAGCTTAGCCCTCAATAACAAATCTGTAGTTGTGAGTGCCAGGACCGTAGTGTCCCTGCGGTGTAAATACATGCATGCAGACGTATGACTCACGTAATACTCTTGATAGAGGCCCGGGTCTGTCCACTGCTGTCTACCCGCTCGTGCATGTGCAGCGCGGCCAGTCGGAGCGCAGTGTTGCACTTCATCTCAACAGCAAAGCGCTCCAGCAGCACGTCCCCAACACTCTGGAAACACAGACAATACAAACGTACATTGAAGTAACAATACCAATGTAAAACGGAAAAGCATTACGATTTTTATATTGACATGTTAATGCACCAGCATTGTCTCATACAGCAAACACAAATGCACCGAGGCAAAGGCTCATTGAGTACAATAAATGAACATGACATAAGTGGCACTCCCAATTCTTTATTGTGCAAAACAAATATGCAAAAAATAACTACGGCTTTAAGGCCGCTGGGCTTATGCAGGAGTTTTTTGTGACTAAAAAAATATACAAAGCCACAGTAACAGACAGTGTTATATTTTTATTGATGCTTCAAACATTTCCTAAACTTGGATTCTGGCTCTATTTTTGTTAATGTTTTACATTATGTTTAGAGCCCACTAGAACAAGTGTAAATATCGGATTTAGTGCTTAATTTTGCAAATGGATACAGAATTGCTTTAACAAAAATGTCATTGAACTTTTGGACTTGGTTTCCTTAAGTAAGAAAGGAGAAATTGGTCTTCTGAATGACGATGAACGACACTATCGTGGAAGGAAAAGGAGACACATAGAATGCTGCAGGTGCGACGAGTGGCTTCTCTGACCTGTAAGAAGAGGTACTCGAAGGTAGAGGGGTCATCCTGCAGCAGGTCCATTGGGTCTCTCGGAACGAAACACACCCTGAACAAACATCTGTAGTCATGGGAGTCTTTTTTCTGCACAACCTGGTGGAGACAAAAAACATTTTGGTAAATCAAACCTAATATGAAAAGGCAGAGTGTTCATGGGTGGATTTGCGCATGCATTGTTTCCCTCACCTTCTGTATGAACTCGTCTTCATGCAGCAGCAGCAGTTTGGTGATGCTGTATTGTTGCTCTAGCACCAGGGCAAAGTACTCAATGGCCCGGATGGACAGTTTATCCTTCAGAGTCAGCACAATGTCCTGGAATGGTGAAAAAACAACTGTTCAGAGCCCCTCAGACAAACATGCTTGATCCCCGTCTGCTGATGGCACATGGTCGAATATGATCCCCCTCTCAGTTGCTCCGTGGCTGGAAATACAAACTGAAATACAAAACCTGTTGATTTATAATGAGTCGGTGCTCTTCAAGGCTCAAGAATATACCTACTCATAAATATATCAAGAGCTACTCATAAAATCCAGCTCTGCCTTTCAAACAAACACGTTCTTGATGAGTTTTAGGAACCATTAGGAACAGCTACAACAGTAACAGCCTACTCATATTTTAACACCTTTGGGACAATCACAGTGAAACTTGTGGTGGGCATATTTAGAGGAATAAGCCCACTGGTTTCCAGAAAGCCTTTCACAACTAGGTTTGTTCTCATAATGTTGGTGTGAAACTGAAGGGGGGCGATGAGCTTTTCTTTTGAGGACACTAACGTAGGCAGTGCGTGACATAATTCAACTCTATACATATTCTTTTCATCTTTATTTCATGTCTAATTGTTGCTTTCTGTCACAGTTACAGTATGATAGGTACATTCCTCTTATGCAGCTTAGTGTATATCGAGATGCGTCGTCCATTTACCCGTTTAAAGGGTCACAGTTTCATCTTCATTCTTAAAATATGTTTGTAAAATGTCGTACATACAATAACTAAAAACCTGTTTGATACACACCTTAACGGTGGTGCTGTTGTCAAACTTGAAGGCCTTGGTCTGCCCGTTCTCCAAATAAACTTTCAGGACATTGGGCAGGAAGAGAAGAGAGTTTCCCTGATGGAGAGAGAGAGAGAGAGAGAGAGAGAGAGAGAGAGAGAGAGAGAGAGAGAGAGATTATTGTGGTTGAACAGGAATGATTTTAAAACCAGGGAAGGTAAAAGAGGAAAGGGGAGAATGACCTGAGTGTGCCCGTTCACCACCACCTCCTCTGCAAAGCGCACTTTAACTGGATTACTCCTCAAACGAGCTCTCTTCTCTGCTGACATGATGGATGACTTGGGATTCTGCAACACAAAGACGTGCATGAGTGCCATTATGGGAGGACCGAGGCACGTTGGTCAAGCTCAAACAAGTGCGACGACACAATACAATTTTAAAACCGGAAAAAAATGTAGACACACAACCGGTCGACACCCACACACTCATGCCTGTGCATCATGATCTAAAAGCAAGTTATTCCTGTCAAGAGACACATATTTACAGTCACACGCTTGCAAAAACCAGAGCTTATGCCATTCAGGACAATGTAAAGATTCTTTGTGAATGCGAGTTGGTGGGAGGTCATCAATGTCTTCTTTGTACTCACTGTCATGTGCCGCAGGATAGTCACAGTGATACAATCCTCCAAGTCCCTGAAGGAGAAACAATACATACACACACATGGTCACACACACATGGTCACACGCACATCCACATGAGAGAGATCATTATCTTTCTGTCCAGCTGTTAAGCAAGCACTTTCCCCTTTTGACCTTTTCCCTTGCACATGTTAAGCCTTTCTCTTGGAAACACAACATCACGCATTAATAATCCACACACACTCTCAGAAATGCAGCCCAGCAGGTGACACGTGTCAGCGAACTTGGTCGCTGGGTGGACCGGACACTCTGGTAGCGTGGCAGAGACTGAGCTGACGTCTCATTTCTCTTTATCCACAGTCGATAGAAAGAAAGAAAGAAAGATGGATGGATAGATGAATAGATAGATAGATATTTCAACAGTTATTCTCACCGTAAGAGGTTATCCACCTGGTCAGTGCTCAAGTCCTCCAGCACTGTATCATTAATTTGCAACACCAGGTCCCCTGGGTACAGTATCCCATCTGCAGGACTCCCTACACACACACACACAAAATGAAAAGATTGAGTGCTTGCATGAAACAAAAACCCTGCTGCACACATGGGCTTGCACGTAGTTTAAAGAAAGGGAGATACACACACACACACACACACACACACACACACACACACACACTAAAACAAAATGTCACATATGGTAATTCGACATGGCTGACTCAACCGTGTTTATCTGATCTGTCCCGGATGTGAGGGGTTACGGTTATTCTGGGTCTCTTCCAGTTCGGCTCCGCTCAGCTTTCTCCAGTTATTTATACTCGTTTCTCTTCAGGCGAGAGAGTACGGATGAGGCACAGTACTTTTAGCTTACTCTAACACACACACACACACACACTCAAACAAGTGTATGTATATGTATGTGAACGTGGGGGTGAACACATATTCTCACCAACCCTGTCTGACCGGCAAAGCCCCGTCTGTCACTGATTTTTGACCCACTGACGACATCCCACACTGCTTTGCGGGCTTATACACGCACGCACATAAACACAGGGAACACTTGCACATGTTCCCTCTCTCTTGCCAGACAAGCAATCCCACCTCCTCCCACCTCCCCACCCCCACCCTGCCGAGCTCTCATGTCGGCTCTGCCAATATCCTGATCTGTGCGGTTTTTCAAGTTCCCTCCCTTCCTCCTCTTTGTTGTCCTTCTTCCTCATTCGCCGTTTTTTAGTCTCATCCTCCTCTTCACAGATCCCGTCCGCGCTGACTCTTACCACACCCGAAGGTGTCAACCCCCCCCCACCCCCATCCACCCCCATCGGTCTCCTCTGTCTATTAAATCTGCAGGTTGCCGGGTAGGACAATTTATCAGCTTATCTTACAGGATAGACATAAAGGTAATGGATCCATCTCTCTCGCTCCGTCTCTCGCTTATCAAAGGTGGCGAAATGTAAAGTGATTTCGTTTGAGCAGTTTGCTCTGTTGTTTTTGTGGCCTTTCTGGCACTGTGCCCCGCAATCGGAATTCCCCAGGGGGAGTCGGTCGATGCTCAGCGTGTGTCCGTGTGTGCGTGTACGGGTTGGTTTGTTCACACTGGCATAGACACACACTGTCCCGGCTCACAGCCCAAGTACCTGCGGCAATGTCCCTGACCAGCAGGGGGGCGGTTGGGGTGAGGATGAAGCCATGTCCCGTGCTGCTGTCCAGGACCGGGTCCCTGGTGATCTGCAGCGTCAGCTTGGCCTGGAAGTTCTGGTTGGACAGACTGTTGGAGCGCTGTGACCTCCCATCGCCTAGCAACCGCTCTCTGAGGAGGTCAAACGGGGTAACAGGTCAACTTTCGGTAGAAAGGCTATACGACTATACTAAACTCAAGGGATGACTTCTCTGCTTTTTTACACTTCAATAATAACACATTTCTTATTATCAATTAGGGGTTTAAGTTTATCTAGCAGTTAATTAAATTGGCTTTACCGGCTGTAACAGTGAGGCTGGTATGTATGTATGAGCGCCGTGAGTACGGTTTGATCCATTTGGAAGAAATATAAAAAGTGATTAATTAATTACTAAAAGAGTTCACGGTTCAGTTGTTTGTTTACTTAACTACTAATTTATCTACATATCTTATCAGTTGTAAGACAATAATGATCATAAAGCCACAAGAACAAATAGTTTACAGCCGTGCCAGGGCCTCCGTGACGCTGTACTTTGGACCAGCAGCACTGCAGGAATTGCTCACATCACTTTGCCATCAGGCAGATGTGAAGGTAAAAATGCAAAGAGCATCAAAGCTGTTTGTAATTCTTTCTTAAGGGGGCTTCATAATATTTGTCCAAGTACTCAGGAGTGCACATTTACATAAACTGCTATACGCCATCCGCCAGCTCAAATGTCCCCTGGGAACACACACAATGTGAACACGTTGACTTTTAATCAGAGACACTGGGCTTCTTCTGCAATGCCTCCTTTGCTGAGGCGGGAAACACTTCATGGACAACAAGGGGACGGAGGCCACTGAAAGCATACATGAGGTCTGCTGTGGAGAGTGTTTGTCCGTAAGAGAGGGACGATCTGGTTTTGAATACGTACTTAACCATGTGATGTGAGCGCGAGGTGATATGGTGTGAGCTTAGTGACAGGTTAAGAAATCCACTCTTCATTTATCTCTAATTTGGGGTGTTTTTAAATAGATAAACATGTCCTGGCTTTCTTTTAAATCCTAAATGATATGTTCTAGGCATCCCACATTTCCTCTCTACTACAGAATGTGGCAGCAGCTGTTCTCTGCACTCCCCAAACTCGATTGTTTGGCTGTTTACTATATAAGTGGTTTTAGCTGCTGCTGCTGCAGCGGTTTGTGTGGCGTCGGCATTTTCTGCTACAGCTGACTGTGTGGTGCCAACATTCTCTACTGCGCGCCCGGTTGTTTTCCTACCAAAAACCTTCTCCCCGCGGAGAATCAAGCGATGGAGCAAATCTCATCTCCCGGAGGTGTTGTTCATTCCAACATGTACTGTCACAAACGTTTTCCGAACTTGTCATCGGGTGTTTGGCCCCAAACCTCTGCAGCTCCTTCGCTCCGTACCTGCTAAGCGACTCTCGGGTGCGTCGTATTATTGTTCCCACCACCTGCTGCACCCGGCTGGTTCTCCGGGCCGGAGACCTGCTCCTACATCGCTCCTTCTCCTCCATTTATCTAAAGAGAGCAAAAAAGAAAAAAGCATTAGAGGACATGATCCCAACCAACTGAACACAAAGAGAAAAGAAGACTTCAGGGAGGATTTGGAGACAGAAGATAAGTTAGAATCTGCTTAGCGTTCAGCTTTGCATTGCTGGTTCAGCACCGGCATATTAGGCTTTGGCTAAATTTGCATTTCGTCTCCCCAGTTTGTATATTCAGAGCGTGCAGCCTGCATCGACTACGATGAATAATCAGATACGTGAGCAACACAGGCTGAATGAGAAACAGAGAGGGGCGCGAGAGTGAACAGCAGAACGTCACTGACGCATTTGCTTGATCTGATGCCAAACAACTGCACAACAACAGGATTTAAAGTACAATCTGCAAGTTCACTAAAAATCTGCAGCTACTTGCTTTCCTCTGTGCCTGCCCTTTAAACAGGGGTGGGGGGTGGGGGGGGGTTGTTCGGGACATGAGGAAGAATGGAGGACACGGTCAAATCCCAGGGAGGAAAAGCTGGGTGGCTACCAGACCTCGGCTGTGCTGCGTTTCCGCCAATCAATACGCCGGCATTGAACTTTAAAGCTTCTGATAATTCCTTGACTGGGTTTCTTAGGAGGGCTGTTTCGTTTATATTCATGTTTCTTTTGTGTTGCCAATAAGACATTGTTTTACTGCTGTTTTTCGACATCATTAATCTTGTGTTCACATCCGTGTTGGAATGTTTTTGGCCCACAAGGCAGAGAAGAGCGAGGGAAACGTTGGCACCGTATAGCGGCCCAGACCTGATCAATACAGTTAACGATGATGGATGTGGCCCTAAGATTTGTACCGTGGCCTCAACAGACCGCTGCAGAACGCTTAGTTTGATCAGCCCTCTGAAAAAATGCAGGTAGCTTTTGCAAGCAAAGACCTTTGTGGAGAGCTTAAAGGAGCATCTGCCACACTTTATTTTACGACAAGTTTCGAGAAGGATAATAAAGCCAATACATCGCAATTACCGTGTTGTACTTTGAGGTCGCAATGATGCACCCTGTATTACAATCAATAGCGGACTTAAAGCAGTATTGGTCACATATTGATGAAGTAGAATACAAAATGAATCAGCATCTACAACAGATTTCTGCTGGTCTCTGCCAGCCACGACTTGCCTGCCTGAGTGTTATTAAAGCACTCTGAGAGGATTAACGCCCCCCCCCCCCCCCCCGTTCTGCACGGGCCCACCCTGGTCAGGGTGTCACTTTAGCACCTCCCGTTGATCCGGATTGAGGGAGATTGACGTGGATGAGGCGGGATGAGCTCGGCTAGGTAGGTGACAGCTGCGCGCAGTGATTACTGCAGCGACGTTCGATCCGTGAGAGAAAGCGGCGTTTGACTCACGGGGCTCGGAACGCTTAAGGAGACTTCCTTACAGCGCGTTGGGAGCGTGCAGCGGGTTTGCAGGTGAATGGATGTGCATGCGTCCGCTGCGGTCGGTCGCTGGAGTCAAGTGGCCGTTTTTGCTGTCATTCTTCGTCTCTCCCCGTTCTGTTTTATTTTCTTCTCCCCTCTCCCTTTCCCCCCTCACCCTCGCTGTCCTTGTCGAGTCAGGCAGTCGTCTCGGGTGACAGTGTCTCTGGGCAGCTGCAGCCAGACATTTCTTACATACATGCACATCCTCAGCACTGGATCCAAAGTGTTTACAATCCTCACCTTTGCTCAACAAAAGAAATGAAATGTTCTAAAAACACGCTTCACATGTGGTAAGGCTCTGGGAAAGGCAGAGAATAATTTGAAATAAATAAATAAGTAAAACGTGCAGGCTGAAAATAACCGCAGCGCCGTCCACGTCTGTTAAGCAAGAAGCACATTTGGACTGAAGGCCGGGTGTGACTCACCGTGATGTGGCTTGTCTCCTCAGGACTCCAGAACACAAATACCCTCTCGCCCTCTGAGACATCAGCTCTGCTGCCCCTCCAGGATTGGCTGAGAAGAGGCGTAGGGGGGGTCCTCGTGATCATCAGGGCCAATCCCGATCCGATGCGGCCACCTGTGCAGACCAGAGCAACACACTCAGGGAGACCTGTCGAAACCCACAAACAAGACGCACCACCGCACGCCGAGTTTATAATCAGAGCGAGAAGCGAGGAGCGATCGAGGTGAGATCAGCTGCATCTGCCTTTGTTTTCAAGTAACTATGTTCCAGTTGTTGACGCTTTTTAGAATGAACACGCAAGTATGTCAAGCCAAGCAGATGTGAGTCCAAACCAACTCTGTGGTTGTGGTTTTTTCCAAGAGGCTCCTCCTCTGGTCCCCAAGGCCCCCCCTCTCCCCCCTCTCTCTCTCTCACTCTTCCTCACTCGCTCTCTCTCTTTCTACTCCTCCAGAGCCTCAGAAACACATGGCGATGTGGGCACTCCATCTCCGTCTGGTTGTCAAAATTAAAATTTCATGCCGCCCAGTTCAGTTAACAGTTCTTACTGGTGCACTCTAAAAGCAAAGAGGACATCTTGTGAATCCGGGTGTGAGGGGGGGATATTAGGCTGCAGGCAGAGATCCTGGCCATGGATAAAATAGGACAAGTCTTTCATCTGGAAATCAGGGCAGAGATGCAGGAAACCCGACCCGACCTCTGGTTTGGGGAGAAAAACAAACCAGGGAGAAGCTTTGTTGTGAAAAGCCCGGCCGTTGAATTCGGAAAGACACTGAATAAACATTCTTGATCTCCTCCAAGGAAACCAAATCATGTTGTACTTAAATGCTGATCTGCGAAGTGACCCCCCCATCCCCCTCTCACCCCCCGGGGCTTTCATCCCAGAAATCAAGGAATTGATAGTCTCGTCTCTGCAGCTCTCCCATCAGGCCCGGTGTCCCACACACACAGAGCTCTTTCACAAGGCCCATGTGTCCCAGGGAGAAGCCAGCAGAAGACCTGGACCCACACAGACTGCAGGGCTCATGAATAATGCATGTGGCTCATGCAGCTAGCCTCCGCCTGCCTCCACCCACCTCCACCCGCCTCCTTCTGGCTCTTTGCCAACACAGGCAACAAGAAGCACAGAAGAAGAGAGACACACCGGAAGGACGTATGGGGGTTCGCGGGGTGTGTGTGTGTGTGTGTGTGTGTGTAGGAGGGGGGGCGGCTGTCTGAGGGGCTGAGAAAAGGGGAAAGAGAATTGGTCTGGGCAGAGAAAAGAGAGAAAGGACAGGATATTGCGGGGGAGGAGAAGAGGGGGAGCATTTTAAAGAGGGTGAAGAGGACAGAGGGAGAGAAACGGGAGGGCGAAGCTGGAGGGGAAGAAAAGAAAGAACAAAAGTATTTACAGTGAGCAGTGGAAAGAAACCTGATCATTGCAGCATTTCTCCACCAACCAAAAGCAAACAAAGCCAAGCAACAGACATTGATGTACGGTCAAATAAAAGAGACATTGTAGCACTGTGGCATTTTAATGCTGCCCCCCCTCCTCCTATATGGTGTCTTAAATAAAGAACTTTATTGCCGTGTCTGCGAGCTGCCGATGAGTTTGCTCCTGATCTCCTTCTGAATCAATAGCAATGGTGGATCCTGTCCTTAAGCCCCCCGGGCTGCCCACTGACACAGATTATCTGCGGACCTCTCCATCCTCCTCTCCCTTCTCTCCCCCTTTACCGTCCATCCCCGACACCGGTCTTCACCGTACGTGGACGATACATGTGTGAAGTGCAGCTGGTCAAATGGCGGCTGTCTGCATCTCTCCGTGTCTCATTTCTGTGAGACAACGCTGGTCGTTCTGACACACAATGTCTCTCTGTCTCCGTCAGTCAGTTATTCAAACCCGCCGTCTGGTATGAGCACGCATGCAGTCCATATGCTCGGTGGACAGGGCCTTGGGAAGCTGCGTCAGGATTCAAAGTGGGAGAAGGAATGCCCACATACATATATATCTGATGTTGTTACAAACACACACATGCGCATACATTCACACAGCCACACAACTCACGGGGCTTAATACGATACGTGAGAGGAGTGTTACACAACCGGTAAACAGATTCCTACAGAAGCCTCGCTGACTGAACGGCAGCTTTTATTTAGGAAGGGCCAGTTGGCTGTTATTGATAACTTCTCACACACACACACACACACACACACACAGAAACGCCCCGTCAGGCGACTATGACACATCGGACGCAGCTGCACCACATGAGGTGCTGGGCGGCAGCAGCAGCAGGGCTTCGCTCAGCAACCCAACAATTCATTTTGGCTCAGAGTTGCTGGCAAAAAAGTTGAACACAGAGCTCAGCGAACCGTCGGTCCAACAGCGGCAAAACATTTCCATGAATATCTGCATGACTTGAGCTGTGAGATTTATGTGGGGCAGCTGGATTGCTTCAGATGTGTTTAATCTTAGTTGTAAATGTGAGGAACAACAAGTAAAAAAGGTATCGTGATTCCCATCAAAAGTTAGAGACGCATAAAAAAATATTGCGGGAGATTTCAAGAGCTGGTTTAACAGAGATTATATGCTGCAAATAGTTTTATTACAGTTATGTTTTAAGCTTTGTAGACACAAGCAGCTTCTAATCTAAACTAATAAATAAATAGGAACGTTTTGAACAAATGTAATCAGCTTTGGTCCATTAGCTCCATTAGACGTGTCCTTAATGTCGGAGGGTCCTGAGAACTGTAAGATGTCCTTTCATAAAACCCCATGTAGATGTTTTTCCTCAGTTGAAAGGATCAAAATGTGGAACTCCTTATTTACAAAACTCAAAATGCATTCTTGTTTTAACGGATGTTTATTATCTTATCAAAAATGACTTTTTGTCAGTGACAACTGTCAAGAAAACTCTCTCAGGTGCAGACAGGCATCAGACAGCAACGTGAGCCACAACAGCATTCAAAAGAACAAGCTACTACACAACAGCACACTCGCAGTGATTTGTTCAACAGAGACCTCCCGCAGGGCATGAAGGATCTCTGTGAGCAGGTACTTTCATCTCATATTCGGCACCGAGAAGACGCGTTACGTCACTGAGGATTACGCTCCTCCTCACCACTCGCTACTGACGTGCTCCTCAGCGGACGTCTAATAACTAAATATATAACAGCTGACTTTTCCATTTGTGCCACTATGAAGCCAAATCATTTTATTAGTATCGTACCGTCTTCACAAGCAAGGCTGTAAAGTATAGCTGATGTTTGTGTTTGTACCATGTGCGGCGGTTGTAAGTTGCTGGTTAATTGTTTGTCCTCCGGACAAAATCAGGTCTCCCTTTGCTGCCTGTCGGCTCGTCCCATTAGCGGCGTGAAGACAGGGCTCTCTGTGTGCCGCTCATTTCCCCTTTCATCTGCGACCTGGCGAGGCTTCACTTCCCCAGTGCATTATTAAATAATGGCTCTTTTGCAGATTAATAGTGTGCTGCATTGTGCTGCAGATCCCCATGGATGGTTCTGACGGTCCCGTAGAGAGACAGACAGCCAGGTAGAAAGAGGGAGGAAGATCTTTGCATGTTAGGAGAACAATATATGTTGCAAGCCTGGGAAACTGTCAGCCTTTTGTCTTCTGTTGCTGTTTGAGTCAATTCCTTTCAACTCAGTGCTCCTTCAAAAACAGCACAATAGAGGCATTATCTCTAAATAAAAGTACGATGAGGGCAGCCAGTGAGGCAGCAGCTACAATAGGCTCCAGGCTTTGGAATAATACTTACATGTAGCTGCAGTACGACGTGGATATTTCATATCACGAAGGAGAATAAATGGGGATAAACTTGGTAGCTGAATATTCCCTTGCCTCTCTGTTAATGCTTCACTATATGTTCATAATTAGAGTTGGCCTACATTATGGCGCCACTGCCAGTCAAGTGTGCCATCGCCACGGAGCTGCCGCATCAATGAGGTCAAATCTCATTTCTCCTCATGTAGCATTGACACTGGTACAGTTTGTAGCGAAACATACACATTTAAAGTACATTCATCTGCATTTCACGTCTGCCATTCCACCCGTCCATCAATATACCCATCATACACCAACGTAACCCTTGACCCCATTCAATTCCTTGACTGAGAAAGACAAGATATTGATAAATCAATAGCTTTCAGGGGCGGTAACGGTATGAATCACATTTCTGAACAGCTCCGACCTTCGATTGATCTAATGGTCAGTCGGGCCGTGGATCGGGCTACACAGAGTGCCCTGGAGACACGAAGCCAAGACTGAAGAGGAAGAGAGGGGGGGCGGGGGGTGGGTGGATGGATGGCTGACTGGCTTCGATGTAAGTGGGACAGAGGCGCAGTCAGTGGGGCAGATCGAGGCTAACGCAGCCAGGCATCAAGGCTCCTCCTGATGTGCGAGTTCTGCCCGACGCGCGTTCCTCCTCCGGCACACTGACCTCGGAGTGGCAACTCCCATCGCATGATGTAGCATACATCCCTGAGTCACAGCGCAGGGCCTGCAGCTGTGGCAGAGCACAGGCCAACAGCCTCAGAAACACAGAGAGACCACAGCCCGGAGGAGGGAGGGGGGTTCATCGGGGACAAAATGGCATTCATTCATTAAGCTTCCATCTGTGTGTGAGCGTGTGTTGAGCTGCACATGATGCTGTTTAAGTGATGGCTGTGGCCAAACACGTGTTTCAATAAAATCCGTAACCAGCGGTCATATCAAATCATGCCATGCATTAAACGAAGGCCCCGGAACGGCAAAACGCATTGTTCCGGTCTAGTTGTGTTGCTCGCTCTTGTCCCGTCCTGCAACCGCGCGGAGGAGGCCGAGACAAGAGGCTGCTACTGGCCAGAGGACACGAGCAGAGAGAGACAGGAGGAGAGGACACTGCCCCGCGGGTGGCTGCACGTCGCCTACGCCCATTCATAATGTGCGTGTTCTCCTCCCCGGACTCATGGCAGCAGCAGCAGCAGCCCCCCTCTTCCTCCTCCTCTCCTCCTCCTCCTCTCCGATCCGTGCGTCCCCGCCGCGCGGGGCTTTCACTGCGCGTGCAGCGGCGTGGATTCCCCGCGATCCCCGCGCGAGACGCGTTGTTTATGAGTGTGTGGAATGAGTTCAGCGTTCAGCGTGGTACGAAACAAAAAAAAATGGTTCTGCGTGGCATCCCAGCGATGCACATTCCCGATAACCAGAACGCACAATGAACAACACCACATGTCATCCGCCGCGTCCATCGCTCGTAAACACGTTAGAAATGCCCGTATAATCATCAATATCCACCAGTGCGCTGAACAAACAGCAACTGTGATCCCTGGCACGGCCATGCTGGTCAACACGGGGGACTAAACAAAGAAGAAAAAAAGGTCAGTCTTTTGTTACCTTTATAATCTTAATCGGATTTAAATCTCCACGCAGACTCCAAACAGGGGCAATGGGTGTCGCCTGCAGGCGTTGTGAAAACGACCGTCAGTTAAATCATTCATTTCGGTGTGATAAAAAAAAAGAAGAAAATCCGTCCAAATGCCAGGAATGGATGCAAGGTGCAAGCGCCCCTACGAGCAGCCGGGTGCTGCTTCACCAGACAATAACACCGGGAAATACCGAGAAAACTCACCTGCTCTGTCTGAGGAGGAGACAGATGGAGCGGCAGTCTGAGCAGGTTGTCCCCGAAACGCGGCAGCGATGCCGTGAATTTGAAGGGAATATTTTCTGCGAAATATCCGCGACGTCCTCCCGAGCCGGATGATGGTGGTGATGTGGTGTGTGTGTGCGTGTGTGTGGGAAGGGGGGGGCTATATGCTGGATGCTGTCATCATGCTGGGACTGCTGTGTGCCTAATCCCCGGCCCTGAGAGCAGAAATAACCCACCCCCTCCTTCTGTGCCTCTCGATCCTCTCTGCCTCCTCCGCCCGGAGGACCCCCACCGCCCCCCCGCCGCAAGGTCAGTTCACCCAACGCGAGCACAGTGATACAAATCATATTATTATTATTATTATTATTGTTAATAATAATAATAAGAAGAACGTAAGAAGTCTAATTTGTATGCGTGTTCATATGGAATTGATTGGTGGAATAATCACAGTCTGAATTGATTCAGTTTAACAACATATTTTACATCCTTTCATCACATTGGTTTGATGAAGAAGCTTGAATACTAAGTGGCATAGGGGGCCCCAGTGGCCCCACATTCTCTAAGAGTCAGTGTCTAAATTAGAATTTGCATTCTCCTACACTAATTTGTCAAATGTACCCTAGTTTTTTTAATCTGACCACATCCAAAGCACCAATAGTTATTTGCCTCGATGATAACATGCTTCAGTTTGCAGAGTACTATTTAGGTGGAGATGTTGGTGGTAGTGTTTTCCTCCCTAACAGGACGGGAAAATAACATTCATTTAAGGGAAACAGCCAGAATATATTTATTTATTTAACTTACTCTTTTCACGGTTAAACTTACCAATATAACAAAGTACATCAATTATATAATTCGTCCATATTTAACAAATGTGCTAGAGGGCCACATTTAACCTTTGCCTTTTTAATTTGTCCCTCCGTGCTCGCCGTTCGTAACTTCCGCTCATACGTACTTCCGGTGAGATCTTTTCATCCACGCTCCCGAGACGACGACATCGCGACACGAAAGACGAACCGAAGGACTAAACACGGTTAAACCACAGCTGTCATGTTCAAACTAGAAGGACTCGGGCCTAAAATGGACCCCGAGGAGATGAAGAGGAAAATGCGACAAGATGTCGTCTCATCTTTACGAAACTTTATTATTTACGTCGCCCTGCTCAGGGCCAGTGAGTAGCGACTCATGACATTGACATTTAGCAAAATCATGCCATACTGACGTTTATGTAGAGTGCCTTAATAATAAGTAGAACACTTGTAGCTAAATTGCATTCATTCCATAGAAAAGCAATACTTCCTTACAATAAACATCTAATCTGTTTTCTGTTTACAGCCCCATTTGTGTTGAAGAAGCTGGACAGCATATGACCTGAACATCGGGTTTCTTCCTCAGCCATCTACTAAGCGTTTACTCGACCAGAGAGAGTATGGATCATCATCATCATCATCATCATCATCATCGTCGTCAGCCGCATCAAACAACTGGGGCCATTACTGCTAATCGTGTTGGACACAACCAGCGTCTGACCATCACTGCACCGGAGGAAACACATTTGATCTAATTTATCCCATCTTATTCCTTTTTGTAAGCTTTAGTCTGCATTTCTTGTTAAACATGTTGCCATTATTGATTGACAACAAAGTGGCAGTGCGTAAGCGCGCCATGCTCGCAAGTTAACCGGAAACCATGTATATTTCTGTTGATAGCGGATCTACTCAGTTCTGCACATATTGTGTTTTGTTGTAACTGTATTAGAAAAGTATATTACTTTTGTTGGGCTGAATATTTTCAGGAATAAGTTTAAATCCTTTTTATGTAATCACTGAAAATAAAAACGTTGCCCAATAAATGATTGGAAAGTGTTTCATTGTCTACCTACATCATAGACATTATAACTGGCATCTGCAGCTGCAAGAATATTTCTTATATTTACGTCTCATTTTTAGGTCAGTGATTAAACGCATTGTTTACCCAGTCTGATTTTTTTAATGGTATTTACATTGAAGGCGTTATATAGGTATTTTTATGTGTGTCTTCAGAGTAATAATACTGTTAAGCTTTGCTATGCCATTTACTCAGTGATGGCTGGTGCCGATCTTATTCTGTTCTACTAGGTATCTGTTTTATAATTATCGCATTGACGGTGAACTCTTAGTTCAGAATTGGGATTATACAATTTAGTTGATAGTAGAAAACGGACTTACAGTTTGCAGGAGCCATTACAGCATTCCTTAATTAGCTAGTTTTTGCCACCTGTGAACAAAACGTGCGCCTGATCTGAATTCAGATGAACCCCCGCCGCGTCGCCGCCGGGGGGCGCTGTGCTACTCGCTCCGCAGCTGTGCGAGAAAACAAATCAAGGCAGCGTGGTCCGTGGGGGCTGAACCGGCTGACAGCGCGAGTTCTGAAACAGTAAAGCTTCAACTTCGGACCTCGTATCGGAGTCAGCAGGAGAAGAACCGCCGTGAAGATATCCGGCTGTTTCTTTCTCGGTAGTATTTTTTTTTTTTTTGTACAACTCTGCACACGTCGCATGTGTCTCCCTGCGGTATCAACCAACGACGCCTGCCAGAATGGACTTCCCCGGTCATTTCCAGTATATTTTCCAGCAGCTCAACCAGCAGCGGCTGTGTGGTCACCTGTGTGACTGCGTGGTGCTCGTCGGACCCGAGAGCTTCCGGGCTCACCGCTCCATCCTGGCGGCGTGCAGCTCCCACTTCAGGGCTCTACTGAGCTCCAGCAACGCTCGTGCTAAGGTTGGTGGACCAGGAAATGACTGCGATGGTCCCTGTGTGATTGAGCTAGATCCAGAGGTGGTGACCCCGGAGGCCTTCTCCACCTTGCTGGACATGATATACACCTCCACCCTCTCCCCTGGGACCTCCAATGTGATGGATGTACTGTTGGCGGCGTCGCACCTGCATCTCAACAACGTGGTGAAGATCTACAAGCTCCACCTGTCCAGCAGAAACGTTCCTGCGTTGCCCCGAAAGGCTGGGGGTCAGTGCAACACGCCACTTCGGTCATGGAGGAGTGCAGCGATGAGGAGGAAACCGGGGTGGAGGTTAGTCAGTCTGTTGGGGTAGAAGCCCAGGGGGTGAGTGGGGAGCGAGGTGCTGCACCATTTTCGTACAAGAGGAAGTCTCAAGAGGACGAGCTCGGCCACAGAAAGAGGCCCTGCAGGCCGGATGAGGGACACTATAAGGAATGTTTACTTACTGTAACTAGAAACACCAGCGCAGAGGAGGGTGGAGTGGAGATGCTGTCCCCGGACTCCCTGAAGACCACCAACAGACTCTGGGAGAGCCGAGGAGGAGGGGGCAAGGAGGAGGATGGGGGGGAGATCCAGCTGCCAAGGCCATCGAACTTCACAATGGGAGGTGTAGTTGCGTGGAAGGATGGAGATACAGAGGGAGACACTGTGGTCAAAGTAAAGGTGGAAAAGGGAGATCGGCCAAAGCTGATTGAGGGGGGGGAAGCGCACTCTCCAGGTCTAGCAAAGCATCCTCCTCCATCTCCACCAGAAGACCACACTGACCATTTTGACTCTCAACCAAATGAGGAGAAAGCGGCCCCAGTCTTTTTACCATCTCAGCTGTGCGGAGATCTTCAAACTGATGCCCAGAGAGAGGCTGGACCTTTGGGTGAGGGGTCAGTAGACGTGAAGAGTGAAGGCCTATCGGAACTTGCTCTTTCCGGTTTCCTCAATCCCAGCAGGGAAAGTGTAACGGGAGCCCAGGAGGAAGGAGACAGACTGGCCAGCCTCACTGCTGCCACGGCCAGCGATGCTCCTGCAGGACATACTGGTGAGCTGTATCAAAACTCTCCTACTCAGTCTTCCGATTCCTCACTAGTGTGTCCAGTAATCCCTGGCCCCTTGCGGCAGCTTCTCCCCACTCAGGGCCCCGATTGCAGTGACCCGCCCACCCAGAGCCCTTCAGCGGGGTTCCCGGTTTGCAACAGACCCCATCGCAAAAAGTCCCTCATCCAGCCACCCGAGGACAGGACAACCTTCGGTCGCGTTGCCCCTAAAGTGCCTGGACATGAAGTGCCTGTGGGAGATTCTTCAAAAGGTCCGCAATGGACTGGAGCTGCTGAAGACAAAATGCTGCAGGTGACAGGGGAGAAGAAGTACGCCTGCAAAATCTGCTTGAAGACCTTCGTGAAATTCAGAAAGTGTAAGGAACACATCCATGGCCACACGAGCAAAACCCTGTCCAAAGTGTGACCAGCGCGGAGCCGGTGACGGGGAGGTACAGTGGCTCAGAGCAACGCAATTCTTGGAAAGGATTTACTCTACACTAGATTATTCATTACCCAACGTCCTCTATTTGTTTTGGATTTGATGTTACATGATTTCAAGGTCAATAAGTTAATGTTATTATGTCGGGTTGAAATGTTCGAATTCTTTTTCCCCTGAAATGCAACAAATTCCATTTTTTCCAAACTGATGTGAACGCAATGCAAATATCCTATGTTGACCTAAGAGTGACATTGAGTGATAAAATAATTATATCTATTTTGAGTATGCTACATTTGTAAACACACAAATATACAGAAATGTATATTTTACACATCTGGAGCATTGTATGATTTGTATCACTGAATTAAAAGCTGATTGAAAGAAAAAAGAGGTATAAATCATCTTTATTGCGAGCAGTGGTAAAGTTGTTTCTTTTAAAAGACATTTTAAATCAAAAGGACAAATGTTTTTTGCAGTGTAACTCCTCGTGATAAGAGCAAATATTAAGGAGTGCTGCTAGTTTAATCATTTATTCATTCACTTTGAGAACTTTACTGTACATATGACAAAACCTCCCACAGAGCATTTCCTTCCTCAAATGCACACTATCAAACCTCTGTGCCTGCGACAGCATGAAGTTAAACTATCATGTTCCAAACATAAACCCGAGCATTATTGTTAGTTTCCTTCTCTTCCTTACTGCGCCGGTATCTGTTGGAGGCGGCAGGCACAGTGCACCCGTTTTCAGGGGCTAGAAGGTGAGTTCACTGGGCATGTCTGTGCCCTGTAAACCTCCTAGCAGGTTTTGAGCTGACAAAGCTCCCATGATGCCTCTCGTGGAGTAGGTGGCACTGCCGATATGTGGCAACACCACTGCACAAGAAAAGGAGAAGACAAAACATTTGCATTAAGTGGAAAACCCATAGAAAAGGAGGACCAAAAAAAAGCGTGTCCACATGTTTCACTCACCGCAGTTTTTTAATGCCAGAAGTGGGTGGTTTGTCGGGAGCGGCTCAGGTGTCGTGACATCCAGTCCAGCTGCAGCTATCTTTCCGCTGGTCAAAGCCTCGTGCAGATCCTCCTGGTTCACCACAGTTCCCCTAAAACCAATATTGCACCACATCTTCTAACTTTACGTGATCTTAACTGCAAACACAGTCAAAGTGTGCGCTGCAGAGGATGTTTACCTGCTTGAGTTGACGAACACTGCTGTGTTTTTCATCTTGCTGAAGAAGGCCTTGTCGCAGAGCCCCTGAGTTTCTGGTGTCAGGGAGCAGGAAACCACTACAAAGTCGCTCTCAGCCAGCAGAGTGTCCAAGGGAACTGACCAGCAACGACGAGAGGATGGAAAAAAAGGGGAAATAGTTAAAATATGCAAAAACCTTCTTTTTTCTATTAGTGGTATGATCTTATTTTGCTTTTCCCCTTCTGTCTGCTGCGTGAATATCTGCTTTTTCTTACCAAACTCTCCATTCACCTCAGCAGCGTGGGCTTTGGCTGTTCTCCCAGAGTACAGCAGCCTCTTCACCCCAAAGGGCACGAGTCTCCGAGCAATGGCCATGCCTGAACACAAGCCCAACCAATTATTCCCCAGCAAATACTTAAACTTTGTCGGCAAAAAAACGACGGTAGTTTGGTGCGACACTGGAATCGGCTCACGGATCACGTCCTACGTTATATATCATGATTTTAAAGTGCCAAAGTAAAAGCAGAAATATCGAGCCTTACCAATGCGTCCCAAGCCAATGACTCCTACTGTGCTGCCAGATAGGCCGTAACCACACAGCCAGAGAGGCTTCCACGAGCTCCAGCCTCCGCTGAGAGAGAAAAAGGAAAAGACCCGATGACCACCGCACTATACTCAGCGATTGCAGCGATTGGCGTAGACGCGTGACTCACTTCTTGACCTCTTCTACTCCCTCTGGTAATCTGCGGGCAGCGGACAGCAGGAGAGCTACGGTCAGCTCTGCTGTGGCGTCGGTCAGGACGTCCGGAGTGTATCCAACGCGTATGCCACTGTTGATAGAAATGGTCCAGTTTTACTCAGAAGCCACCGGATCACCCTGCTAGCTTAAGGTTGTTCTTAAAAGTACAAGCTACCGTTTTTTGATTTCGTCGAGCGCCATGTGGTCAAATCCCACAGACAGGGTGCTGATGACTTTCAGGTTCGGCCCTGGAATCAGAGACAGTTGAATTTACTACTTATTGATATGTTTTAATTATCTTAAATTAAATAATTGAGTGGAAGAAGAAGAAGCTATGGTTGTTTACAGCGTGCTGCCTTTCTCATCATTGCGTCACCAGGGAATATTTAATGTTTTATTTACAGATCTATTATGAATTGTGACACTGATCTAAAGGAGTACCTGCGGCATCCAGAACCTCTGCATCGATCTTGTCTGACAGCAGACACAGGAGGCCGTGAGCCCCCTGCACGCCTCTGAGCAGCTCTTCTCTCTGCACGGGTTCATCGGAGTCCCACAGAGACACCTCGCACCTGAGGAGGAGACAGAACACGAGATGTCACGCAGTCAGACTCTGTGGATACGAGCTAGCCGAAGAAGCTGACGGGAGATATATTTACAGAAGCTAAACACACGTGGGAAGCTTTGAGAGCAGTCTTCACGTGTGGTTCAAAGGCAAACACTTAAATAAATGTAACGTAAATAGTTAAACGCTGGGTTGCTCGTGTTAGATGCCAGTTATTTGATCGGTATTAATGCATACACTCCAGCCGCTGACAGGATCTTCATCCCCTCCGGCGGGATGCGCCTCGTCACGAAACACTTTCATGAGTTTTTCCAACTGTCTGCATCTGATTTAACGGTAGAAAGTGGAGGGTTGTCCTCTCTGCGGAGAGGACGGACGTCCACGCAGTCCGCGCTGGCAGGTTTCAACCTTGAACCTTTTGCGCAACACTGTTGTGGGAAAACTCCAGTTTCCTCCACGGGACGTCAGGAAGTGCTGCTCAATTTCACAGCACTGCGCATGAGCGGACGGTTGGTCCGGTGACGGCAAGACGATCGTGAACGTGCCCTTTAGTGTGTGTTTGCGTATGACGTCATAGTACACGCCCCCACGTCGTGTCATCGGACCGCTCCAGCGGTGTCTGCTCCTCCGCTTATTAGTGCGGACCATGGCACGAGCCGCTGAGCTGTAAATGGCGAAGACTTCACCCTCAAAAGCGGCAGAGGGCGGAATAAGTAGCACTTGACACTCGAGGAACAAACAAGTCCACTCCGAAGCCGGAAATGAGTGGGGTCCCAGTCTGAAAATAAAGGTGAGAAACTGAGACGTCTTCTTTCGGGGTCTTCTAGGCGTTCACGTTTGCGGCGGCTAACGTTAGCGTCAGCTCTTAGCTTGGACCGGTTGTGGCAGGCTAATTAACGGTAGATAATTAACGAGCTGTAACGAGCCGCGGGCTGTTGTCCTGTAGCTCCTCGGTTAGGATGCAACCGCTTCTTTACGGTTACTCACCCGCTAACAATGCCGGGACACAGGGGACTGTATTACCGTCATAGACGCGCTAAAGCCTTTGACGTTTTAGCTGCCATGTAACGCAGGCTTTATTATCATTTAATAACGCCGCGCGTTCATGTACGTAAAACGTGCTTCATCAGCATTCACTGCACCCTATTTGATAACCTGACAATTATTAATGTGTTTTTTTTATCATGTTTAACCACAGGTTTAGGGGGTATTTTTAGTATGTCGGTTGCGTGCACTATAATAATGTGTTTCACTAAAATAATCCAGATGTGTTCCAGTTTGAAGGAGCAATTTTAATAGAATAAAATGCGGATTAAGAGAAAACTGCCACTACAGTATATTTCTTTTAATTTCATTTTATACCTTGCTATTTGTATATCCTGAACCTATTGGAAGATTTTCGAGTAACTCTTAAATAGTTTAAATAACTATAAAAATGTCTGGATTTTGCTGATCTCGGGAGGTGAATTATGAAAGTATCAAGGCACATCTTGACCACAGTGATGCAAACATATACTTAAAATCCAATAAGGTCATTGAGCAAAGTTGTCTTAATACTACTACTACACTATGTCCCATGCAACTCCACCTCTACTGGGTTCAACAAAGAGGAAACTTAATATTATGTTATGTAATCATTCCTTGTTAATATCGTACCATGAAGCAGACCGTTCATTTCCTCAGACTCTTTAGCAGTCTCCGATCTAAAGCCTGTCTATTATTGTAATCACACCCCCCAATATCCATATTTAATTTCAGAGCAAATTACCACCACGCCAACAGCATAGTTGTGAGCGAGGAAACCTGCCGGGCCTGTCTGAACCTGCCATCAACAACGTGTGTAGTAAAGACACTCCCCCTGCGCTCTTCAATGGCTCTGTTGACCCTGCACAGGCTCCCATCCATCTCCGGCGCTGCAGTGAGTGCAATCATCCGCACGCCTTGTTGCACACACACACACACGTCGGGCGTTTTGCATCATATGGCAAGAGATATTATTTTGTAAGCTGGATGTAAGAAGCGGGATTCAGAGCCATGTGTTGATGCTGGACCCTCTGCATCCTGCATCCATGGCAGACATGGCAGACATTCCTGGGTGTGTCCCTCATCTCTGCATTTTCCTGACAAAAGAAGGAGGCTGTTGTACAATTGCTTCCAGGGAAGTGACGGCGTCGGTGGGCCTCCAGGGCTAACATGCCACAGATACAGACATCATCGTCATCATCAAAGTGCCATTCATATTCATTACAGTGATGTCAGAAACCCCTTTGTTTGTCTAAATGCTTCTGTAGTTTTTCAATGGATGCATATAAGCGTACAAGCACTGTATCGTTAGATGCTTTAACATTCTTCATGATGATTATTTAACTTTTACATCCCAGGCTTGGCTTTTCTTCTGGTCTTTGTCATTGCCAACTAAACCATAAATGACCTGACTGTGGGTCCCAGTCTCATTTTTTGAACATTTTGTCACGTATCTGATCACTCTGCTGTCTTAACTTGTTTTCTCTCCTTTTTTTCTTCTTCTTCAAACCCTCATCGTTCCTCTCCCGGCTCCTGCCCACTTCTCCTCTTTGATTTCTTTTTTTCTTTTTCTTGACTTTGTCTGGACATGTCAGTTGCGTAACAGGTAATGTTACTGCCTCAAGTTTCTTTCTCTGTGAACTTGTGTTACTACTTCTCTCTCTTGTCCCCCCCCCCAGACTCCCTTGTATTTCTTCTTAACTTAACTTGTATTTCTACTTCTTCTTCTTCTCCTTCTATAATTTCACTACCAGTATATTTGATTGTTTTCACTCCAAACCGCTTAGTGTCCTCTCCTGTGCTTAAATGTCATTCTTTGTGGTTGTCTCCTCGCGTCAATCTTCCACTGCACCTTATGTGTGTTACACAACATTTCACTCAAGGAATTACTGAACGTTTTTTTTCTAGCGTCCACACTGTGTCCACACTTCTCAACAGGAAAGACTTTCTCTCTCTCACACACACACACACACTCACAGTGTCTCCAATGTTCCCAGAAAATGTGTTAGTGTGTCAACACTTTAGTCCTCATCTCGTTAGAAACATGCTGCTATGGGAACGTTAAAAGCTAACGTTTACTCAATTGTGTATTACAATAGTAGTATATATCGACCCTTAAAAATACTTTTAAACAAAATAAACTCACAATCTGCTGGAATATAGAGGACAAAATGTAATTGTATAAAATCATCTTCATTGAAACAAAAAAGGTTTGAACAACTGACTTGCATACAAACTAAAGCTACATTTTGGTCTTCTTGTTGAGGCGTTCTTGTAATTTACTTTTAAAATTATTTTTCATTAGGATGACAGCCTCGAAAGAAGAGGGAGACTTCAGAAAAGGTAGATGTACACCTTTTATTACCTTTTGAATTCTCATGAAAATACAGTCCTAAAAGAACAATTCAGTGGATTTCAGTAGCATAATAACAATGAGGGGTTTCTGTACAATCTCCAGGGAGAGCTTTGCCCTGGTGAAGGGGGCGGTCCTTCTGCTGGGAGATGGCGAGAGCGGGAGCCTGGATGGAGGGACTTTTGCCTCTCCGCCTTCTCCTGTGAAGGAAGGCGGAGGAGCTCAGGACACAAGGCGCAAACACCTCCAGGCCATGGTTGAACAGCTTCGACCAGAGGATACCGTTAAGCTGGTGAGGCATCGTTTTTCCCCGCACGTTGAAAATAAGTCTTTATAATCATAATTTGAGTTGATTGTGATTGAATCATCTTGCTCATCAACAAATAAAAACAACTCATTTAGCAGCCGTTCTAACTCTGGACTATTCAAGTGCGTCTTTATTTAATCTAATCTGCTCAGTCAGAGACCTCACACAGGAGGTTTGAACCCGTCAGTGTAAAGTCAGTTTTGTGTTTACCGGAATGATGCAGCTCCGGTTGAAGCCTTCAGGAGGCCTGAAGGAACTGCTTGTCAGCGTTGCCAACTTGTGACTTCCTTGCTAGTTTTAGCAATCTTTGGATTGAGTGCCGCTTGTTGCTTTCATTGGAAAAGAGTCGGGAACACCGTGCTGGGTTTGTTGGTTGGATCATTTTTAAAAGCAGACTCCTGCTGGTTTCTCTGACATGTGACAATAGAACAAGTGTTCCCTGTAACTAGTATCTGTGTTTCTCTTTGAGCACAACTTTGACCTTTCTGATTGGATTTTTCTGCTGCGTGTAATCAGGCAGGTTTATGTGGTTCAATGAGTAACTTAATACCTAAAAGGAAAACTGCAATATATGTTACATATAAAATCCCCCCCTCCCCCCTTTGTCTCCCTGCGTCTCTGGTCTTCTGCGCTCTGTCATGCAGGCGGTGCAGTTGGAGTCCGTCAGCTCCGTCAGAGTCCGGTATCTGATCGTTGTCTCCACCCTTAGCAACAAACAAGAGAGCATCCTGCTGGGAATGGACTTCCCCAACCCAGACAGGTGTGTGTGTGTGTGTGTGTGTGTGTGTGTGTGTGTGTGTGTGTGTGTGTAACCAAGATGCAGGTGTACTGTGTCGCAAAGGTACTATTTCCATTCAGTTAATAATTTCTAGTTTCGGGGTGTCAATGACATTTCTCTCCTTGTCCGGTCTGTTCCCTCCCTGCAGCGATCGGTGCACCATTGGCCTGGTTCTGCCGATATGGAGCGACACACAGGTGTACCTGGATGGAGACGGGTACGCTTCTTTCATATTTCTTTTTAAAAGGGGAATGAGGATCCAATTGAGACCGTAAATGAACAAGCCAGGAGTTTGTGGCTGCGTCACAGACGGTGCTGGCTGATGTCTGGGATCCTGGCCAGCAATAATATGAATGAGTAATGATCTCTATTTATGGAGCTGAATCATTCCCCGTGAATTACAAAACCTCCAATCCATCATTTAGACCCTTACATAAGCATGGAGTGCATGTCTTAAATGAAATGAATGTGCACTCAGTCTCTTACTGTCTCTGTACAGAAATGGTTAGTGACAGTTAAGCGGGTTATAGTACATCCAGAACTCCATGTCCTCTGTGACCAGACCTACAAGCTATGCTTTAAATAAAGTTATTGAGTGATGTTTGGCTTGTCCTCATCACAGGGTTTTTCTGTGCTGTCGATGCTTGGAGGAAGATGTAAAGAAGGGAAATTAGCCGCTCTAAAAACAGGCCATGGACTGCCTGAGACACAACATGGCTAATTGACACAGAATAGCCTTTCCCTCTTCTTGTTATTTCCTTTCCCTTTCGAGTTTTTTATTCTTACAAATTTAGCTCATACTTCTTCATTTCTCTGTCTTTTTTTCCACAGGGGTTTTAGTGTGACAACAGCTGAGGAGATCCGCATTTTTAAGCCTGTTTCCATGCAGACCATGTGGTGAGTCGAGTTAAATCCTCAATGTCCTCACTATAGCAACCAGCATCTTCGATCCCCTCATCTACAGGTCTTACCTCCCTTTAAATCTTGCCTTTTTAACCTCTGTAGATTCTTTTATTGAGTGTCCTCAAATAAACATCACCCTGTGCCCCCCCCCTCCCCTCCCTCCGCTTTAAGGACAGTGCTGCAGGCTTTGCACGGGTGCTGCGAGCGGGCGGTCAACGCAGCGCTGATCCCAGGCAATGGCTTGGAGTGGGCCGAGCACTACCACCAGCACACGGAGTCGGACCGCCTGTGCCTCAACGAGTGGGAGGTCTTGAACGACTTGGAATCGGTGCGCAGGGACAGCAATGGAGAGGGGTGGGTCCAATGTAAAGTGCTGCTGAACTGATGTGTAGCACTTTTAGTGAATGTATTAAGTGACGTTCCAACCACGCTGTGAATGAATGTGGAGATGCAGTAAATCTGTTTTTCTTCCTAATACACACATTCCAACTCGTGCTGAAGTCTCACTTTTTCTTGCATGGGTAGTTCGGCCGATAGAATTTCCAACGAGGGGCTGATCAAAGAGCACCTGAGAGACATTATGAGGACTGAAGACCTCGACAACCTCACGTCTAAAATGGTAAGACGGGCGGGCAGAAAATGGAGGGTTACAAAAATACGAGAATGTATGTTTGCCTGTGTGATTTAATCTGGCCTTTTGCAGGTGCACTCTACGCTAGAGACCCGGATAGGCTTCGACATGAGACCCTTTAAGGAGTACATCGACAATGAGATCCTGGTTACCATGGCTCAGATGAACAAACCCTCCAAAATATTTGACTACCTTTACTTGGTGAGTGATCGCAAAGCTCCAAAGACAGCGATGCGCTTTATTATGCGTAGTGCAGAGTCTTGCTCTGTGCTTTAGTCTCTAAACTGACGGAAGTGAGCCGTCACCAGGATGTAGACATGTGACTGTAACTTCCCCTTTGTTGGACAGCTGTGTTGAAAGCGATAGGGAAGACGACCCTTTCTTTGTGAACCTCTACTTCTTTATCTGGTTTCAGGGCTCTGAATGGAACGCAGCGAACATCGAGGAGCTGCAGAAGAACAAGTCAGTGTCTTTACCCGCAGCGGTTTCCATAGCTCTGTGTACCTCTGTTGTTGTTGTATTTCCCATTGCCTCTTGACAAAGATAATACGGAATTTGCATTGTGTGCACGGAGTCACTGAAGTTCATGTCTGTTTTTTTCAGTGTGGGCTACATCCTGAATGTGACGAGGGAGATTGACAACTTTTTCCCAGAGTCCTTCACTTATATGAACATCAGAGTGTACGATGTGGAAGCCAGCGAGCTGCTCCCCCACTGGACAGACACGTACAACTTCATCAACACGGCCAGGTAGTTCTGCAACACCTAAAATCGTTCGTCATCGTCAAAACCGTTCCACACACATCACTAGGCATTAAAACCACATTACTATCAACGGTATTCCACCTAATAGTTTCTGATATGAATGAATTAATGAAATGAATAAAAACGATTGACCCACAAACCTGAAGCAGTAAACCGATGGTTTGGAGGAGGTGTTTTCTATTCAGATCGGGATAACTACAATGTCTCAGTGTGTCCAGCAAAAGTCCCCACAATGAGAAAATGTTTTTAAAATGTCTTTAATTTCCTTTAAACCGGGGCATTCGAGGCACTCATGCAAAAACGCACTCCGCAATGCAGAAGCAGCATAAAGAACATCACACTCCCATTACAATTTGCCTTCCCAGGCCGCTCAAAAGTGATCCATCCGATCGAGGCCTAACTCCCCCATATACTAAGAGGTGATTCAGTAACCTTCTGTAAAACTAAAGTTTGATTGCGTTGAAATGTTTGATGCCAATCTAGCATCAGTCTACCGAACATGAATCTGGACCCCTGAGTGCATTTCTCCCCAGCTGAACAACACTTTTTTAATATCATTTACCTGGTTTCTGGCTTTGCTTCACCAAGCAGTTTAGCAGTTTTTACGTTTATTTCCTTTGAATATTAAAAAAGAATCTCCAGACCGCTGAGGGAGTTTCTCTTGAATTGTGTGCGCTGCAGGCAGCGTGGACAGGCCGTGTTGGTGCACTGCAAGATGGGAGTCTCTCGCTCTGCTTCCACCGTCATTGCCTACGCCATGAAGCACTATCACTGGCCACTGGATATGGCCTTGACCTACGTGAGGGATCGACGTTCCATCGTCAAGCCCAATGACGGCTTCATGAAACAGCTGCAGACCTACAACGGCATCCTGAATGCGAGGTCAGGCATTGTGTCATTCCTAATGTTGTGACGAGCTCTCTACCCTAAAACGTAGAAGAAGCTTTGGGGACAAAAAAACATAAACCTTTCTGGAATTTGCAGCTGGTTGCGCCTTAGGTATTTATTTGACTTCACATGAGAGGATTGTTGGTGCATGTTCCTTCTGCTTTCCAGCCAGCAGCGTCACAGCGCACTCTGGAGGCGAATGTCGAGAGAACAAAGGCAAAAATCAATGCGCAAGGACGAGAGAGTGGGGGAAGGAAAGCCTGAGGAGGAGGAGGAGGAGGAGGAGGAGGAGGATGATGACTGTGAGCTGTCTGATGAGGAGGAGCTAGCGAGTCCACATGAAACAGATGATCCACAGCAGGACTTACAGGTTATTATTTAAATCTATTTTATTTTATTTCCACTTTTAATCCTGCTGATTTTCTTATTTTTATGTACGATCCTTTTTGTCCTCCTTAACACACTCAGGTGTTTGAAGGGCCAACCCCCCAATCTGACACGAGCCAGACAGGATCACCAGTTATCACGGTAAATGAACCAAACTTGGTGAGCAGGCAAGCGGTTTATGTGCATGGGTCTTTTTGTGGTGCGGACTGGGCTCCCCCTCTAAATGTTTGCGATGCTCAATCTGTTTCTCTCTCTCCCCTGTAGGTCGCTCCGAGCGTAAATCGCAGTGGCAGGATGAATCTCTTCTCCCTCATGCAGTCCATCAGCGATGAGGATAAAGGGCGTGAACAGGTAAGGAAGCGACCGTGTCTCTTTTAAAATGTTTAATTTTATTAACGACCAACACGCAAATGGTTGATTTGTACGTTGAGAAAAGGAAGGAGGAGCCTGGTATTGAAGGTTCACTTAAGAAAGAACCATAAAACAGATTGCAATAGCTGCAGTTTTTAAAAGTGCCGCCCGATTATCTTTTTTTTTTAATCTTCGTTTAAGGTTAAAAAAACATGAACTAAAATAAGTTTTATTTCAGTACATATTCTTATTACATTTAGCTGCTTAATGCTTTTTCTTCTGTGTTGTTTTCAAAGCTGCTCGGCAGTCCGAGGCGCTCTCCAGTGCAGCGGATGTACAGCCAAGGGCGACGGAGTCTGATGCACCAGAGAGCATGTGTGGATGTTTCCCCTGAGTCACGCAGCCTGCCAGAAGACAGTGAAAGCAAACCCTGAAGGTGGAAAGTGGAGGTGGAAGTGGATGAAAAAACATCTTTTTTGGGGGGCTTTATATTTCCGGTTATTTGGATGATAAAAGTTTTAATTTATGTTTCATTTCGTACCGGTGTTCATAATATTATAGGTGTTATTTTTAGAACACACCCTACCACGTGCGGACCTACTGGTTTCACCCTTTTCTCCTTCAGCTCTCAACACTCCAGAGATATCTATGCAATTACTGTTCTTTTTATTTCCCCCAGTAAATATGAGGCTGTATGCTGCCAGTTCAAGGTAGATGGTTTTAAATGTGTTTTCATGTCTGCTCATGTTAATTATTCACAAATGGAAGGATTTCCTTTCATCTTAGCTGTGCACAACGCACCACGTTTGCCAAACGGTGTGTTAAATGTGCCAATCATATTGAATTAAAAATCTTTATCTCGTCAGTGCGTTAAGAACCAACGTCACCTGTTTTATTTTTATTCATTCTATTCAGATACCGGGGCTGTACGTGTGCCTTCAACCTGAGAATAACATGTGAAATATGAATGGCTGGTGTTTTTGATATGGAGGTGATGGCTGAATATTGTATGAGTCTTGTGAATAATTAACATTTTGCTGATATCAGTGTAAATGTAACTGCCCAAAGTATTTGCATGTATATACAGATGTATCATCCAATAATCGCTGGGTGCATGTTATGTATTTATACAACATGTTAAGAGAATGTTCAGGGTTTTCTCGTGTATTCATATTGACATTTAATGGACTGTTAGTTATTAAAGATGCTGTTTTCAGGCTTATGGCTGGATGCTGATGTGGAATATTCTATGTTCACGCTGTTATTTATGCAGTGAACCAAAGCTAAAGGCTATTTAAATAATTTAAATTGCACTTTATTACTGCGACACACACATTGTCCCCACTGCCTGAGTTAACATCACACGGTATTGGGAAGACCATTTCTCATACTGTACACGTTTGCCTTTCTGTGTCAATGTCTGCACCTCACGTTTACAAAAAAAGTGAGAAATAAATCACTCAAAACAAACTATCCTGATTAAAAAAAGCTGCTCTCATTCTTTACATTAATTCAAAAGAGCAGTCGGGCCACCAGCTCCCTCGTCACGCAACACGTTCTTGAGAGGGAGAACATGGAGTTCTACATCGCTTTTGTTTGTACTTCAGCTTTTTGTCTGAGAAAATCAATGGTGATGTTACGGTACGAACTAAACACTTAAATATACTATAAAGGCTACAAAGCGTTTAAACTAGTTCAAACATTGTAAGAGGTGATCAATTTGAAAATGTGGATTGCATTTTTACTCCACTGCCTTTTTTGATTTGTAAGAAGTTGCATGATCAATGTGGTGCCCTTAACTCTGCCAACATACATTAATGTGTTAATTTAATCTAAAGTACACTGTTGTATTCAAACACCTCTAAGCTTTAGAACAAACTTATTTTGATCTGTATAACGCTTTTAAATGTCAGGCAGATGTTTTCTTCTATGCAACTTTTTATCCGAAGAAAATGCACAGGGACACAAAGACATTTGACCTTCATTCTGTTTCACTTTATATTGTCATTTAGTCATACTGGTTATAACAATACAGTAGTCCGTCACAAAAGAGGTACAGTGGACATTTTAAAATAACAAATGTGATCAATTCAGGTGCCAATGTATTTTCTTCTGGGTTCACTGAGGGTGATTCCTCCCCCTTTAATTGCCGTCCTAAATGACTGGACCTGTGAAAGAGAAAAGCCAGGGAGAGAAAAAACGTAAGCTTAAGGGGGGAAAAGGAAATTTACTGCATTTACTGACGGCAAGCCGCGTCGCAAGTACTTACAGCGTCGGAGCGGTACGTCCAGGGAATGGCCCTGTACACCATCCTGGTGATGCCAGCCTGTTGGCATCGCTGGGCCAGCACCTCGCCCACAGCCTGACACGCTGCCACGCAGTTTGTGGATGCCAGCTCCTTCTTCAGCGCCCACTCCCTGGTGGAGCAGGACAGCACCGGGACGGGAGAGCTGCTGGAGAACACGCGTGCCGTCACGTGGTGCTGGGTGCGAGAAAACTCCAACCTGAAAACACGGGAGGGACAAACGGGATTAAAAATCAAAACAAATGAAAACAGTGTGACGGGTAATATTATAAATCTGTAGGATGAAACACCTGATAATTATGCATTCACGCACCAAGGCCTTCGTTGAAAAGATGATAGCTGATTTAACTGGTTTTATTAAGACATTAAGTGTAGTCACTGTTTCATCATACCTTTCTTTTTTAATACAGATGACATTTGTAGCGTTTGTGAACAAAAATAAATTCAAATAATGGAAATGGAAAATTAAACACTTGGTTGCTCGTTTCTACATAACAGATGTTACAACGCACTCGTTTAAGGTCAAGTTTGTTCTAATTCACACGCAGACCTGTGGTAGAACTCCCGGCGAGGCCAGATCGTGTCCCAGCCGCGGTCCTTCACGGCCAATGCCAGCTGCTCCAGGTTCCGCGGGTTTCGGTTCACGAAGGTCGGGCTCACGGCTTCGTTTTCCTCCGCGCTTCGCTCCGGCTGAGAGGCCGCCCGACTCGCACACCGAGCTGGGAGACAAACGAGACGATTCACAACCCTAACCGCGACAGACTAACGGTGATCATCACGGAGCAGAGAGCGGAAACTTTTACGTTACCCGTCTGATTAGCAGCCACAATCGGGCGTCGAATTTGTCCCAACAAAAGCCGTAAACCGGAAGCCATCTTCTCCCGCAGTGGTGTTCACGTCATAAAAATACAACAACTCTTAAAGTGTAGTCGACGTGCCACCCTGCGGCAGGCAGCGCGCCATGTCCTTAAACAGATGAAAGATTTCACGCGAGCTGTTCGGGTAAGAATTCACCGTGACATGTGCAGCGCCATCTTTGACATTCAGACAACATCCGGTTTGTTTGGTGCTACACTGGAAGCGGCACCGACAGAAACAACCGTCGGCACTATGGAGGTTCCGCGTGGATTTCTTAATAAAAATGAAACCCTTTCCAACAGTATCTGCTAGTGGTGGAAAGTGATCATTTTAATGATGTCATGTAATGTAAGAGATTAATCTAGTTGAGCTGAGCTCTGCCTAAACCACCTACAACTAAATGCTACAGTTTAATGAATCAATATTAAACACAGTCTGAATAATAGGTACTTAAATGAGGAGTTAATACGTCTCCCCTCCTTAACTAAACCAATTTGGTTAAGACATCCGTTACACAATAAATGGTAAGGTTTAGGGAAAGACCACAATAGAATTATACAACAGAATAATATTTAATTTCAGTTCAAATTGGATCAATTTTACAGTGCAAACCGGCAGAAAAAAATGTTCAGGCAGAGTTTTGTTCTAAATAGTGGTAAGTTAATGAAAGTTATTATCTGTCTAAAAGACTTAAAAGATAAACAAGCACTCAGTCGCAGTAAGGCACCTGAAAAAAACATTACAACCAATTAAAAACTGGTCCTCGGAAGACAGGACAATGAGGCGAAGGTGTCTTTGGCTCAAAATCATTCATGTATTTCCCTGCCGTCAATTGAAGAATACTGCGGGGCAAACTTATACACAAATTCAACAATCATACCTTCCCTTAAACTTCTGAACAGATTCATTAATTGGTGTCCTTTCCCTTTTCAGAATCTATGTCTATAATGAATGTTCATAAAGTGTAAACGATTACAATTTGTTTGAGCTAAGTACTACTAAAACTAATCAGAAAGGGGATATAAAAGTATAGTTTTTCCCATTGAATGCAATTGCAATTCAACATATAGGAACTCGTTCAATATTTCAAGAATAACAGTCTTTACGGTCGGGATCATTGCGCAAGTCAATTAAACCATTTTACAGCCTACAGGCAGTAGAATAAACCATGTTAGGACGGGAAGACAAAGTCATTCTGATGTGATTAGTTGCAGTCTAAGTATTCATTACCATACAACATTAACATAACCGTCCTACGTAGTGGTTTGGTCGGTCATATATTAGCTGATGCATTGATGAGAGATGAGAAAGAGAAAGGGCACAACTTGTAGCCTGTTCCACTGTAGAACTTGTTCTGAAACTCCACCCTGTAAGAGAAAAGCAAAGTCAACATGCAGCAACCTACAGTTTTCACCCCCCTGTCCCGTCTCTCTCTACGTCGCTTCATCAACAAACCTGTCCCGTGGTTAATCTACACAGTACATGAAGCAAACACATTTTGATGGATGGCGTGGTTCAAATTTTCCATTTAGACACAAATGTCCAAATGTAACGTGCAGACGGCCGTACATTCACTGAGCTCATTCATTCCATGTAAAGGACGAACCCTTTTCATTTCGGAGCCTCACTGATCTTAAACACCCTTCAGCCATGAATCGACTTTGCATTCAAGGGACAAAATGTATACACCACAAATACACAGGTTGAGATTTACTTAGCTGAACAAATCACCTTTTGTCATGTTAACACCAACAGTGAAAAAACAAGAGGCGAAGGAAACTCTTGGTTTCAACTAAAGATTAAGTGCATTCCATGTTTAATCTGATTTTAGAGCCATCTTTCAAACCTTTTAATCATTTCAGATGAGCTCTACAGGTTGGAACATTAAGTTGTGTCATATTTTAGTGGCAGCTTGGAACGGGAGATAAATGTCTATTTGCAATGTAATTTATACAAAAGTGAAGTAATTCAGTGTGATCTTTTGTTGGTGGTTTTGGCGTTTGTATAAAGGGTCTTTTCAGAACATAAATGATTAACTAACTTAAACATGGGGAAAAGCGATCACTCATATCGCTCTTCCTCTTCTCCTCCCCTTTATCCTCACCAGTGCAGACGGAGCGCGTGCAGGAAAGCAGAGAGTCCCTCCATCACAAGCAGGATTGACACGGTCAACACAGCAAAGAAGGCAAAAACCACAAAGAGGACTACAGATCCCACATAGCCCTCCCACCTCAGGGCAATGCGCATCACCATCACCCACAACACCTCTGACAGCTCTGTGGAGACACAAATAACCCACCGTCAGACAACCGTCATGTGTGTATGAGGAACTGGCTGGAAAAAGACCGACTAGCATGAGTGGGACGGGTTTTAGAGAGGAAGTCTGTCTGTGAGTGTGTGTTTGTGTGCGTCATGGGAGTATGTATATTGTGTTTGCGCGTGTCAGAGTGAGTGCCACTCACGTGCATGTGCCAAACTGAGAGCCCAGAGTCGGAGGTAAGAGGCCGTGTTGGAGATGCAGCCCAAGCAGTACTCTATGGTGTGGATGGCCTGATGCATGAACTTGTCTGCGACATCAAAATCCTGCAGACGGATTAAACATTTACACAATCCCAACAGCTCGAATGAATACTTTTAGTAAATGAAGTCAATCAGCCTTCCTGCTCACCTCTTCGTGCACAGCTCCTTCCTCCGCTTCCCCTTGACGGGTGTTGATGGAGCCTTCTTCGGCCACCAGCGCGCGTCGGTCTTCCTGCTGATGTGGCAGAGAAGCAGAAATCCGTAAATACTCTAAAGAAAAAGAGTTTATCGTTTTGTCGAACACAAACTCACCACTTGACGTCCTCGTCTTTTGAATGCGAGGAATTCATACGTGGGCTTCCCAAGCAGGAGAACAGGGACAGCACACAGGGCCAGTACCACCAGGGTCTTCTGCACAGCAATCTGCAGACGAAGAGTTACAGGAACGTAGTTTGCACTTTAGCACCTATTTCTAAGGAAAACATTGTCGTTTCGTCGTGTTATCGCACATGTAGTTCAGAATCATGCAAACCAAAGCTTGCAATGATTGTTGGGGGTCAGAGTGCTTATTATTTCTATCTTCCACAGGATAGACGTGACACCGCACTCTAAAAAGTATACATGTATGCATAAAACAGCTGCCGGGTCACTTTATTATACCCATTAGAGTCTTTCCAATAGATCCATTTCTCCTCTGAAACTTGGGGACAAATAAATAACCTTGAGATCGGATAATATAGATATAGATATTAGCTGTGAACTAGCAGTTTTTAGGCATCTTCAATGGGATGCTCATACTGTCCAAAGAAAAAATAAATAAAACCAGTGATTTTCACTCTTCAATATACATGTCTGACCTGCTTAAAAAAAAGCTGGTGGATACATTGTGAAACTTGGGTTAAACCATAGCGGTTACTTTCACATGAAATAAAGAAACCACACACCTGCCCTTCGTAGAGCTTTGGGTTGTCAGGGTTGTCTGTGAATAGGAACATGTCTATGAAGTGGATAAGTATACTGGGAGCGATTTTGGAGTGAGCCGGAGTGTAGGCGATCCACTTGAAGACCACCATGAACACCAGGTAGCCAAACAGACACACCATGAAGAACAGTTCAGGGATCAGCACAAAGAACACGCTGCCTCTCTGGCCAAAGTGCCTACGGCGAAAACAAACCGCGGAGACGGAGATTAGCGAAACCAATATTCATGTGAAGGCAAGTCAGAAAGAATGGAGGTGTACTCAAGACACACGGGAAAAAACAATATACCAATAATTGAAGAATGACAAGCAGACTCCAAACGTCATGTGAATGACACCGATGATGACGGACATCTTCATCTTGTACGAGTTAAGGAAAGTCAGTTTGTTGTTGGACAGCCCCCACACCTGACAAAAGACCAGAAAGAATGAGGGCGGGTCCAGTGACGACATGAAATAATACATGTGATGCGTGTGACGGCCGTACCGGGTCGATGCCAAAGGGATATGGAGTGGTGAAAACACCAGGGACAACGGGATCCATGGATAAGTACTGGTTCCCCGCCAGGACCGAAGCACTGAAAGAAATGACACACTTAAGCAAGATGGAAGAGAAGCAATGTGCGTAGAGATTGGAAAAGCGACGATACGATGCGTCCTCACTTCCATTTGTTGCTCTTGAACATCGGGCCGACGTGCCACGCAGAGCTGAAGGTACTGAGGCCTCTGCTGAAGCACTCGTTGTAAATGGCCCCCGTGTAGATGGAGAACAGTCCCATCAGCAAAATCAGATACCTTCCTCCAAACATCATCCTCCAGATCTGGAAAACACAGGTAACCATTTTCTTTCAGCATTTAATATACACAGTCTGAAACCTGTTTAAGCTGACCGACAAAAGTAGACGGCACTGTGAACCCAGTCACACAAGCCTCAATCCTTGTGTTGAGCTGCGTGTGTCCGAGTTACCTCATTGTTGTTTTTCTTCAATTTGGGGTCCTTCTCCTCAAGGACCATCCAGAGGGCAGCCAGAAACATAAGTAAGCCATGACCCACATCCCCAAACATCACAGCAAACAGGAAGGGGAATGTGATTATGGTGTACACCGCTGCAGAGGCATCGAGGGAAAAAACTTGATTTACAATCCACTCTTCTTTGGCTCCAATTCTGAGCATCATCGCCGTTTTCATTTTCAAAGTGCAATGAATGAAGAAACCTTCTCGAGCTGCGCGGACGTACCTGGGTTGACTTCCCGGTAGCTGGCCACTCCGTAGGCATCGACGATGTTCTGGAAACCAGCTGTGAAAGAGTTGATGGGAAACAGGGTGGGTGGAGGGGTGGAGGAGGGCAGGCGGTTGTAGAAAGAGTCAACGCTGCTTCCACTCTTCCTCTGAAGACAAAAGGGAGAGAGTTAAAGAAAGGTGAAGGAGGGTGAGAAAACGGGGTGGTTCACTCATCCGTGTCAAGTCTCCCCGTGTGCAGCTCACCCCCCCCTCTCTCAGAGCGCTCTGCAGTTCCGGCAGCTTGGCAACGGGACACCAGGCCTCGGCGATCAGGCATTTGTCCGTGACGGAGGGGCTGCAGAGATTCAGCACCGTCTGGACCGCCTTGCACTTCTGCACGCGCACTTTCCACTGGGGGAGCACGGCCACCGCCCGCATCAGCAGCTGCTGCAGGAAGGACTCGGTCTGGTGCAACACCTGGAATACAGGGAAGTGAGAGCGACTCAGGGAAACGCACCGCTGACGGAGAGAGACGCCGCCCGGCTATTTTAAACGGCGCCTTTTTTAAGATGCACTCACCGATTTGATATCTTCGATTCTGCCCTGAAGTCCCTGGAGAATGTCCTCTCGCTCAGCGGTGCTCTCAGGGTACGCAAACGTCTGCGTGCGGAAGCTGTGAGGCAAAATAAAAAAAGATATTCAGGCATTGTAGTGGGAACGTTTACAGTGGAGGAAAAAAAAAGAGAAATATAGAAATGATTAGATAGGTAGACCCACCAATCGCAGATCTTTTTGACTTTCTGTCCAATCTGATCTCCCCAAAAGGAGATGAGAAACACTGTCCATTGCACCATTTCCCCCTGCAAACGTAGACGAAAGCTGTTATTATATCAACAGCTGTTATTAAACACCAATCAGAAGTGACTTTCATATCCATGTCTCAACCACGGCAGTTCCCACCGTGTCAGGATGCACGAGTCGATCCTCCATTTCTCTGAAATCCACGATGATATAACCTCGACACGCCCGCCATAATAACCGCTCAAAGGAAGGCACCTTCCACGGGTGGACCACTCCTGCCACAAAACTAAGAGACAGAGAGAGAATACATGGAATGTAGTTAAACAAAGATCAGGTTGGACATTTGAAAAACGATTCGATCTACCTGAGGTGGATGTCTTGGCGGTTATCGAACAGCCCTTGGCTTTCCAGTACAGGTGGAGGTGCCTGTGAGATGCAGCCAAATAAGTTCAAATGGAGTTTTAGTTTGCAGACAGATTGTTCACACAAAAACGCAGTCGTTTTTGCAAGGTTTGTCCCCACCAGTGAGGCTGTGAGAGTGTGCGTCCTGGTCAGGACTCCTTGGTACTGACAGAGCTGGGTCAGCTGAGCCCGGAGGCTGTCTCGGTTCCTGGAGACCTAGTGAGACGCCAAAGACAATCGGTCGTGAGTTCAACCTCTTTGGACACTGTGCCAATAAAGGAAACCTGAAGGCACGTCATGGATTCAACATCGCGGTGGAGCGCTCGCCTCTTTGAGCTCTCTGGCCAGCCTCTCGCACTCCTCCTCTATGGTGATGAGCTCGCGGGGCTGCGGGGCCAAAGGGGTCGGACACGGAGGAGGGAGGGGACACTGCATGGGTGGAGACAGTGAGCGATTGATCTCCTGCTCCAAGAAGGCTGAAGGGCAGATAAAGAAGGTCACGAAGGAAAAGCTCAACCAAATTAACAAGTGGAAAAAAAAGAAGACACACACGAAAAACAGAGCTGGCGAACAAAGAGTCAATACTTACCGACGGTTTTCTCTAGTTCCTCACATCGTCTGACCTCGCCGACGAACTTCCTCTGAAAGGAGTTCACACTAGGATTCAACTAAAAGGCACCAGAGAAGAGGCGAGAGGAAAGGGGTTAATCGTGGTCATCGGATTACACTCTTTTGCTGCTTTTCAGTGACTCAAAAAGACGTGATCGGTCCACCAACTCGTCTAATCTCAGATTTATAAATCCTGCAGATTCCAAGTGACTCAATAAGATAATTGATTCAGCTCATGTGCGTAATGATCACATGCTTGCAATAGCCAAAAGACATGAAAACAATCTGTGGCTCTCACGCCGAGCACTTTGGTAGGTACGCACGGAAAAGCATTCTGGCCCAAACAGTCGCCGACCAGTTCAGGATGCAAACGCGTCTTGGATCATTCACCCACAAGATTATTAACCAAGAATTGATTTAGCTCACATCTCTGAATTCAACCAGGCCGAGTTCTCCCAGCTCGCTGACACAATTGTAGGCGGATCCTGACTGAAGAAAGAGCTGCACCAGGCAGACCTCCTCACTGCGAAACATGGAGCCCATAACTGCCTGCACGGGGGAAAAAAAGGACAAAGTTTTATTTACCAAGAAACACAGTCCAATGTAGCCCAGGTACGGACGTTTACAGCGCCGTATTATTGAGGAAGTTCAGAGGAACGCAGTTATTCTCACGGAGCATTTCTTTTCTCCGTCGGATAATAAAAGCCTTTGTGTGACAACGGAGAAGTTCGTGGGAGGAAACTGAACAACAGGGAAGTATCATACTGATACTGAGTGATGAACGGATGACTTCCCAGTTCTTCGGATGGAATTTCCATTCTTGCCCAGACATGTTTCTAAAAACAATGTGGCTGCCAGATAAATCACTCTTCAATAGAGAGAAAAAAAAGCATTGCTTTATAAAAAAGAACACATTTCTTTGTGAGCTAATAAATTAAGAAATGCTAAAAAGGTGCAGTGAACCCTACTTTTATGAAGGTTATGTGTTCAGATCGCGATGGTGTTAGTTTGTTCTGGTGTTGTTGAGTTGTTGATTGTGCTGCATTTCGTCTGACATTGTTAATATAAATGTGGTGGACGAAATACCACATCAGCACAGACAACTGGTCTCCATAATCAACATTAACTTGTGTTAATCCTGGTTCAGTTTTTTCCCCCAGGACATTTGTATCAGACTGTATGGTTTTAGTTCGATGCACTTATAAACTTAACACTTGAGACATGAGACCAAGAAGAGACTTTCACGAATAATAAGTCAACGTCTACATTTTATGAACTCATAAACAGGGCAGTAAGTCTCATTTTAATCTGAAATAAAACTAAAAGATTCAACTCTCAACCGTTAGATGAAAGCTCGTGATTGACGAGGGAAGTCCCGTGACGGAATGTAAATGAAGCGCAAGGTTTTGATTTGCATCCCGACAGCGGCGGTCTGTTTCACGGCGGACAGCTGGAGGAATAAAACGGTTGTTTACGCGCACAAAAAAGACGCCGGATGTCCCCTCGCTCACCTGCCCGCCGGTTGGGGTTCCGCTGCACTCGAATCCGCTGCGCTGTCCCGGTGCCGAGGGACAGACAGACCGCTGACGACCTAACAGAGCGAAACCAGGCGGCTTGATCAGAAGTTGTGGGTTTTGTTCTCCCACTTCCTGTTTGTGGCAGTCACGTTGCTGCGGTGTCACGTGACTGCTGACGTCCGTCACCGGTTTGTCCACGAGGGCTCCGCGCGAGACGACGTGACCGTTAGTCGTTTTCCAACGGACGCGACGTGTTCGGTTATAGTATTCTATTATTGCAACGTTAAGATGGTATTTAGTTCCGCTTGATAAACACCAGCGTTAAAAACGTAATGACACGAGTGGGACGACCAGTTTAACTAACGTTGTTACTGTTAACTTGGTCATTTCCGGGTTACTCATTCCTGAAGCCGAACACGTCCGTTAGTTTAAAATGTACCGTTAAAAAAACTAAAATGATGGAACAAATACTCAAAAACCGGTTAAATTACTCATTCTACTCATTCTCAAGTAGAAATTGTCAACACTTTTAAAAATCTATTTAATCAAAGCACCACGACTTTTAAATGAAGGAGAATACTTCAATTGTGTTACTCTGACGTTTCCACAATAAAGTTGTTTGTGGCTTATTGACTCAAAATCCCACTGTTGTCTCACGTCAAATTAACTACTATTGAGGTGAGCAGAGGACTCTCTCAAACTGCACAACATTCTGCTGTGAAGCTCAAACATCTGGTGAAATAATAGCACACCAGCGGTTTGACTTCATCACAGATTCATGTAAGGCAGATATGGACAATTAAATATTTAGGTTGTGGATTTCAGGAAGAACAGAGTCCCACCTTCCCCCATCACCCTGTGTGACTCCGTCACCACTGTAGATTTCTTCTGTTTCCTGGGCTCCATCATCACCCAGGACCTCAAGTGGGAGCGGAACATCAGCTCCATCACCAAGAAGGCTCAGCAGAGGTTGTTCTTTCTGAGGCAGCTGCAGTAATTCAACCTGCCCGAGGATGGTGCACTTCTACACGGCCATCATGGAGTCCATCCTCTGCTCCTCCATCACAGTCTGGTACGCTGCAGCCACAGCTAAGGACAAGGGCAGGCTGCAGCGTGTCATCCGCTCTGCAGAGAGGGTGATCGGCTGCAATCTGCCGTTTCTCCAGGACTTGTCCGCTTCCAGGTCTCTGAAGCGAGCTAAAAAGATCGTGGCCGACCCCTCCCACCCCGGACAACTGTTTGTGCCCCTTCCATCTGGCAGGAGGCTCAGGTCCATCAGGACTAAGACCTCCCGCCACACGAACAGTTTCTTCCCGTCGGCAGTCGGGCTCATCAACAGAGCCCGGTCCCCCACTGACTCTGACATTCCACTGGTCACTCTCCTTTACACTGCACACGACACTTGTTTGCTGGTGCACTTTATTTTTAATTCTTAAATATTTTAAGTTTACTTTTAGCTTTTATTCATTTATTTTTAAACTAACCCATAGCATTATATTTTATCATCTTGCACTACGGTCTTGTCGTCCATCGTCAAACTGTCTGCTGTCACGCACCAACCGCCAAGTCAAATTCCATGTATGTCAAACATTATGGCAATAAACGTTTCCCGATTCCTCTGTGCTCATTGTTCTGATCTGACACATGAATGGCAATACAAAAGATATTTTATTTTATTGTAAAAGGGCAGAGCGGCAATGGGTAAAACAGCAAGGAATGAGAAATATACAATTGGAAAACTTTAAATGGAGTAAAAGAAACGGTAAATTAAACCAAAAGGGAGGTTAAACAAGACTACATTTTTCAGATGAACATGAATCTCAAACAGCTGTTCATTTTCCTCTTAGTTGTTCTGTACATTACTACAGATGTATTTTCCATTTAACCCTAACCATAATGTAACAAAGAATGTCTACATCACTGAGTGAACCAGGTTGTTGTGACACCAATTAGTCGTCAACAATGTACCACAACACTTGAGTTGTATTAGAATGAAAAATAAGACCCCCCCCCCTCCCAAAAAAAACTACAGTAAATTATAATTGCTGGCAAATCAGACAAGAACAATCTACGGGCTTTGCATCTCATTTCACATCATTTACATGTCAGACTCACAACGCCAACAAACATTTTATCCTAACCATACTGCCAGATTCATACGGCAAAAAATATCGTGTGGTCTCATTCCTGGACACGAGGACTAACACACTAAGGAAGCAAAGTCGGCAATGATTTCTCTCTACAGGCCCGTGTCCAGAATAGTGACTGCTCAAGACAAAAAAACGTTTTACTCTCCTCTAAGTAAGTTGTCATGTATTACCCTACAAACTGTATACTTTGAGACTTCTATCCATTCCTGCGGAGGTCAGGAACTGAGCGTTCTCTCCAAAGGCCACTCCGGTCACCAATCCTGTGTGGTCTACAATAAGAAAGGCAGAAACCAGGTCAGAGGGATGCTGCTTCCAAGCACCATGTGACATACATACTGGATTTGAAATGATATTTTGCCCTCACTTGTGAAGTTGAGGACCTCGGACCACTGTTTGCAAATGTAAACACGGATGTCGGACCCTCCAACTGCCAGGTAGGTTCCGCTCTGGTCAAACACGAGCGACTTCACCTGAAGCAAAAATAAATAAAGATTGAAATTGAGATCGAGTCAATGTGCTTGCTGAGCTCATACTTGTAATCTACTTTGTTTTGCTTCTTCCAATTTCTCACCTCATAGTTGTTGTCCAGAGTGATGGTCTTGAAGTTCTTCAGTTTCCTCAGATCCCACAGTTTGATGGAGCTATCCTGGGCTCCTGAGCAAAGAATCGGACAATGATGTTAGCGGTTTTAAGCAAACAGTTATTTATAGATCCAAACCCCTTTGGTGCAAAAACAAGATGCCAATAGTATTTTAACGTATTTTGGATCAGTGTACAAGTAAATGCAAGTGCAGCATTTTGTGTTGTTCCTAAATGTTCCTGCAACCCCATGTAAAGAGCTGATCAGAGGTTAGCAGCAAGACGGTGTACAAATGCACTGTTCTAACCTGTAGCCAGATAATATCCATTCTCAGAGAAAGCGATGCTGGTGACGGGGCCAGAGTGGCCGGGGAAGTTGGCCACGTTGGTGCGCTCCTTCAGGTCCCAGATCTTGATTTGGGAATCAGCCGTCCCAGTGCCAAAAATAAGACCATCGGGGTGGAACTGAGCACAGGTGAGAGCTGTAGGGGTCAGAGGGGAAACATTACCACCTGGAACAAGAGAAGTCCACCTCACACTTCCAAATACACAGACATTTCCACTAAGGCACTTACCACAGCCAGCACTTTCATCAGTAACCTTGGTGAGGACTCGCCCAGTCTGGATGTCAGAAAAGGCCCAGTACTGCAGAAAATTGGGGACAAATGTGAGCGTGGTTAACCAGTGGAGTGTTTTAGTGCTAAATATACACACACTCTATAGGTCGGTCAGCTCACACACCTGATCCTCAGAGGAGCTGAGCAGGTAGTCTCCAGTAGCATGAAGGGAGAGTCCGGTGACACCTCCCTCGTGGGCACGCACCACTTGGACACAGTTACCCCCGGCGACAGACCACACGCGAATGGTGCTGTCCGGAGATGCAGAGAAAACCACGGACTAGAGGGGGAGAGATCGCAAAAAAAAGTTACAATGACTCAAAAACTGTTCTTTAAGTAGTCAGAGTTTGTTTGTTGGAGAATGAATTTGACGGGTTGATGCTTGAAAAAAAGCCGTACCTGGGATGGATGGTAAATGACAGAGGTGACCTTCTTGGTGTGACCCTTAAGAGTTGCCACAATCTGTTCGTCGCTTTTGTCAAACACCACCACGTTCTTATCGGCTCCACCTGAAGAACACGACAGGATGGATATCAAACTATAGTCTCCAAAAGGATTTGTGTGTTAACAAATCCCACACAAAAAACAATGAGCATTGGATGAGATCAATATACCAGTAAGAACTTTGTTGGTGTCTGAGGGACACAGATCCAGAGCCAGAATACCAGGGACACTGGCACTATGAAGACCCTGAAGGCATCAAAGAGATATGTTGTTGACATCATGCTCATCAAGACAACAAAACAGCCCTTTGCTGAATAAGGAAACATCATTCATTATACAGACAGATAGAAATCCAAACTTACAGCATGAGAAGACACTTGGCGGTATTTGCTAAGATCCTCGGCTCTAACGAGCTCCTCTGGGACAGTTTTTCCTCTCTGGAGAAACACATTAAAGCAGTGAAATTGAGTCTGAGTGCATATTACATGGTACCACAAGCATTATGAACTTGTGCAAGATTAACTTTACACAACATTGCGATATCCGAAGAAGAAATGGGCAAAGGAAGGTAAATGAACGATTACAACCCCCCTTAAAAATACCTTCTTTCTCTCTGTGGTGAGGATGGTAGCTTTGTCTTGAAGCTGCAAACATGCATATGGAAAAACATATTAGACCTGCTAAAGAAAATGCAACGCTTATAAGATTTATGTAGATAAGAAGAACAACTTACCTTTTGAATGATCTCCGGGGTCATTCCAACCTGTTCACTGATCTCCATGGGCTCTCCGCCCGCACCCTGAGGAACAGGGCAGCAGCAGAACGTCAGAATGGATTTAAATAAAAATGTCTTATGTCGACAGGATAGAATATAAACCACTCACTGCTGCAGCTGGCTGGGAGGTGGGGATTGCCTGAGGAGCAACCAATCCAGCCTGGGGTTTGAGTGTGGCAAGAGCTGTAAAACAAAAGTAGACCCCATTAGGAAAAAGTTCCTCCACAACGTACATTTTTGTGGATCAGATTCTGGACAGACGGATGTTTGTACAATAGAGGGCACAACACTGTTAATGCACCTTCTCTCGCAGCAGTGACCTCTTTGGTGAGCCGAGCGATGACTCTGCATGCAGCATCGTGTTGGTAAAGCGCATGAGAGAGTTCTTGGCGAGTTGTCTGCAGCTGTTGCCGCAGGGTGAAGCTGTGGAGCATAACAGCATCCTAAAACAAAGAGTTCATTATATGGTCATTTCAAGGGAAAAAGCTTTGTTATAGGAGGTACAAATCTGTTATCAGGAGAAAACTAAATGGTTGTTTTCTCTTGCTTTAAATGTTTAAAATCAGTGGACTGCGAATTTGTTCAAGCGGCCCCCCCAGATTTAGTCAACACTTCTGTATACACCAGGGCTCCATGTTTGTATTGTACACACATCCTTGTTAAAACCAACATTGGAATGTTTGGTTAGTCTCATTCTTCAAAAAGTCATGATTTTAATTCAAAATAAGAAAACAGCCCCCTAAGGGCCTCTGAACTAAACGGTTTCTGCATTAGTCAAATTAGTTCATAATTCTTAAATTCAAAACAAACATGTTCTGAAACAAATTGTTGCAACAAAATTGACGATGGGATTTCGTTGGATTTCTCTTGAGCCGAAGAACAATACCTACCCACTCATCTTGAAGGGACTTGAGAATGGCAGGAATGCTTGTTGCTGATGGAGCCTTTGGTCTAATAGGATGGGACACTAAAACAGAGAAGTCATCGATTTTAAATCATTATTCAAGTTGGTTATTTATTGCAAATTCTGAGGTTTCAATAATGCATGCTGTAGGATAAGTAATATATAATAGTGAGGATTATAGGGGAATAAAACAATTTGTCAGTTGACAAACTAGCAGTTCGCAACGGTGTTCATGGTTTTTACTTTCTGTGTTACCATGGTGGGTTTGGAATGCTAATCGGATGAAACAAATCCATGTTAGGCATTAAAATATTTTGACATGACACGTTTCATCATTTTGAGATTTTATACAAAGAAGGTTTTATTGAGAAAATACTATCTATATTACTCAATCATAAGCCAAATACCTTATTTAATATAAATTCCCCAATATTGGCTAAAAATATATATTAAATCAGATAAACACTATCACTTTTTAAACCCCTCAGTAAATACATCAGCTACGTCTGGCTATAACAAATGGCGTTTAATGAAAGTTATGTGTTGTAGGAACTGCTTTAGAGTAGTTCATTCATTCATTCATCCATGGTCGGGCGGTGCTGTGCATTTGAATTACATCGAGTGATTACGCTGCGTTCGTTTAGGCCTCCGGTTACATGAACTCACAAACCGGCAACACGGCGTAGATCTCGAGCTGCTCCCACATGTCTCACCTTTGATATCGACGAGCTGCTCCTCGGACAGCGGTTGTCCGTTCATCGGGTCGGTCCCATTCTCTGCGATGTACTTCTCGATCAGCCGGCGCTCGAACACCTGGCTGGACACCGGGGAGACACACGGGTGCTCCGGGACCTCGTTGGAGACTAGGTGAAAAATGCATTTACAGATTAAAGATCGCAGGATACCGAAAATGAAACGACGACAAGCAGGACGGACCGACCAACATTAGCAGAAGACGACACTGCATGGCCGTTAGCGCTAGCTAAGTTAGCAGGTAGCATTAGCGCGGTGGCTAGCTAAGCTATACTTCCTCCGTCACATCGATCAATCCAACTTCACTTACTTGCACAAACCAAAGACATCTTTCCAACAGAGTCCTTATAGTCTCTTCTACGAGTTGGGTTTTGCTAGTAATGTGCTTCGATAGTTATTATCGCTAAAGTAAGCTATGCTTATGTTTTCGTTTAAGTGGAAATGGCACGCTGTCCTTTCATTGCCGCTACAAACGGACTTCTTCTTCTACGCTCCCTTCCAGCGCTCAGCGCCGCAGCGGCTCCGCTGCCCCCTAACGGCGGGGAGGCGTTAAAGAGAACGAGCCCCGTTGGGCTTTCTGACAATTCCTCCAAATAAATCACAGGTAAATCATAAGCAAATAGCAAAATAAGAAACAATTGTCTTACGAACGAGCTTACTGTACATTAAAGCAGAAAATAATCAAAAGTGTGTGTTAAACATGAATTTATTGTCTAAGAGGTAACGTTTTGAATGTTCAAAAATGTCACAAGCCAAAGTCTCTAATCTCTTGTCAATAGAAAGCTTTGGTGATGATATTATCCCATACACAGAGTTTATAGAACAACAGGCTATTGGAATATGTGGTAGATCATGTTACAATTCACAAAGCTATTACTACAATTACCTTGAGGGTTAATACACTATCACAGAAAAACCACTGAACCGCTGAGCAGACATTGAACATGATATTAATTGTTGTTGCATTTGGAAATGGTGGATGGAAAAAGACATAAACAATCTCTCTATCACTGTACAGTACTTTAGAATTCCCTTTTGTAAACCTTTGAATAATCGCAACTCTTATTTCTATGTAGCCCTAGACATCACATCACAAGCACACTCGTACCAACACTCAGCAAATACAGTGCAGATCATACTGGTCCTGAGGGTCTGGAGGTAGGTAACAGCAGGATATTTCAGGAGCACCATCCTCAGCGTCAAGAAATGTGAAATAGGAGACAGATCAGCTAATGCTCAAACATGAAAAAAGGGCATGCAATTATCATACCATTCAAATTAGGCTAATATGCATAAAGGCACAGGTGGGTTATTTATTTTCATAATCCAATACTGTAGTTGCTCCATATCTTGTTGTTCTTCTTCTTTCTTCTTGTTGTTCTTCCTTCAGCTCCAGTTCTGTGTTTTATAAGAAGTTGAGTTTTTCTGAAGTGTAAACACTGCAGGATTCAGAGGTGTCCCTGTCTAGTGGCAGAGTGGAAAAGTAACCTCGTGACGTGCTCCTCCTGCCATTATCCCCATCTTTTTTTATCTGGAATTTAACACAGTCTTCAGAGGAGTGGAGACAGTCCGAAGCCCCGGGCATCAAAAAGGAAATCCTTCTCTCTTCCTCATTGTAGTGAGATGAGTCCGGCTGGGAAGGATTAAAAAAACACACACACGCTGTATATAACAAAACATTTTAGGCTGTGATATACAAACACTCACAGATAGAGTGCGTTATTACCTCCGAGGTTGAATGACGACGAGGACGAGGGGAGCTCGTTGCTGCCGACGTGTTTGCTTCCTGATTCTCGGCGGTTCCTGCCATAACTGGACAGTAACCCTAGAAATACAAGCGGCAGCACACAAGCACAAGTGGTACATGTAAATATACGATGCTAACAAACCATTTGAAGCTAAGGCACAGAACGTGTTGGCTGATGTAACTGCGTCGATGGGCCTTACGGCGTGAGTAGGACTGGCGCTGGGGGTGCATTTTCTTGGCGTTACAGGCGGGTCAGCGTGCGCGTGGTAGCCGGAGGGCCGAGGGCTGGGCTGGCTGTAATCCTGCAGAGCCAAACAAGCAACAAACATGTAGAAGTCACTTGGATTGGTGACACGGTGGCCGAGAGCAGCTCAACAACTGACTTGACACAATGATACTAATTGAGACGCTTCGTTTGAGGTGACACCCAGACCTTTCAATCACGTCATAAGATCTACAGATGGTTGACAAATTAAGAAAACAGAACCGTAAGGTGACACACGGAAAGCTTTAATGCCCCGTGTTATAGGTTGTTATTAAGGTATGTGGGTCTTTAATAGACGAGTGAAGAGCGTTCTTGTGATAGACACCACTGTCTAATTCCGTCTCTATTCATTTGTTCCTTTAATTTTTTGCTTGTCCTAATTTTGTTGTATGTCTGCTTCAATAAACCTCAACAGTTTAGCAAAACCAAGGCCTCAGAAGGCTTTATCCACATCTGAAGGACTGTCAATAAACACACATGCAAGTCTTCCTTATAGATTGCGTTCTGTACAATCTATGATATTGATTGAGGATGAATTGACGCTTAAAGAGATAAATTATTCACATACATTCCAAAATTTCCCTCTTGAGGGATCAATAAAGTATCTATCTATGTATCTATCTATACGCAGTAGAGCTCCAAAAGCCCTTCTGATTCATAAAGACATGTGATGACTCTGTTAATGCCATATGGCTATTTAATCTGTTCCACATAAACTCCCCACATGGTGGAGGTTATGTAATAACCGACACTTTCCCCAAACCTACATACAAACTCTGAATTTAATTGTAACTGGTATATTTATTTGTGGGGGGGGGGGCTATTCAGTGTCTTTAATCTATAATCATAAACATAAGACAGACTGATATGTTGAAATTTGAAATTGCATAGAAGGAGTGCAATGTGTAAAATATTGAAATCATATAAAATATGAATTGGACTTTTTTTGAATTTTTCAGATGTGTTCATTAAATTACCAAACCGACTAAATGCCAACATGAGAAAGAGCATATTTATTTTGAGAACAGGACAGGAAGCAACAAAGCATACAGCCTCCCTCGGATTAATCACCCCACCTGCCCAACTGTCTCAAACAGCAGCACCAAACACCGCGTTCTCCTCATTCCCTCACCTGGATGTTGACCCTCGGAGGGTTGGCTGGAGGCGTGCGGTTTATTCTGAGGACAGCGACGAGCTGCGACAGGCTGCAGTTTGGATATCGCCTCATGAACAGGATGAAACCGACCAGCGACACGAACAAGCCAGAAGGGACGGTGATGGATCTGAGAAGCGCTCGCCATCTGCCTCCCTTTTCTAGGAGAGAGCAGACGTGGGGACAGATGTCAGGATTAGGAAACAAGAAATTTAGAATAAGACAAAAAAAACATCTAAAGACACCCTGTCACTCACCAATCACCTGCAGCCAGGTGGAGGATACCAGGTTGCCGACCACGTCCCTGATTTCATAAAACCCATCGTGCCTTGAATTCAGCCTCACTATGGCGACCTCGTTGATGCTGCCATTCCTGACCAGCGAGATGAGGCCCCTGTAGCGCATGTCGTGGTCCAGTATGTGGCCCTCACGGATCAGCTGCACTGGACCACGGGGGGGTTTGGGGTCAAAATGGCCCGGGGAGGATTCGTCAAGGAATCGGGTAGGGGTAAAAATGAGGTGGACATGCGGGACAGGAAGAAAGAGGGGCAGGTTTAGAGACTCCTTGGTAAAGCGGGTGACATTGAAGGAGTGCTCTGCACCCAGGACCATGAACACAAAAGACAGGGGTGGAGAAGGAAGGAAATGCGACGACATGGCAGGGTGTTAGGTGGAGGGGGAAAGATAAAATATAAATGTTATAGATGACGGGACCCTTAAGTTGAGGTAATTCCTAAAGGTCATCCTGTCATCTTCCGCCTTTGCTCACCGCGGACGCTGAGGGAGCTGCGGTGCAGGACCCTCCCCTTGCTGTCCCTCACAGTGTAGTTGCCCTGGTCCGCTTGCGTCACCCTCTCAGCCACCCACACTTTCCCCGCGCGCAGCCGGCCACGGCCGGCATCGCTGGTCACGGGGTCGGTCCGGTTCCACAGAAGGACCGGCATGGCCTCCGGCGGAGCGCCCCGGGGAGAGAACTCCAGCAGGGAGCCGTTTTCGGGGATGCTGTGCTCAAACTTATCGCCGTATTTTCCGTGGTAGGACTTGATGCATTCTGAAGCAGGAGGAAGGAGTGAGGGACGAGAGAGAGAGAGGCAGAGAACGATCAGCAGGATGGAAAGTAAAGTACACGTAATCCAAAAGTGTGTAAAAAGTTAGCTTTTTATTTACTCAACTACAGTGACACTAAAGCAGGTTGCAACAGTTTTGACTCGCGACCCTTTGATGCTATTCATTATAGTTCAGGTCCACTGAGGACACAACGTTTTATTAGTGATGTATTTTGAAAATATGGCTGGACTTCATAAAATAAGAAGAATGTCGGACCTGAAACAATCAAACGAACGGCCTCGTAGGTGAATCCAGAGACCAGTTTGATGGCGTAAAGCCCCTCATCATCGTGAGTCACTTCTCTCAGAACCAGCATCCTGTCTCTGGTCCACTCAAACCGCGGGTCCTTCACCTGCAGATGTACAATTAATACATGTGTGAAACTGGTGACGACACACATACCAACAAGTATCAACACACTTCAACCCACAATGGTTTTGTCCAGCAGGACGCGGCGTGGCCCCTCGGGGTTTGGTGTAAAAGTCACCATTCTGGATGAGGAGTAAACCGGCAGACGGAATTCCCTCCCAGCACACACAATCTGGGCTTCTTCTCTTATACCTGCAGAAGAGAAGGAAAGTCAGTCCCCTCTTCACAGAGCATGCTTTGTAGGTGAGGGGAGTGTAATGCTTTTCACTCACTTGATGCATCCCATGCTGTAGGGAGAGCAGGACGAATCTGATTGTTATTCATCATCTCCAGCAAAATGATACCATTTCATATTGCAGCACAAAGTTGGATTAGAAATGGGTTTGTAAATTGTGCAGTAATTAATTTGTTTATGGAAAGACGTACTATGAAATTAAATAATCCCCTTATTCATCTAAAATAATTTGATTATGTAAGTAACATTTAATACTGGTGCATTTCTATTGATAATGGCACATAACAGCTGACAGCTTCTTAGATAGTGAGAAATATGATTTTATTAACATTGGTTCACTAAAACTGTACGTCTTAAAATGCAGTAGATAGTACACAAACAATTGATTTACAGCAGGGATTCTTACGAAATTGGTTTCTTCACACGAGTGGTGTATACGAATCATAAAACGTTATTAAACGATCAGTTACCGATAATTTAACACGGTGCAAATGTACCAACGCGACATTCACCAACGTACCCAGAGAGATAGGAAGGGCCGAAAGGAAGGCGAGCATGGCACTGTAGGACATCTTCACCTGTAAAGACAGACCGGGATGGTTTTCATCAACAAGCACGGGGGAGTGAGGTCGTCACCCATCCTCCCTCATACTGCGACGCGGCGGACCTTCGGCCCACCGGCTATTGATACACGCGGACACGCGTCACTCCGGCGAGAACTCACCTGGATGCGTGGAGAATACAGTACATCCACCGCTGGGTACCTGCGAGCGATTATGGGACGAGGAGATAACAACGTCCTCTGCAGAGCGCGCATGTGCAGTGGGTTCGCTTGGTTTATTTAAGGAAATGGTGCCCTGTATTCTGTGCAGCTCCTACGCAAGATGCGTCACATGCCTCCGTTACGTTGGTCGGATCCTGGGTGTAAGTCCGCCATTGGCGCAAGAGAGTGCCCGGTTACTACGTGGGATCCTCCCGGTGGGCTGGACACCGAACACCTTCTCGGTCATTTGCCAAAAAAAAGTATTTTATTAAGAAAGTACTGTCATTTCTACATTCATTCTCAATGTATAGATGATTTTAGATCAAAACATTACTTCAGTTAAAACAATGCAATAGAATATGTGTTATCATAGACACATTAATCCGCATGTATTCAGCGTATCAACGCGTCGGTTTGTGTGCAAACAGCGTCACAACTGGTTTTAGTGGTTTTATGTTAAACTGGACCGCGGAAGCCCCGCCCATTAGTAGTGATGGGAAGTTCGGATCATTTTACCGATTCGGATCTTTGAATCTCGTTTAGTAAAAATGAACAAATCTTTTTTCGAGTCAGTGGTAAGATAAATTCCTGCATTAAAATAATGTATCATTACAGTCTGGATGATTTGAAGTGATCATTTATTTTCACACTAGCATTCAATTATCACGTCATAACTATTACACTGCACTAAACTGTAAGTGTAAATGTAAAGTGAAAATAACAAAACCAGTCATTATGACTTGTGAACGAATATAATTCACGTTTAAAACTAAAAACAGCGGTCACGTGAAAGGGAATAATGTAACTGTTTCCTCTACTAAACCAATGCAGGTCACGTGAAAAACGATCTAAAGATCTGTATCCGGCAGATGAACGAATCGTTCACCTCCCGACCGTGTCTTCGGGTCAATGTTTCGTTCATCTGCCAACCGAGTCTTCGGGTCAATGATTCGTTCATCGTTCATTTTTCACGTGACCTGCATCGGCTCAGCACTGGTACCACTTGGTTGGCAGAAGGATCATTTACCACGTGACGTGCATTCAACGAATCATTTCTGTTTCCTTGGCTGAGCCTATGCAAGTCCCGATGCGTGGACACGAGAAAATGAACTAATCTTTTTTTGAGAGGACTCGTAACTCTCGAATCCTTGTAAGGATTCGTTCAAAATGAACGGATCGTTCACGAACGACACATCACTACCGCCCATTGCAGTTCTTCCTCGAGAAAACAAACTCGACCGAAACACGGCGTGAAATTATTGTACAGTGAGACCCTTTTTTAAGTAATTTTGAGAAGTGTACGTGAGGTCACGTTCACACGCACAACCTGTCCTCATTCTGCAGGACATGTTGCTCTTCTACGCGACGGTCGTCTCCGCCTTGTTGGGTGGTGAGTGTCATTCATATAAACCCAACGCATGTGTAATCTTTCTGACATGTTGTATCGGAGTAGTTGCTATACTTTCACCAAGAAGGGAGGACTTCTTATAAGTCCCCAGGGAGCCTTTTTTTGGTTGAAAAGACGTTGCAAAATGGTTTAAAAGTGAGCTTTTTCAACGTCTATTCGTAGATGCACATTCATTTGAATCTTCCTTCTGTCTGTCTCTTATTCTGATTAAAGGTTCATCCTCTGTTAGACCTGAAGTGAAGTGCAATGGCGGCAGTTTGACTTTCCCAATTCACTTAACACCACCTCTTTTTAATGGCCAGCTGTACTTCACTCCGAGTACAGGGGGACGCAGTCGGTTGCTGATGGATAAAGGAGAGGTGAGCAACTTTATCTGCATATCACACACAGTGTAACGACGTGGTATCGTTATGACAGCCGAGTTCTGTAATTTGACGTAGATCAGAATGAACAGAATCTTCTCGCTGTCCCGAGTAAATGTGTTTTTGTTGTCCACCGACTCAGGCAAAGCACCCACGCATAAAAGTTCAGAGCGGCTCGCTTAGATTAATACAGTTGACAGAGATGGATGAAGGAATTTTTTCCATCTCACGTGACAATGGTGAACGACAAAATGCAGTGACGCTGACAATTATAGGTGAGAATGTTAAACTATATTGCATATTTAAAGGCTCCATTCCATCAGAAAACAAACCTTGTAGAAACAGTTATTCCCTTGTTACCGTGTTTGTTTATGCCTCTTCAGCATGTGTCGACGAGGTCATGCGGGATTACGGGGGCCGTTACTCAACAAAGGTTCCGAGAGAGGCAGAGTTCCTGGAGTTCACTCCCCTTCACGGTGTGGACCAGCTGAAGGTTTTGTGGAATCGCTCTGACCCTCAAGCCATCAACGGGGGCAGAGGGCAGATTAACCGTAATTTCTACGAGATTGGGAATCTCAATCAGGCAGACATGGGCTACTACATCTTCAGAGGAAAAGACAACAATTTGCTCATTAGGATCAAGCTAATAGTCAAAGGTGATGTTAGGAAATCGAATCTGCGTCAAGCTTTTAGAGTGCAGTGTATATGAAATGTTGCGTTTTATCACACACAGAGTTGCGGAGATACTACAATACAAAGGTTCACGACGAGGTCTTGATTGAAAATCCTATGGCCAATCGCCTGTGGACGGCGGCTTTTACACCTGTGGGGGAAAAGGAAAACCAAACATTGATGAGCGGTGGCCGTCTGGTCAGAGAAGAGGAGTTGGACTCGTACTCAGTAGGTTTTGCAGGGAGGCTGCGGTCCGTTGGCGGGGGCGTACAGATTTACCCCGTGCAAATCACAGACTCGGGCACCTTCGCCTTCAGAGACCGACGAGGCCACCTGTTCCAGACCGCAGAGCTGGTGGTCGACCCGGGTGAGCAACGGCACATTGTTTTCCTTAAATGCAGGAATGAACTGATGATTCATAGGAACGTAACCCCCGCCCCATTCTTCTGCTCTTACAGACCCCTTTTCAACTCTTTCTTTGGTTGGACTAATTGTTGGGATTCTCTTTGCTCTGATTTTCTGCTGTTGCTGTGTGAGGAAGTGCTGTTGTAAAAAGAGGGCCGAGTTTGCTCCTCAGGCTGCAGCCCCACCTGCTGTGTGTCTCCACGTGAGTACTTCCTCAGATTAGACCAACCGTTTGTTATCATTTATATCGTATTGCTCTTTTTACTTCAATATCCTTCCAATCGCAGGACACAAATCAACCCGGGTGCCCGAGTTACTATGCTGCACCGGCTAGAGATCCCAGTACTCCTTACTCAATGAGTTCCCTAGTTTCCAGGGAACATACAACTATCTCTCTCGAGCCGTTGGTAAGTGTTCTCAAACCTACAGCCAGTTAGTCATTGTAGTGTGATCCACTGATTTGGCCCAAGTCTGGGTTAAAACAATACTCAAATGGCCATGTATTTTCTCGCTTTAATCGTTTTTCCTTTCCATACTGAAAGTTCATATATCTATTTAAGTTGTGCTTATAACTAGACAACATTGGACAAAATTCAACATTTATTTGAAGTGTGACTTGGACAAATAAAGTTGTTACCTTTTATAAAGTCACTGCCTTTTATGTAACAAATTCCCAGTATGATCAGGATGTAAAACGTGTTTCATAGTTGTTGTTTTTTCACCTCCCTTAGGTTGCTCCTCCAGGAGGGGAGGGAGTCAATGCAGCTCCTTCACTCGCCACTAATTTTCTCTCCTCGGACACCGAGCCAACGTTTCAGCTGAAAGGGCCGCAGTATGCACCCCCCCTCAGTTCAAGCTCAGCTTTCTCGGATGTTTATACTTCAGATAAACTCAACTTTCTGTAAAAAACACTCCAAAAACTCAGGCGACGCACTGTTGAAGCCATTATTGTACTTTGTGAGGAGGGGCCCTCGATAGGTCTGTGTGACAAAACGCACATTTAACAATAAATTCCTGCAAAGTCGTGGCGATCGGTGCACAGGATGAGGACCGTGTTGAAAAACTAGACATAATTCTCACTATGTTGACACAGGACCAGTTGGTTCACGCGTGTGATGTTCTCTTTCTTGCTATATAAATCCAAATGCAACGTGATCAAACCGGTATACTCTTGATAACTAAGCAGTCAAGAGTTATACAAAGACGTCTAACAATTTAAGAAAAATGTTAACTTAACTGTAGCTCCATACTATAGGTTTTGTTGAGTGGACGGAAATGATCGTAATATCCGTAGTAAAATGAAAGGATGAATTTGTATTTTAAACTCAGGTTATATAAGCAATGTATAGGTACACCTTCTCCTGCTGCAAGTATATCAAGGGGAATGTTGGAGTCATGACTGAAAGTCTGTGTAGCAGATTTTATACAGTGAGGACATAAACCTGATCAACACCAATCAATCACCAGTTAAATCCCCTGTTACCAGCTGTACTTAACGTTTTTGGTTGTTTCTAACCCATACGTGCCAATTCAGCCAAATATATCAACGTGTCTGTGTGGCCTTTGTTATATAATTATAACTAACGATATTTTAGGTTTTTACTTTTACTACTATGTCTTAGAAAACTGTTACCCTCTGTATTTTTTGAGAATATGCCTTGATTCATTAACCATAACAGATGTGGTCTACATATTTTGTATAAATATGTGTCTGTATTATGTGTAAAATATGTAAGTATACTTTGACTTGTGTTTTAAATGAGGTATTTTGAAAGCTAAATAAACTGCCTTACTGGACTTAATATAATCCCCATCAGATGTATGCAATGAAATTGACCCTAACCCACAATTATAGAATCTGTGCCCCACGACAACTACAATTTTAAGAATAGCAACATTTAAAAGGGCTGTTATGTATGTACACCACGATATAATCATAAAACAATTTCTATTTAGAGAAAAAATGAAAATAATGCAAATTCTCTCACAGTTACATTATTGTTGGATTTAACCTTCAGATGCAATTCATCAATCTTGATGTTGCTGTTAAAAGGCTAAATAACACAATGGCAACAATGTGTTTCTTTCCCCTTTGTTCCAGACCAAATTAACCAAACTAGAGGAGATAAGGCACCTTGGGTCCTGGGTCCGGTCCGACGTAACCCGGTGACGCTGCGCGCTTGAGGGGTTTGTTCGACTCGTCCAGAATCAGGAAGGGCGGTTCCGTTGAAAACCTCCCCGCTAAACGCCGCGCACACACACTGGAATTCAGCTTTCCCCACTCGGGTCACATTCAGTTCCACTCGGCCTGACCCCTTAGGCTCTCGAACGTAATGCAATCTTGATTTTGGGGCTCAAACGCAAGGCATAAATACACGAGCGGTACCCATCTCCGATGACACGTGAACGCACCACGCACGGACACGCCCTTCTCCGTTTTCTGCATTCTGAATACGGAGCTTCGTGCGGCATTGTGTTGTTACCGTATTAATAACGTTATAGTGCGCTGTACTACTTCTGTCTGAATAGTGTGAACACACTAAAGAGTTTGCCGTCACCTACATGTTGAACTGTGAACTGGTCCCAGTTTACACTGGACTCACGTTTACAATCACGGGAAATGATGATAGTCTTGTTGTTGCTGGGTGCCCTTGGTTGTATGGGTGAGTAAGTCTAATTTATACATCTTACTTGAGATAGATACTGATACTGCTTTACAGATCGAGAAAGTAACAAGTGCGTGGTACCCGACCGGAGGGAAGCAACCACATGCATTAAACACATCTCCATTTAGAGGTGTTTATACGTTAGTAATGATAATTTAATATACATTAAACTCCCTCCCAGCGGGCATGATGTGTATCGACGCCGTTGAAAATAGGTTCAAAAGTAAAGTTTTTTGAGTATACGTTCAGAGCAGATTTTGATCTTCTACTTTGTGCTTTAGAATTATTATAGAGGTTTACAAAGAAACGACGTGCACATTTGTAACATTTACAGAAAACTAAATTTCCACGTTGAAATCACGTCTCGTGCTCACTGGTTTACTCGACTGCTTCTCTGCTCACTGCCTCATAATAACCGCGATGGTAATACCTTAATGGAATATGCATAACGATGTTATTTAAAAAACACCGTGATCACAACAATTATCTTATTTTGAACTTAGATGATATTTTAAATTATTACCTTAATGGAATATGCATAACGATGTTATTTAAAAAACACCGTGATCACAACAATTATCTTATTTTGAACTTAGATGATATTTTAAATTATTACCTTAATGGAATATGCATAACGATGTTATTTAAAAAACACCGTGATCACAAAAATGATCTTATTTTGAACTCAGATGATATTTTAAATGATTTATTTTATTATGTAGGTAAAGATAATACATTGCAATGTTTTGAAGTCTAAATTTCAGATCCATGTTGAATGATTTTGGGGGCAATTTTATTTTGAAGGCCAAAAAGATATCCTACACTAACAATGTTTCTTTTGGACTTTCTCTCATCAGGAGTCTCTCGTGTCACTGGCGTGGTGAAGAAGTATGGGGAGAGTTATTACTTTATGCTGCATGGAAACCCTCACGTCTTAGAGTTCCACCCGGAGCACAACTCAAATGTGACAATATTGTGGAAAAAGGATCAACGCGTAATCACATTGGATAGGAAGTTTGTAATGACGGGTAGTATCTTTGCGATACATAAGTTAACTCAGAATGACAGTGGCCACTACATAAGTAGAGACAAAGATCTGAAAGAAATTTCCACCTACACACTTGAAGTAAAAGGTGAATATCCGTCTTGGCTCTCATCTATTATTTTGCAATATCACTCTGATAAACTCTCTCTTTTATTGTCCAGCAACCACGAGGACCTATAGTCCGGAACCTGGTGATCGCCTCAGCTTCACCTTCAATCTGAAACCAGACTCCTGCAACATTTACTTCTTCCCAAGCAGAACTCGCCGGCTGAGAATGTTGGAGAATAAAATAATTCGTGGCGGCGTGCTTCAGGGGGATTCCGATGAACTTTATTGCAAAGGGTTTGATTTTTTACATCCATGTGGGATTTCAAATAAAGTCCTCCAGATTTCTTGCGACGGACGCTATGAGATCCGAGATCAGAATGACAACACGGCCTTAATGGTGTCACTGGATATGAATCGTAAGTGTTTTTTTTTTACGAAGTGTCAGGTGACTGTGTTTTTAAATGTTCACCACTGACCAACTCGTCGCTGCTTTGCTTTCTGGTCTAAATTAATTGTCGTCAACTGATTGGCTCAAAGTTTTTGTTTGAAGGGAGCAATAGTGGAGTACAAACCAATGCACTCAATATTATGTTGTGCACACAAAGTGTATCAAGTCATATTTTGGAGGAAATATTTTTGAGCAACTAAAAAATGTATCATCATTGAAAAATTGCCATGTGAAAGACAAAGCTAGAATCTAGTGTTTGGTACTCATAACATTTTGGGTGTTGTGTGTCTTATGTTGCAGAAATCCTAAGGACCGTAATACGGACACCTGGTTACAACTTCAACTTCACTTTTAATCTGGAACCAAACTCCTGTAACATTTACTTCCGGCCAGAAGGCGACTCAGTGATTAACTTAGTCTATGGAGGCGTGCTGCAGGAGGGTTTGGATGAAATCGGTTGCAGCGGGTTTGAGCTGTTAAAGCCATGTGGGATTTTAAACAAGGTCGTCCAGATGTCGTGCAACGGAAGGTATGAGATCAGAGATCAGAATGACAACACAGGCTTTGTGGTAACACTGGAAATGGAGCGTAAGTAACCGCTGTTATTTGATAAGTGTCAGATTACTGTTTTATTTGAGTATTGTCTGATCATATGAGTTCTTTCTATTATCTACTTCTTGTTGAAATGTTTCTTTTTCCCGTCGATGAAAGTGAACAGTAATTCAAATCAGAGACAGGAAGGATATTCTCCCATTTCAGAGAATCAGACGGTCAAAAATGTGATGATTTGAATTGAATGATTGATGCGTTACCATAAATGATTGCCGATACATTCTCTGTCCATCCACTAAATGACTGATTGTTGCAGCACAACCGTATTCGCTACCTGGTCTCAGTATTGGGGTTGGCGTCCTCTCCATGTTCTTGTGCTGTTGCTGCAAGATCTGCTGCTGTGGGAAGAAAAAGTCCCAAGAGGAGCCGACTGAAACTGCTGCTGCCGAACCAGAGGTCCAATACCAAAGGGTACGGCCGCACTGCCCGCGTGCACAGCCCAGTGGAGCCGAGGCTCCTGCCGTTTATGTCCTGATTCCACATTGTGTTTTTTATTTTAACCACAGCGTTACAATGAGCCCTGCGGACCGAGCTCAGACCAACTCATTGAGCCCTTTGGGACAAACTGCTTCAATCAGCCTTCTTCTGCTCCGAGTGATTCGCTGGTTAGTGTTTGTTGCATCTCATGGAGAAACCTGAACCTGAACCCTGTTTATTCTCCTGCCCTCCACAACTAAACTGTCACGTGTTGCTTCACATTGTAGGTACACAACCATCCGTTTCAGGATTCGCCGCCCTCTTATTCTGAGGTAAAAAGCAATTCATTTGCCATTGTTGTTCTTAACATTTATTTCAAAACCATCTCAGCGTATTCTTGATTAGCTCTCCGATGTCTTGTTTGCGTTCGTCAGTGTTTCTCCAAATGAAATGCGCCTTGTGGAGGAATGTGTGCGTGTCCTTGGGGCCAAACAAACTCCCCCAAATCACACTGGCAAAGGATTATTCTAAAAACTAAATCACTATCTTTACCATAATGAATATTACCATAGATGTAGCGAACACATACAGTAGATATGCATGGTAATATTTCCACATTAATATTCTTAATAACAACAACAACTCTAAAACAACAGAAGGTGATATATCTGTATTTTAGACCTAATTCATGAATTGTAACCTCCTTGTAATACTCACGTTTCTTGTTCTCTGCAGGTTTTACCTGATGCTCAGCAGCCAGCTGCTCCATCTCTCCCAGTGCACCATGACCCTGAACCCAAGTTTGAATTTAAGGGCGTGACCTTTCCCTGTGCTCCCCCACTCGAGTCCGACTCAAGCCGCTGTGACGTTTATACCTCAGACAAACTCAACTTCCTATGAGGGCCTTATTTCCAAAGATACATCGGAATGCGTGAACACTTCTTTGTTAACGTACTGATTACTGGGACATGGAAGGATTAGCTTGATATTTTAGCAAATACGCATATTCTTTTAATGGATTAAGCCAGTAAGGGAACCTTGCGTGCCCAAGGGCACCCTGGCAATATGTGCACGAGAGGTCTTTATTTAAAGGTTGAAGTGCCCTTTTATCTTCCTGCCATATGACCTCTTATACAGCCATTTGCATTTGCGAAGCCTGTTATTTTTGTTATTTGTGAAATGAATCTTTACCCGTCCGATTCTACCTCTTGATTGGCTCGGACATGTTGCCTTATTTGCAGAATTTGTTAGCTCTGGATCAGTGGAATGAAAAATAACTTTTGAATGAAAATCTGAGAAAGAATTCACAATAATGTTCTACCTCGTGAGTCTCACTTGAATTGCTCACAGGAGCCTACGGAGTGAATAGCTGCCTCATTCCTGCTGTTTTACTGCCATGATTTACTGCAGACCGGCGTTACTGTGACGACACAAAGGTAAACCAGTCCTATGTTTGCAAAGTTGTCTGTATGTGAAAGTCGTCGTTGCTCTAGAGGTACATTTGCTTGACGATCTCTTGCGTGGAATTTCACTTGCAGCTGTTAAAAACTTCTGTTAAAAACTTGTAAAAGTTGATACTTCCATTGTAGTTTAGTGTGGATTCTTCAAATTAACCTCTATTGGCTGTTAACGAATATTGATACATAGTTAGTGTATTTAATTTGCTCAGGCCAGTTACATAAATATATCTAGATGTGTAGAAGTCATATTATATGGATTGTTTGAAAAACACAAAAGAAACAAGACCCAGTTTCGGTTTCCTGTTACATATTTTCATATGTAACTGCATATATGTCAAAATGTTACCAAACGTGCATTACATTAAGTCTAATATATGTGGGACTTTTACAAACATATATTTTTTGTGTACGTTGTTAAACATGCATGAATTTATTGATTGTATAATTGGATTTGGTGTTTAAATCTTTAATGCATTAAATCTAATAACACTGAAACTATTTGGTTTGGAATGTTTCTTTTTTTTTCTAGTGTTCATGTTTTCACTTTCTTTACGTTGTAAATCTGTAACTCCACTTCATCGACGTTATAAGCACCACCCACCCATACGTCACCCGAGCATAGAAATTCCTTCACAGCAACAGGATCACAGAGGAAACCCAACCGAGCACAAGTCAGAATACGGCGAAGCCTTTTGTGTGTCGAAGAGACATAAATCTGTTTGAATGAGGGACAATAAGCAATTACTTGATTAGCCTTGAAATCTTTTTAAGTTTGACACGTACTTGACCCATACTTTTATTTTTCTAATTTAAATAAACCGGATTGTCATTTCTAATTTGCAAAACATTAACTGTGTGTCACCCATTGGATTTCTGAGTTCACGTTTGATCAGGTTGATTATGCGTTGAGACCTGCGGATAGAGGTTGTTAGTTTAATCTGCTCATTACTTTATGCCCAGCACACAAACTATTTTCTCTAGTCTTTCATAAAGAATGTATACATTAAGATTGAGTGGCCCATAGTAGAAACCTTTAAAAAAATGCTAGTTTAAATAGAATAGTTCACAATTGAAGAGTTTAGTTCCTCGTGTGTGTGTCTTATCAGGACTATTATATAACTGATAATGAGACAGAAACTGGCACTATGACAAACGGACATGTTATTAACGCCGAAGAAGAACATACCTTTTATTAGAAATGGTAATAATAATTTGAACATTATTTAACTTGAGGAGTATTTAGTTGATTATCAGCTTACAGGAAGAGACCTGCAGACAGTGACTGCTCCCCCCGCTGTGGCTCCACCGGCTCCTCAGAGAAATATCACATTATTTAGCAGCTAAATGTGTTATTTTTAAAGCTGCAGTAACGTTTCAACTATAGACACCAAATTAGTCATTTTAATTGTAAAATATCATTGCAGGTTTAAAGTGAACTACTCCATTCAAACTGCATGCTCTCATATCACGTATTTGACCTTAAGATGATCATTTTGTAAATGCATTTGCGTCTAGAATGATCTCCCTGCTTTAGTGACGCCGACTCATCACCCCACCACAGTGAAGCGGAGGAGGAAATGGAGTTTTACTGCTGCAGCGTGAGGAGGCAGACGTAATCGTTCTGGCACTGAGGTCAAGTTGTTCCACTCGGCTTGAGTGGCAGCGGCGGTGACAACTACTGATGTGAACTCGTTGGGTCGAGGAGGCTTTTAGCTGAACGAGCCGCAGGGAACCAACCAGGCTGTGAAAGAGCTCAGGCTGGTTTAAAGTTGCCGGTCGATGGTAGCGAGTTAAAAACGGAGACAGGAAAAGCACACTGCTTGACGCAGTTTGGTCCAGTTTTCAATAGAGAACCATTACACATTACACATCCAATTCACATTTGGAACCAATGGTTCCCAGAGAAGCCTGATGTCCATTATGAGGTTGAACACTTGACCTGTAAAACATGCTACGCTCTTCTTGGCATCGCGATCCAGTTGGTTAATGTTAGCAAGCCGGTCCACAAAACTAAGAAGGCGAACAGGCATCTTAAACATCCCTAGATAGAAATCTGCTAGTGAACTTTCTCATTGTGATGAAATTGGCGTGCAGACGTTGTTTAAATTAAAGAATTTCTTCCACTGTGAAAACGACAACGAAGACGGTCGTGTATCTACCGTCTACGATCTGATTTGTTGTACTATCCTCTGTCCATACTGGTCTTACTGTTGAAGCCCTACTACCACTAAAAATGATTTATTACAGTGAAAATGTTACATTTCTCATTTTTTATTTTCTCAAGGTAAAACAAAAAACCTTTCCGATTAAAAATCCCAGACTTTATTTTCAATATAGTTTGACACACGTATAGAAACCATCAATGTTCCTGTTTTCATTACGGACATCACCATCACCTTAGTCCACCGGTACCTCCGTCCCTCCTCCCTCTCCGGCCGCTACTCGACTTTCCTCTTCTCGACCGCCCTCACGCGGTCCTCCAGCGCGCTCAGCCGGTGCTTCACTGCGCAGGCCTTCTCAGAGCGCGACGTGAGCAGAGTCAACACCACGCACGCCAGCACCAGGCCGCCCAGCCGCACCGCCGTGACCTCCGCCGCGACCTGCTTCTCGGTCGCGATCAGTCCAAAGAGCCACAGCGCCAAAACGGTCTTCACCACCCAGAAGACCCGCCCGACCACGGCGATCAGCAGACGGAGAACAACGGTCAGCACCCAGTAGCCAATCAGGGCCACCAGACCCCACTGGGCAATGGCGGCTACGCCCTCTGGGGTGAAGAAGGGCGACGACAGCGCGACTGTGAAAGGGAGGAAATCCGGTTAAGGCACAATGTCATCGGAAGAATAAAGGTTGGAAGTCACGCTGTGAAAAAGGAGCGGCTCAGAAAGTACCCGAGGGAGAGGCAGCTCTGCATATTTTCACTTCGAACTCTCGTTGTCTCTTATTTTCTTACTCAAGTAAAAAACTGGCAGGAAATTCCACACGCAGGAGCCACACAGCGTAGCATGCAGCAAAGCCTGAGCGCTCACCGCGTGACTCGGTAGCACATGCAAATACGGGCCATCGGTACACCCACCATCAAATCCTGTGACCCGGAGGATCTCGGTGACGTAGACAGCGATGACATTCAGGCCGCTCGCGGCTCCTTCTGCGAGGACTCGGATCACCATCTCAAAGAACTGCGTAGGTGTGGAGGGAGGGTGGAGACGTTAGCAAACAAGATAACCGAGAAAAAAGGCGGCCAACTCTACTCATTCACTCACAAATACAGAAACACAGATCACGTATGCCCATTTATGCTCATGGCTTCAGTGCGCAGGCAGATTCATTATTCTGGTATTTATACCAACAGGAGTGATATTCACTGCAACTTGATTACTTTCATAGAGAAATGCTGCTTCGCTGCACCGAAGTCATGGACACAGCGGCTGGATCGCTGACTTGGACCAACAGCCGTGCATGCGGGTGACAGCTGGAGCCGCTCTCTATTCCTGTATAGTCTTTGCACTCATAACCCCCCAAATGACACAGTGCATACAAACACACACAGTTGTAGCCTCCTCGAGCAAAGTCAAGGGTAGTAAGTGGGACGAGTTGCTTATCCGCACCTGTTGCACGACACGCTTGCACATACGCAAGAAGTCAAGAATCCGTCACTCCGCTTCAGAGAGCGTAATTAAAACGATCGTTTGGGATCATGAGGCGCTACTTCCCAACCATTTACATACTTTTTTAGTGAGACAAAGCCCTTCTTTAACGCTAAGGCTCATTTAATTTTCTTTAGACGGCGTGAATCATCCCATAAAGGACCTTAAAGTGGTGGTATGGTGCTATTATTCCAAACAAAGTCCTAAAAAACACCGTAGTTGTATTTTACTTGATGTGATCTCATACTGAGGCTTCGAAATTTGATTAACTTTTTAAGACACGGCCAAACAGAAACACCAGAAAGACCTTAAAAGGTGTATCCCAAAAAAAAAAAAAAAAAAAAACTGAAAGCAAAGCTTGGACAAAAGGTCTGTACAACGTCCTGGCAGCACCCAGTAAATTAAACAACGTAATCAGTCAATCCCTGTCAAAGACCGGGTCGAAAAATAAAAGGCTGTTACGTTATTGGGAAACATCAGTGCTGTGTGCAGATCTTTTGCCAAGCTTACACCCTGAGTCATGAAAAAACAAATCCACGTGGAATAAGTCTACAGTTCAGTGAGGGGCTCATTCAAAATGAATTTCTCATCAAAAGGATCATGCACACACACACACACACACAATATTTTGAGTTCAGAGCTGCCGATTGAGTGACGTGGAGACACTTCAGCTTACGACAGATGACAACACTGAATACGCTGTGACCTTCTCATGCAATTAAAATGTACAGAAACACAGATGAAGCCGCAACTTCACTCACAGTCATGCTGCTACGCACTATAACTTTAAGGAGGCCCCGGACCACACAGAGCCCCAGGAGGGGCCTCTGTTTAGGGGAGCATGTCGGGACAGGCTAGATGGAGACACCCGGGGAGGTTTCTTACCATGGCCACTTTAGAGACGTTCTCCTGACCAAGCAAAGAATCAAGAAACAACACTGCACGCTGGAGGGGATGTTTGAAGGGAGGACGGGGGATGGGGAGGGGTGTATGGATAGAAGGAGACATGAAACCAGAAGATGAGGGGGATCAGGGAGGGAGATTACCACGTTGAGGGTCACGGGGACAGCGGATGGACAGACACAGAGGACAGGGATTGGAGTTGAAAATTAGTGACAGATCAAGAACAGTGAAGTTAAGACACAGTAAACTTGGAGGTTAAAATGTGAGAGAGGAAAGAGAGAGAGCGTGAAGTCCCTTCCTCCGTCGCCGGGGGAGCGTCCATTACCTCAGCGGCCGCCCGCAACACGCCGCTTCCCACCAGAGACTCTGCGTACCGCTGGACCTGCTGGCACGTCCCGCTGAGCAGAGTGCCGAGAGTGACCGTGGGGGGGCCCCCCCCGGCCGGCTTGTCGGCCCACTCGGATTCGCCCGCGGCCCATCCCGACGCCAGCAGCGCCGCCGCCAAGGCGGCGAGGAGGAAGCGCGCCGCGCCGCATCCACCGCGCGCAGGAGAAGTCATCGTCGAGAGGGGGGGGAGGGGGGTTGAGAACAATGAATGAAATGTGCTTTAAAGAAATGTACGTGCACAGGGTTCAAAAGCTGCAGGTAGAGGAGATCCCGTTCGGTGGCTGTAAATGGAAGTGTTAAAAATGGCTCCTGTAGAGAAGAGTCATCGGCTGCCGAGAGGCTTTTTTTTTCTTTTCTTTTTCTCGCACGAACACGTTGCAGTAGGAAAAAAAAAAACAGGCGGAACAAACGTCAAGAGCCGCACCAGCGTCTGCAGCGACACACCGATGCGAAGTGCACTGGGAGGAAAATAGACCGTGCTGGTAATCAAAACAGCGCAATGACCTCAAAATAAACTGAATATAATTATAAACTTTGGCAGCGGGTTGAAATCTCCAATTTCGGAGCGCTCGCCTGCGTCACGGACTCCGCGGCATTAACAGCGGCCAAATTAGGTAAACTGTCCGAGGCTTAAGATCCACCGAGATCTTCACTCAGGCGAGAAGCAGCAGAAACTACTTCAGAAGAGGTCCGAACGTCTGGAGAAGTTGTCTTTGCGCGTAAGATACGCGGGTGACGTTGGTGACCAAAGCTTCCTATTTCCGCTCCGCTGCGCGCGGCTGCTGCTGCTGCTGCTTTTGTCTGCGGCTTCGCATCCAATGACTCTCCGCGGATCACGTTGCACAGACTTTAAGGAAACCCGAGAGGCCGTCCCCGCATGGCGCTCCCTTTGCCTCCAGCAGGCTGGGCAAAGCACTGACGATCAGGGGAGGAGGAAGAGGAGGGGGAAGAAGGCTTTCTGCACACGGATCAACAGAAACTTGCCTACTGGGAATTGTGGTTTAACACTGGGGAGGGGCAAATTTTGCCACTATCCACAATCATTTGATGAGAATTGGAGTAAAAAACAACAACAACAGGGAGGTCAAAACAGAAGCCGGACACTTCAGTTGTCACTTTAATAACTAACAGGACAGAAATTTGAAATCAGAGATTTGAGAGATTTCAGTACATATTGGAACAAGAAGTGTTCAGATATAAAACAAGTTAAACAACAATCACTACACAGTATGTACACACACACACACACACACACACACACACACACACACACACACACACACACACACACACACACACTCCAACATTGTGCAACCATCCACTGCACTCGGTTTTCTCACAGAACTCATACTTTGTATTCTGGTTTTCTCACACGTTCACCCACCCGACCTTGGCGTGGCATACAAAAAAAAAAAAAAAACGCCACACAAATGTCTCTGCGTTCTTCCTGCTCCAGTATGTGAACAAATAAAACACAGTCAAGTAGTGGACACTGGTTAGGGAGAAGCTGAATTCAGCCAGTCAAAGAAAAAACACTAAAGCGCTCAGTTCAGAGCATCACTCCGAAGCTGGAATCATCTGAAGATATCGCACTCGATGGCGTCCTGCACACACAGGAGCAGGGGGTGGTCATGTTCGGAGCAGATATGAGGGCCGCGGTGGCGAGTCTCACTCCCGGTCGGCCCTTTTCTAACCACCGCACATCTCGCTGCACATTTTCCGCCGAAGGAGGGACGCGCGTCTTCAGCCGATGTAAATGCGGTGGAAGTCGTTGGCCCCGAAGGCCGCGTTGCACTTGGGGCACTTCCTCTGGCGCGTGTCGTACCGGGTCTTAACGCACTCGAAGCAGAAGACGTGGAAGCACTTGGTTAGTACGGCGTCCTTCACCCGGGAGTTGCAGCACGGACACGTTAGGCGGGCCTGGGGGAGGGAGGGAGAAAAGGTTTGAACAATAAACCGAAAAAGCCATTTTTTGTTCGGAGCACGAGTGCTTTCGAATGAGCGGACACACATTTCTTCCAGCGCAACTCTCCTCCGGCGGCTGAACTGAATGAAGGCTGGTGAACGCTCCGATGGGGTGCGTTGTAAAGACCGCGGCCAGTTCAAAGAGCAGTTTGTGGGACAGCACTACACGTCAGCGCATATGGAGCGTGATCGCATCAAACCTCTCACGCTCTCATGAACAAATCCTGGAAGAATCGGAGCATGACCCATTTTTGTGCAACAGACATCTAAATGGACGTTGACTAGACCCACTATTCGCACAGGTCGTTTTATGTGTCACAGTCGATCAGCATTTTACGTTCCTGTCCAGACTGTGATCACACAGTCAGGCAGTTGGTCTCATGTGCTCGAATCCACTGTGATGGAGATTATTTTAGTTCACTTGGTTAAGCTGCCTGCTGAGAAGGGAAACGGAGTCACGAGACACACACCCGTTTGTTCTCCTGCAGAGAATTAAATGAGGAGACAGTTTAGTTTTACTGAAGTTCAAGATAAGAATTGGTCCGGCATATAACAATGCCGTTTTTATTTTTAGATATTTTTGGACAGAGCCGGCAAGCTCATTCCAGTCGTTTTGCAAAGCTAACCAGCTACAAGCTGTAGCTTCATATTCAGCATGCAGACATCAAGCTAAAATAAATCTTATATCTGAAAGCGAGTTAGTGCATTTCTCAAAATGTGCTTGGTAGAACCCCCCAAAAAACATTGGTAAATCTTGGATGAGTTCATTTAGCCACAACTGACCAGTGCGCATGTGCCCTGAACCTGCGTCCAGGATGACTCCGTAACGGTTCTTCACATGGACGTTCCTAAAGCAGAAGTCTCACAGAAACCTACCTTATAGTCATTGATTTCTTCATTTAGGATGTCATCTCCGTTGCTGATTTTCTCAGCTGGTTTCTTGGCCTTCTCAATCTTCCCTCTTAGCTTGGAGATGTCCTCCTGAAACAGTCAGAGTTAACAGCTGAAGGTAAAAGGAGTCAGGTTGACAACCGGCATTAAAAGCAAGGATCCATCGCAGTAAACAATGAAGCTATTGCAGCTTCCCATCATCACCTGAAGGCACAACATAACTAACAAAAAGGTAAGCCTCACAGCGAAAAATGTGCGTGCGTGTTTCTTCGTGGGTACCTGTGCTCGTCGCGCGTTGAAGGACTCCTTCTCCCTGGAGATGCTGTTCTCTATGACTTCCTCGCGGACCAGGTTGAGTCTCTGCTGAACCTGCTCCAGCTGAGTTCGCATCTCCTCCGACAGCGACGCAGACTCCTGAGCCTGAACGGCAGACACATGGGGTTTATTACTGTAGGACCCTTTATGTATGTATGTATATTTTGTACCCAAAGGTGTCTGTAGGAACAACTGCGGGTGTCAGTGTATTTTCCTTCCTGGCGATGTGTTACCTTGCGTTTATTCATGTCCAAAGCTTGTGTTCTCAGTGCCAGCTCTCTCTCGGCGGTGCTGATGGTGCCCTGCAGGAGGCGTTCCTTCTCCTCAAGCTTCCTCACCACCTGCAGCTGAGCGTCGACCTGAAAAATCACAAATTGTGGATGAGGATAAAGAAATAAATGAAAGCAAAGATACTTGACGAATGTGGAACTTTCGAAGGAAAAAGTGTACTCAAAAGTTTGCAATGCGAAGCTCGTATTTATTGACCAGCCCTTTTATTTAAGAAAGAAAGTGGTTCTTTATCGGATTGAATGCAGTTCCCAGCTCCATCAGACAAAGTAACTGCAGGTGTCGATCAATGAAGATTAACTGCATCACAAGACCGGCGTGCACAAACCTGCCCCCTGCAACGCTGTAGTAGCTCACCTGAGTTTTCAAAGTAAGCAGTTGGTCGGCCAGCTCCTCCTTCTCCTCTTTCAGCAGCTTGTGGATCTGGTTGGACTTGATCCGCTCGCTCATCAGCTTGAAGTTGGCGTCGTCCTTTTCTCTGAGCTGCTGCATCAGACGGATGTTTTGTTCCTGCATGTCTTCAAAAGCCTGACCCGTCACGTCCATCTCGCTCAGGAGCGCGTCCTCCTCCTACAGGGGGAAGGCGTGGAGGCGACGAGTGTCGGAGATCAAAAAGGGGGCCTTGTTTGTCCATGATTATTAAATGATCCGCTCGCTCACACACACACCTGTTTCGCTATAGAGAGCTTCTTGTTGAGGATATCAATCTGCTCCTCCACAGAGCGGATCTTCCTCAGGGCCTCTTCGTCTGCCATTTTCTTGCCCTCCCTCCTCTCCCTCTCCTCCAGCTCCCTCAGCCTCTGCCGCAGCTCCTCTCCCTGGAATAAGAATTTTTATTAAGGGACGGCCACAATACAACAACTGCAACGATTACCAATACAGCAAACACACACAAATCATGAACTGGGAACCGAATCCCATGTGCTTGAAATATGAACACAAACTTCTACAGAGTAAAGTATTCAGTGAAGTATGACCTCTGATTTGGACTTCTTCTCAGCAGCCATGAGCTGGACTTTGTCCCTCTGCTCCTTCGGTGCTGAGCGGTACATGTCCAGCAGCAGCTTCATCTCCCTCTGGGACTCCTGCGCTTTCCTGCACAGTCACATGGGTGAAGGTTCTTAAACCAAATTATCATCTAGGGTGAGAAAGCTGTGTCGGCCCAGCATGCTGCTTTGGAAACAAAAGATGAGCGAGGACATTGTGGCTTTTTTGCCTCTTTCTAACATGCACCGTTTACCTGCCACATACTGAGACTGTATGTGTACTTGTGGGTTATACCAATGTGACATCGTTTTTTATGTCACATTCTCTTTAGCAACTGTTGAGCGTGAACGATATTGTTTCTTAAAACAACATGGCGCATATTTTACTTTCAAAAAGGCAGGTAAATATTATGTCATTATTAAGACAAACCTCTCAAAATTCTGGTTAAGAGGCAAACAGAAAACTTCCTCACCGTACGAGCTGGATGTGTGTGAAAGACACAACAGCAGGAATATTGTTGATATTATTTGTGACATATTTTGGAATATGCAAATATATGTTAATATGTCCATGCAGAATATTTTATGAACACCTGCCGGACAGCACATGGGCGCCGTTATTAACCAGCAGGCCACCTCTTTTTTCCTTTTCCACTCGGTCGCTTACAATGAATAACATCAGCTGAAAGAAAAACAATCGTACTTGAGTTCAGCTTTGACGATCTTCAGCTGCTCCATCTCCTTCCTCTTCAGCCCTCCGACCACAGACAGCCGCTCCCCGGGTGACTCCTCGGGCTGGCTGCTGCTGCTCCCCGGCTTCTCCTTCTCGTCCTTCATCACGCTGCTGCTCCCCCCGCTGCGAGTCGGCCGCTCTCTCTCCTTTTCCTTCTCCCGCTCCTTCTCCTCTTTCTTCACAATGTCCTTTTCCTTCTTTTCGTCCTTCTCTTTTCTCTCCTCTTTCTCCTCCTCTTTTACGGCCGCGTCCGGTTCAACGCCATGATCCGTTTTCACAGAGGCTCCTAGAGAAAGGAAACAAGAAGGGAAAAACAACCATATGATGTCACAACGAGCATCATCAAAACAAATATTAAAGTATTCCTATCTATAGTGGGTCATCTGGGTGTTACCGGTGCTGCTGGGTGTGGAGGAGCCGTTGTCGGGCTCCGTCTTGACCACAGGTTCCCCACTGATGGCTGGAGTTGAAGGCGAGGTTGTCTCATCCTTCACGTCCATCTCTGAGCTCGACTGGGACTGGAGTATGGCGTTGCCCTTTGAAGCGCGGACCTAAGAGGGGCGAACAGATCGACGGATCGGACGTGTCACTGTGAAAATTACCTGGAACTATTCAATTTCCTCAGCTGGTGAGGGAACTGCACACATTTCTGTTTACCTGGTTGAGCTCCGTTTGTGTCTCTCGGAGTCTGAGCTTGTATTTCACCACTTCTCCCTTCATCTGTTGATTGTGGTTCTGTAACGTG